GAGCTTTTGCCTTCATTCGCGATCCCTTACACTCTTAAGCTATATTTAAAATGTTTTGTATAATAATAGCTACCTAGCTGCTTCGCTGCCGCCTACTATATATTCTGCCTAATACAATAAATATCTACTAGGTCTTAGGCTATGTAAAGATCTTAGATAATAAGGCAGTTGACAAAGCGGCCAGGAAAGAGGCAGAATAAGACAGCATTTAGGTGTAGATTTTGTAAATTTATGCTACGTACAGGTTTGTCTTCCTGTCTCTTATCAGTAGAATCTTTGAATGTGACTGAATCCCAATACTACACTACATTTGGCAGAATTTGGCTGTATAATACATTGTGTTCTTCCGTTGTTGAGCATTGAATCGGGGCGGTGTCCTAGCGCCCGATTTGAGCGTAGTAAGAATAGTGCGCGCCTATTCTTACTACCCTATACTCTATTTCTAATTGGGACGTAGTAAGAATAGGGTGGGGTGTTATTATTACTACGGTAGTAAGATTACGAAAAGTGCGTAGTAAGAATACGGGACCCCCTGGCGTCATACACAATATATTTGCGCGGTAAAACTCAAAGACTAACTCTAGCCAGCAGCATTATTTTAAAAAATGGCTTCGAGAGCACTTCTGGCAACAATAATCTAGCATAAGAGGACGGCACTAGGTCTCCGAACATGCGAAAGACCAAAATTGGGAACCTCAGGGGCCAAGTCATGGGTCCTTACACAGTACTCATGACTGTAATCACGCTACTCACGACGACTGTTCGAGTCTGGAAACGGAATTGGAATTTGAAGGTCACTCTTGGCCACTGTATATATGGTTATCTGCATAATCATCAGCAATAATTTGATCGAGAATTTTATCAAAAAGCTGAGGCTTACTGTTAGAGGATGTAGCAAATAGCGTACGGAGATACCAATTGAATTGATTGAGTTGCTCCTATCAAGAGGAGCATTTGCGCACACTAATAGCTATAGAAGCGCATTACTGCAACAGCTCAGAAACAGCATTTGGCGTTCAATTCGTATAGGAAGGCTCGCTGCCATAAATACGAGGGCGTAACCGTTACAAGCGCGTTACGTGCGTTTCGCATGCGGGGACCCCTGTATCATCCTGCTAATACGTAACAGATACGTATCGTATGCGCAGGGATTCTGACACTTACGACCTTTGCCAAACCTCTTAATTCTAATCTTGACGAGCGGATCCAGGTTCTAGACAGGTCTCCAATGGCTTTTCGGTCCGGTCGGGCCTGTCTTTTTCAGAACCCAGACCGGACCAGACTATATAGTAGTTTGTCAACAAATAGCTGTTCTGAATAATGGCCATTGAAGTCCTTTACAAAAAGTGAATCTAAAGAGTAAAAACTATCCCTTATTTACAATGGAAAGGAACTCCATCATGATGCTAACAGTACCGTTAACGGGCAGCAAAAATATAAAGAACAGTTACTGAAGGTTATTGACACCAAAAAAGGGGGGCTGTCTTTTGATGTTGAGAGAGTTCCCTTCCTGGGAAGCGGTGTGCTTTTTCATAAGTACGAAAGTGACAGAAAGAGAGGCACGATCAATGGTGCAACGGGTGTCCGAAACGGTGACAGAGACCGTCGGAAACAGCGTCCTATGTCCCGGAATCTAAAGTTGTGCTGTAGTCTGGGTACATCCCATACCTTGCATATTTCCGACTCCAGTTTTTCCGATCCGACAAGCCTACACAATAGTATCTTACTTACTCGTAACCTAGCAACACGGAAAATAGGCCTCGCGGACAAGGAGGAAGGGATAGGGACAGTCATGTTGCATCCTGTGCCTGTAAGAGCAGTGCAGTATACTGCTCCGTCATATGAATGTAAAGCCCTGACCAGACTGGATTCGACAAGCTGGAGGATTTCGAAGTATTCATTGCTCACATCAGTCAACCAGGAAGGCTATCGATGCGAGTGAGACGTAAATCCAAGGCATCAAAAAAATCGGTTGAGCTATTTCGCTTGGTGAGTTATAGACCTCATGTGAGTATGAGGACTCTTCAAGTGGTGGAGCTGAAATCGTAAAGAACGATAAACACTGGCATGGTGGATCAATGTAAGGCAATGAACTACTGTGATTAGACCTGTTTTACCAATAGTGTATAAGGTAAACATAAACGGCAATATTGAACCTCCATTTCGAAATCGTTCCATATAGGAGCAGCGCCACGTTAGGACCACTGACAATCATTGTGGGCCGATATCATCTTGCGCCTATAAGCCGTGAAGACAAAACCTTACCTGACCCAAAAGTCCCTTGATTTACCTCACCCGTGGGCATAGGAGAGGATGGCGCGGGAGAGCCCAATTCCTACGGGCATGCCAGCTCCATCGACTACCAGAGTCGTCGCAAAGGTCCCACCTCTTTGCACAGACATTAGAGGTCGTGCATCATGTTCGGAAGGAAGTGTTGAGCGGAGGAGAGAGCAGTGTGTGTTGCTGTGAAAGCGGTGCCGGAGAAGTTTCGTCAAGCCGCATCAGGAATGAGTTCGTAACCTCCTTCGCTGGGCAAGGTCAAGGCCGCAACTGCAATTGCAATGGCGCAAAAAGCTTGCACACTCCAGCTGACTGTACACAAGACCCAAGATTTGTCGAGGAACCAGCCGACGAAGAACCGAGGATCGTTATCAAATAGATATGCCTATAGAGGATTAGATGTTTGACTTCCAAAGCTTCGAGCTGAGAGCTGAAGTCAACGTACTGTAATCGACATGCCTGCCGCCTGCACCACAGCAGCGATTACCACCATTATTGAGAGTACCGCCCACCCCTGCTCTCTTCTATGCTTGCTTCCGAGCAAAAGTATCATAAAGGCAGCAATGGTCATTCCCTCAATCACCACGGCAAGAGACATCAAAAAACCAATCGATCTCCACATGCTACAGAAATATCTGTCATCGCCATGGCAGTCGGTCGATCGGGGAAATGAAACACAATTCAAATGGTTATAAGTGGTAAGCGGTGAGGATGGAGATGTAAGGTGTGCGTTCGTGCTTGAGCATCTTTGATGTAGGCCATAAGTGTAGTGGATGTGTGTATGATGGTTCTGTACAGCATCAGTGTGGGGGTTCGGTGTGACATTCAGAAGTATGTTCGCCGTACGGTGTGGTTCTCAAATGCGATCCAGTTAGGCACTATGATCGAGGCTAAGGTCAAACCAGTAGCTGGAGTATCGTCAGCGTCCTTCTGTAGATGCAAGCTCAGTGTAGTGGCGTATGCTCCTTACCAGCAAGAAAAGCTAACAGAGCCCCACTGAAAACAATCGACCTGGTCAGGATACCAGTGTAATTATGACTACCATTCCCGGGTATTAGGTCAAAGCTTGCCATCGTCCTCTTATTCTTCTTGTCTGCTTGTCATCGACTGCCTGACACAAAGTGACGTTGACAATAGGAAATGACAGGCTGCCTGTGTCAAGATCCCCCGCACGAATCGACACGGTTCGATGGATCAAACAGGTCAGAAGAAGGCTGCACCACAATAATCGTGATACTGAGTATGGCAGGAGAGCTGAAAAAGGGTGCGGTAGGACGGTGTCAAATTTCAGGCAGTGTTGGTGTTCGTAGTGTTCAAGATCTCGCCTCAAGACCCAAATTTGCTGGCAATGTTTGAGCAGTAGCGACGTCAGTGCTGCGCGACACTGTACGAGCAAGACTTCCTGTACTGGCGGTGAGTTGAGTTGCACTGCTCAAGGTAGAATATCTGGCCTTTGGAAGGCAGCTATCTTTGTCGGCCAGTCGATTTCTGTTAGTGGAACGTCATGCAGCAAAGGTGCTCACTGATTGGAAGGCAGAAAGCGGAGGTTCGATACCAAGCAGCAGGCATAGGATGTTGCTTGCTCTAGCGCAACATGGAGTACAAGATCTACTATGTTACATCACCACTATTCTGCTGTCCAATTGTCATGATAAAGCATCTCATTGTGTCACTGTCACTGCCAACAAAGGTCCTAGACAGAGCTCTCGATACTTATTGAAGAGCTGGACTACCCTTGATTGCTGCGGCTACCCGCCGGGTAAGTATTTCGTGTGATCCTGAGGTCTGTTATCCAAAGTACCACTAGCAGCTGCATTCATCACACCACTAGCTCTCCAAGACAGTCAGCTTTCCCACGACAGCCTCTTCTTATCAGACCACTGTTCTCAAGCTCTAGTCTACCCCCACGCACTTTGCCAGGACCAATCATTGATTCATCAGCATTTCTGGCGCTGCTCCTAGTCCATGCTGACAATACCTAGTACTCCGTACTTATGCCTCCTATCGTACGCGTAGTGACTCGAGCTGTTTTCACAGAGGCCAAGGATTTCCAGGGTTCTGTGTAACCGTTGCTGAAATTTCGGTGAACTGCGAAATGCATGAATTCTTTCATGTCCGCTGCTTCCCTCTCTTTCCTTCCTGACTGCATCACTTCCGCTTTGTGAGTCCGGAAAGCCTTATCTGACTTCTCAATCTCCAATGCTGACGCTCTCTGGCCAAGGCCTGGGTCACTGATACCGGGACCGAGAGCTGGTATTCCTTCTTCCTCAGAAGGCTCGGGTGTCGAAGTATGCTGACGAGTCTTCTGGCGTTTGGGGGACGGCTCCTCTTCCTCTTCCTCTTCCTCATACTCTGAATCAATACCATCTGGGTCCACAGTATTTCCAGATGAATTTGGTGTTTTAGCGACTGCGTTTTCAGGCCAGTCCACTCCGTACACCTTGTTGTAGAGCTCAAGTGCCCATTTGCATTCCTCAAGTGCACGCTCCTCATCATACTCTTTCACCTGATTTGCATGTGCAAGCTCTTCTTCTCGACACTGCTTTAAAGCACGCATGTATTCCGCCTGACTCTGATTAGGCATTTTGACCGAGTATTTTTCAATGTAGGGGAAGCGATATCTCTTGCGATCCACAAGTTGGTTGAAAAGCCAATCAAGACGTGCACCTGTGAAGCCAGCTTCTTTGATCGCTGCTCGTAGGTTATGCTGATTTTGGATCATATTCGTCCACATTTGGCCTGGCGGTCTGTTCCAAGGGTCTGGGAACCAGCGGTCCTTAAAGAGGTCATCCTCTGAAATGTAAGGAGATTTCTTGGTATCCTCGACATTTTTCGCACTTTCTTTCACGTAGTCTTCCCCATGGTTGCTTACATGACTCTCCGCGTCTGCATCGCCGTGAATTGTGGACCCAACACTCTCAGCAGGGGAAATTTCACGTGCATGATCATTGGATGATGTTTGGGTAGTGGTAGGAGACCCAGATTGATCAGTCTCCCCAAATCTTACTCTTCTATTCCCCTTTGCATCAGCATCGGCGTCGCGACCACAGATTGTCCTATCATTATCACCATCATCGCTACTGTCAGCCTCAGATGTCTCTGCACTTTCCGACAGAATCCTGCCCGGGTTATGTCTCCATGCAAAAGTGCAGTGATTTTGTTGGCTTTCAGCGAAGTAAGACTCGAAGAGGTGCAAGGGTGTTTCGTGAAGATGCAATTCAAAGGGTTCGAAGCCACGGTCTGGAACACCCCACGGGCGATAAGGACGACGCTGGCGCTTTCGACGGCCTTGACCACCCTGGCCATCAGCAACTTGGTGAGAAGCTGTCGAAAGTGATGATCTATTTTTTCGAGAGCGCCTCACACGCTGCACTGTGTTAGCCAAGGCACGGCCTATTTTGCTTTTTTGGCGGTTTGACTTGACCTGAAGATCGGTTCGCCGCAAGCTGTTGCCGCTGGGTTTCATCGTAGATGCAATCGTGAGAACCTGTTCTCGCACAGGAGTTGGAGAAGAGTCCCGTTGCTGTGGCAGAACGCAGAAAAGAGCTCTTCCCAGAGATTGTGGCGGTAAAATTTGTCTTTGTGGTGCTGATATTCTGGTTCAGACATGCTGGTGTAGTGAGGCCTCAAACAATATCTTCCAAAACAGGCAATAAATGTGATTGTCTGGCTTGTGTTCCTGGGGCATCCTCGAGCACTAAGGGTGCACCAGCTTATAAGAATACTTATGAGCTCCAACCAATGACTTGTGGCATACTGCACAAACCCCATGGTAGACCCAGGCATATGAGGCAGAGTAAGGGATATCAGTCAAGAATATCCTCATACCACTATAACACACATGACCTCCGTATCCTCCAACTTCCGCCATGATAGTAAGGCTTGTGCCTGAGATCATACCTCTTAGAGAACCTCCCCAGAGAGAGAGATAGGAAGTCGCTCCTTCCTCGACCATACCATTGCACGTCACTCATCGCCTCCCGCAGAGCTTCTTTCCAATTCGGATCCTTCAATTTCACTCTCTCACCTCTTCTTCTACCTCACGCTCCCCACTCATCGCCTCCCGAGGGCCTCTTTGCAATTCGGGTCCTTCAATTGCGCTCTCTCACCTCTTCTTCCACCTCACGCTTCCCACCCATGCGCTCCACCTCTGAACATCCTCTCTCTCCAGGATTCTCTCAATATCATGCCACTCCCTTGCCAATTCCTCGTTACTAGCCATCCGATGCACAAAGGAATGACAGGCCCTACACAACCAGGCCACCTTATTGAGCATATGCTCTTCATGCCAACCTCTTTTCAGCACCTTCGCATGCACCGCTTTCGGGATCAGGTGGTGGTACGAGAGTGGGATCCAATCGCGGCCGCATATCTCACAGGCCGAAGAGCGCGTTGTGCGCCATGCCGGAGGTGGGGTGGTGACGGTGGTAATGTAAGAGGATAGGACTGGGCTGAGGAAGGTGAGCAGGTCTGTTTTAGGCGGTGAGATTAGGGTGTAGGCAGTCAGGGTATCCGCAACGGAGGAAGGGAGGGATTGGACAAGGGACTCTCGCGTTGAGAGGGTCAATGGGTCAGAGTATGTCTCTGCAAGTGAAGGGTTACTTTGAAGCGCAGAATAGGAGAGTGTCCTAGCTTCGCTGGGGAGCGAGGAGAAAATCTCGGTCGAAAGGTACTACCAAGCCTCAGATATAGAACATTTGGGACATGGGCTTGGGCAAGAAGCCTGCTGTTACTTCAATGAATTCCGCTAGCTCGGCAGGATCTGTTTCTGTGTTTTCAGGCCCGGTTTGAGTTGAGGACGTTGGAGCTGGGGCGCTCTTTCGAGATCGCTTTGCCATCCGTTTTCGTGGTGCTGTGGAATACCTCTCAAGGACTGCGCTTGAAAAGCAATCCTGGAAGATCTTATCATTCTCCTCAGACATGTTTACCGAGGATGATACCACGAGCTTAGTGCAGCGTGAGCAATGCTATTGAATGTCAGATGTATGAACAGAAGTTGTGATCATCACTAATAGTTCGTCAACTCGACATGGTACCATGGAGGACCCTTTAACCTCGGATATTATTTTTACATTCCTCAGATCCAGATTGCATGGTCGCTAGGGTAGAATGAGACCAGAATTCAATCACTTTTTCGAACGGAAATTATAGGCATGTCTAAGACTCTTCTTGTATTCGACCTTTATGGCACACTGCTCTCTACCGAATCAATTGCCAAGCAATTGAGTGAGCACTTTGGCCAGGAGAAAGCTGATTCTGTAGCCGCGACATGGCGGAAATACCAGCTGGAATACACTTGGCGATACAACAGCATGAGTATGATACTGTGCTGATTCTGTTGTCTACCACTAACCCTCGTAGAGCAATTTGCTTCCTTCTCTGATATCACCAGGAACGCGCTTCTCCATGCGCTTGCAGAGAATGGTGTTCAGCTTGATAGAGACGATGTCGAAAAGTTGATGAAAGCATACGATTCTTTGTCGACCTTCCCTGATGTGGGACCAGCATTGAAGAAGCTTGCTTCAATTACAAGCATCGAGTGCGTCGTATTCTCAAATGGCACCAATTCAATGGTCTGCAACTCGGTGCAAAAATCACAGGATCTTTCACCTCACGCGTCAGTTTTCAAACAGATCATCACTGTCGATGACGTAAAAATGTTTAAGCCTGCTCCAGAAGTATACCAACACCTCGCCAGATGTGTTGATAAAGTCGGCAATGAGGGTGATATGTGGCTGATCAGTGGGAACCCATTTGACGTGGTTGGTGCTAGAGCTGTTGGCATGCAGGCAGCCTGGGTTGATAGAGTTGGTACTGGATGGCAGGACAAGCAGGGAGGCCAAAAGCCTACAGTGGTCGTGCAGAGCCTTGAGGATCTCGAGGAAGCAGTCCAAGCGCATTCAGGATGAATTTGTGTCCTGCGCAACTGTTCAGGCAGGTTCGTCATGGTATGGGTCTTCTGGAGCAGAGACCCTGTCTCTCTCTCTTCGCGCCTTTTCCATTTTGACCGCCCAAAGCGCACTTCCCGCAGCACTTGTCAACAAGAAGAACATGCTCAAAACAGGTACTAACTGTAGGGATAAAGCTACCGTCCCAAACCACGTGTACTTCATCTTTCTTCTTTGTATGTATTGATTCCGTTCTTTCTTGCTTAATCCCAGAAGCTTGAAATATCTCCAATGATGGAATGGACCAGCTCTATACCCTGTGACGATAAGGAAGATAGGCACGCCCACGAGCGGGATGAAGTTGAGTGGCAGAAAAATGATGAATTCAATGATTTGTCGCAGGCTGAAAGGGCTGTAAATCGCACTCTTCGTAGGCTTCCCAAGCATCTTTGCTGGGCCCTCAGCCTCCGGGTCTAGCGTCCGAGCCTGGGAGACAAGATTTTGGAGGCCCTCGTTGATTAGGACAGAATCGAAGATATCCACCAGAGTTTCATCAACTAGGAAAGCTTCAAAAAGAAGTGCTATGATGACTTGACCCTCCCCGAGGACCAGAACCGCTGCGTTGACCCATGCAGCAGGGCCATGGAAGATGTGCAGTATAGCAACCTGAGGAAGGTATGTCCAGACGAATAAGTTGACGTAGATGAAGGCAGAAAGGAGGATGACAGGAAGGAGACGGGCTCTAAGAAAAGTCCACAGAAAGCGGTGAGCAAGGAAATAGTAGACTCCCTGCATCAGTTCCGTCAGCAAGGCTCTCAGTGACCGAGCAATAGAGATAAAGCCTGAATTCTTAACTCACCTTGAGGGGGTAGAGCCATGTAGCTCCCCTGAATGGGTTGGGCATTCTGCAAATGTCCCTCAGCGCCAGGGAGCAAGCAACTTGAACACCGCAATCTGTTTGGTAGCGGCTATTTAACTTACGTAGTACGTTTGGTGAAAGGTGATCATGACCACTGCCAAACCCGTGAGCCCTGTAGATCCCTGCTAGCTTCCCCTAACCTTAAATGGGGTAAAACTGTTTTCCACCGTTACCTCCTTTTTCTCTTCTCCATCATAAAACTTACAGTCCCTTCGTATTCACTCTGACTGATCCGCATCAATGAATTGCTGGAGGGGAAATCGAAGGGAAGACTAAATAACTTACCTCGTCAACTTACTTACCCCTAAGCTTTCAATCTAATGTGGAAGCCTTGGAAATATTCGTGGCGAGACATACCTACTCATAGCCATTGTGGAATTGCTTGTCTACAACATCAAAACCCAACCATAAAGATGCCCTGTGATTCAGTCGGATAAAAAGAAACACCTTGCACAGAAGCAAAGAAATGGGTGTCCAGGATATGGTGAGACAACGTGCGAAGCGAGAGTATCTGCATGTTACTAAGCACAGTTCGTCTGCAGAACGCATCTGCGGGTACTGACTGGTGATAACTACTGGACCCCACTGCTTTGAGATGATACCTAGGTGTGGTTGGACGGTGTTCTTCTCGGAAGGGCCAGTATCCGTCGGAGCTTTCTGGCACACGCCAGCTCAGAAGGAAAGATGCATACTTTCATACACACATCATTTCTAAGTGATGTCACAAAGCCCCCTTTTAGCTTCACCAACTGTGCCCAAAGAGTATGGGTGTGTGAGAGTGGGAAAGAGGGACAGAAGATTGTGGTTGATGTCGAGACAAATACGGGTAACCTGGTTTGATGCAAAGTCTTTGGGTCCGCTGTAGGGTCCGCAAAATCAGACAGTACACATCAACCTCTCCTGCTCAAATCGCCATTTCTCATGCAGTTATTGCTGTTCCTGTTCTCCATCCAATCTGTGCTTTTTATTCAGCCTGTCCGCAATTCTCATTCACGACTTGTGCTTATTATGGGTGGCGATCCACAAACCGCAGGGTAGAAGACTCTTCTGGTGTATGGCTCAACGCAGATAGATGCCTCAGTCCGCCGCCTCCTGGACACAGGTCTTGTGCAGAATTCACTTTCGCCTCCTCCACCCGCCTATCTCCTTCCATCCCTTCTACCATCCTGCCACTCTATTCTTAACCTCCGATCTCTCCAACTGTCTTGTTTGAATCTGTCACATCAACCCCACAGCACCAACCCCATTCTCCCTCATAAATCTGACTTGACATTCCTTCAAACTAGCCCACTCCACCAACTCCCTCTCCTCAATTTCGGCTTCTGTCAACTCACCTGTTATCCCACCACCTGCTTCCATTTCATTACTTTCAACTCCTACCCCTCCCATCCCGACCTCGTTGTCTGCGGTTGGCGAAGGAGCCACAAACCCTCTAATCCACCCACTGCCCAACCTCTCCAATTTCATGATGGTATCGAGGAACGAAGTCAAGTATGTGGAGACGGAATCTGGGTCTAAAGTTGGGAGACAGGCTCGTGAACGCGGGACACGGATTAGCGTTGATGCCACTTGGCGGATTTTATGGCACTGGATTGTAAATGTTAGTGAGAGGAAGGAGTTTTTGGGTAGTGTTGGGGATGCCAGGATCAGCTGAAATAGATGTGTGGGGCAGGTTGTAGGGGAAATCAGACACATGGCTATAGTCTAAAAGGAAGAAGTATCTGAAGGAGTGTGTTTTAGAAAAAGAGTGCGCTCTTGAGGTGCAACGGTATGGCATGGTATTGCTTGAGTCGATAGAACAAGTCTTCACGGAGTATGAGAAAGGGGGGGTACGTTTGTTGTCTGAAAACTGAGGCTGAATGCCTCGTGTAGGATGAACGACGAGATGAGCAGTGACAAAGGTGTAGACATACCAGAGATAGTCCGTTAGGCTCCATATAAATCTGGTCGACACTTTGCAGAAAAGTGGCCAAGTCTCGAACGATGTTCTCGCGTTCGAGCGACATTGCTTGTTCAGTGACCTCGACGCTGTGTCTACTGCTCGTATGGCTGTGTACTGATGCAGTGGGTGAATTGAAAGCATTCTGCAGCCTGGCATCCAGAGCTGCATTGGCGGTGTTGGTTGTAGGTGAGAACGACTGGTCGAGGCGGGTTGCATTGCCATTGTGCAGTTCAAAGAGGTCCCAATACTTTTCTACCAGGAAGGACCGCGTGCCGAGCTGGCTGGCATAGATATTTGCTTTCTGGATCTCATGTTGAACACTTTTTCTAGAATAGTCCACCATGCTAGCCGGATCCCCCTGCTCGGTCCACATTTCCTGCTGTCGGCCGTACTGACCGATCTGAGGTACGGGAGATGAATAACGAATTTGCGGGCTCGTTAGTGACTGCACTTGCAGTTCTTTGGGTGCACTATCCATCACCGTGTTGCAGCTATGTAGACTTTGGCCTATGAGTTGTTTCTGCTTATCCCAGTCAACACCTTCAATTCCGAAGGCACTTTCTAGAGTGTTGAGAGAGCTGTAAGACCTGAAGATTCTAGTGTTCAGGTTGAACCCTGTGATAACTGAAACCGTTCCTGGAGGCTGAGGTAGGATATGGTCTTGGTAGATAAACGTGTCATCAACCTCAATGGGTAAAGGTGGAAGATCTTTCCTTGCCGACAAGGGCATGAGCAGATCTCCATCGACATCACCTAGCTGACGCATTGACTGACAGCTGACGTAGGACAACCAGAAGAGCCTTCGACTAAGCTCCTGTTTGATGTAATCGGTCTCACCAGGAAGAGGTCCCTGCATAGATAGGTTCGACGATGTTTTGTAAACAGCCAACCTACGGACCATGGACACGCACTCTGCAATGTACATGCTTGCACGATTAGAATCAAAGAGATAGGAAGCGGTAAGGCCCACCAAATAGCTGCTGAAGGCATTGTATATTGAAAGTTCTCGATCGAGATAACCAGGTCCACGGGCTTCGTTGAAGACCTGTTGACACCGATCAATCAAAGCGCCTGCATTTGGGAACAGCCTCCGGTTTGCCTCAGAAGTGAACAGGTGACGAGGACGACGAGGAAAGGACGCCACAAGGGCTTCTATCATTGAAGCAAGCAAAGCCAGAAATGTCCGATTTGTCCTGTCCTCTCGTCTCTCGAAGGCTGCTCTGAACGTGGGTTCGTGAGGAAGCGGAGTCAATGGATGAATGTATGTGAAATAGTCGTCAACCAAGATGCGCAGAGTGTGAATATCACATATTGATTCTGCAGAAAGCGCCTGCGTCCCAGAGAGGGACGCTAGGCTATGTGCAGCATCTTCCGTAGGAGACAGGGCACTTGCTGCCGACCAGGTACCATCTTGTTCTAACCGCTGCCTTTTGACAGCTTCTGCATGTCTATTTGGGGGGCCGCGTCTACGACTGGGGCGGTCAAATGTGCAAGGAATCTCTAGAGCGGCACAGGAGCGACATGGCGGTCCAGATTCGTCGCACTAGAAACGACGTGATTAGTATCAGTAAAGTTTTGTGTATGGCTTTCACTATGCAATGTATCGGGTTTGTACCTTGACTTTCCGTGTACTGCAACTATCACATGCCTTGCGAAGTCTGGTCTTGGGCTCTGACGGTGTCTGCGGATTGGTTGGAGCTGGAGCAGGAGTAGGAGCTGATGCTGGCGCAGGAGCGGGTGCTTGTTGAACTGACTGTCCTAATTCAGGCTGCGGCGGCTCAGGATATTGGGATCGCGGTGCGCCTGAGTGATGGAGCAAGCTTTCAACAAACCCATCAGGCGGGGAATAAATGTTATCTGGCGGCGGGTTGGCCGACATGAGGCAATATCGCGGTCCGCAATGCGACGGAATACGATGGAGGAGTGAAGATACCGAGGATGAACCGAAAATAGTTACTAGATCACACCAACCAGCTCTCTGGCAGCGATATGCTGCTATGTCTGAAAGGCTGGTGCTTAAATGTGGCAATGATCTTGGTGCGCAAAGTTGTGGTGGTGATATGAAAGAGGTCGAGCGGTTGAAAGACTAAGAGTTAATAAGGTCATAGTATATTCACTGGATATCTTTGTATGTGCTTCCATGCTCCACTCTGATCTATGAACAATTTTCTCTACAATTTGCTCATTTTTCTGTTCATCTCAAGTCCCAGACACTATAGCAACGAGGGAGACATATATCTTCTGGGTTAATTGTTTGTTAGACCAGCACAATCGTTCCTTCTCAAAGCTTCTATCGCTCTTTATCCGCCAGCCAGCATAATATGCATAGCAGAACACTACCACTACCGAGATCTTTAGTCATGCCGCAAAGAAGACCAGCCTTTCATTTACATTTACTTTGTCAAGAAACTCCCAAGAAATTTTAGAGATTCATTACGAGATAGAATGCTAACCTTTAGAGTTTTCTCCTTGACCAGCATTTATCTACACGTTAAGAGACTCCCTTGCCATGGGACACCAGGTCACATCTTAACAATCGCCTCCCTTAGAGAGCTTGATCCCAAGTTCTATGATTATCTCTGTCCTAGTGTCACTGAACGTGGTACCCTGTTCTTAGGAATAGCAATGTGTCAGACAAAAGCTATTTATCGGTCCTCTGACGGCTACAGTGCTTTTGGTCAACACATTTCTGCGATTGAGCATCTCACTTTTGCTGTAGTTTCGACAAAAAGAACACCAAGATTTCGATGTTCCTCCTGCCAAAAGGACCAACATTCCGCCCCAGCTAAGGAGATGACTCAATACAATTCATGTCACAATTATCCCCAATCTGATGGAAAGTTTACTAGGGTCCGACAATGTTCGATCTACGTTGTAGGTCTCTGATGTATTCTATCTTTAGATCAGGAAGGCAGAAATGTCTATAAGCGCTTAACTAGCAGCTGTGAAAGACGCCTACCATCTAAGCCACTTTTTCAATATTATTAGTGAGTTCTCAGCCTCTTACAGTGTTTATTCAAAGGCTATTCCAAGATTACTTGTTCATACCAGAGCTTAAACAGGTTCTTCAGGCTTTGTCTCTCTGAAATGACCTCAACGCCAATCTACGAAATAGTTCGATCTTCGGAGGATACCAGAACCACTATTCCACCTGATCCAGCAGTGCTTGCTCCCCAGTCAGCGGAACAGTCTCTTTTGACCCTGAGACCAGAGATTGGTGCGCCTGCAACTCGTTCACAACTTCTTCCAGAACCCTGGTCCAACCGCCTCTTCGACTTGAAAGGACTTTTTCATCATGACAACCTCCATGGACATTCGCCCTTAGCAATGTTGTTTAGCTTGATGTTTGCCGGCGTACTTGCCGTGTGTCATCACCTCTTCTACGACCATCTGGATACGACTATCGTCCAGACAAAGAACAAGCAGGAATGGGCATTACGCTTCGGAAATGCTTTTGCTCTTGCTACAAAGACAGCCTTAGGTGTGGCGGTAGGGATTGCCTATACTCAACAGATCTGGACAACTTTCAAGCAGAGATCAATCACGGTGAAAGGTATTGATGCCATCACTACAGCTTAGACTTTTATAAAGCTCTTTAGCCTATAGTTATACTCTTAAAGACTTTATTATTCATACTGAAATTGGAATCCCTTATAATATGGATGAAAAGTACGCATACAAGACTGGGGACTACACCACGATATCTTCGCGCTTTTGAACAGAGAGATGTGGCTCAAAAACTTGTCTGGGACTATTATAACAGTTCTACTCTGGTAAGTAGCTTGGGTTGCAGTCTATAATTGCCTTGAGATTCGGTCTAGACGGCAATGGCTTCGTGTGTCCATATTCAAAATTGAATGGGCTGACTGCCATATAGGTTTCTCTCGCTGGCCATGACAATCTTGCCGCCTGCCTCGCTTTCAGTGCGTCCAGCCCTTAACAATCATTCTGTACAAGCACGAGCACAAGTACCTATACCTGTATATGACAGCCAAAGATATGCACTACTCTCTAATAAACGGGAATGCAAAGGCTCAGGCATAGAACGTCTTGTGCATGCCTCAGCCGTCAATGTGGATATTATTCCTATGAGTCCACCGTTCCCATCAGTCACATACCTAGTCGACTTCTACGGACCTTCTTTTAAGTGTACACCAGAATGGTTTGACCGTCCACAGGCGAGCAGTTCGAGCATTGTCGAAGTCTACAACTTCTCTAACACTACTTCCAATGTAATGTCATTCTATACCGGACTGAACGACAAATACATTCAATGTGCGCTTTATAATACCTCCTTCCATTCAATTTTCTCCTCGAAAACAACGTTCAATCTGTGAGAAATACCTTGGAATTCATCAATCCTGTGAAATATCCTGACAGCACTACCGACCTCAGAGACGTCCCCTCCTCTATGTCATACCAGAGCTGGATGGATCCCATATCAGACATGCTCAAAGGGAGCCTATTGTTTGACAATACCAGCGATGCTGTTGGCTGGTTTTCTGGTATCAAAGTGACTGGGCTCGTCTTTAGTTCAGATATACGTCCCATGTTCACATCTCAACTAGCTAATGACCCAGGCGTTGGTACCGAACGGCTCTTCAGGCCACTAGAGGACCTTCTAGAGGAATTCTCTGTCAACATCATAATGAGCTTATTCAGCTCGTAGTGCTCTCGTACGCCTGTTGTGTTCTTTCTGCTTAATGAAGCGCGCTAACCTTTATATAGACCCTCCATCTATGACACAACCCTCACAATCTCATCCCCTGTCAATATCTATTGCTTATAATAAATTGGCCCTCCTCTTACCGTACTTTGCAAGCTTTTCCTGTAGCCTCATCGCTACAATGGTTGGGGTCTATGCCTTTAGGATCAACGGCATGAGTCAGAGTACCTCATTCTCAAGCATTTTATGCAAAACTTGTGACGAAGCTCTAGATAAGCTGGTAGGGGATAATAGCTTAGGCATGCTGCCGTTGAATGCTAAGATAGCAAAGATGAAGTTGCAATTTGCGCCGCTAGAAAGACAACAGCAAGCTCGTTGGTCCTTTCAATTAAGATAATCATCTCTCGAATATCATATATGTCTACATCATCTAAATTGATTTAATTGTTTGAATGTTTAAAAATATCCGGTCTAATAAGCGAGAATAATTGGTTTAAAACAAGTTTTTACTTTGATAATGCCTCAACTGAGACCACGTATTGGTTACTTACAGCATGATGTAATCCCTGATCCAGCCCGTCACTAAGTGCCACTGCGTTGGCATTCCTTATCTAGTACCTTGTTGATGCAGATTTTGTTTGACGCATAAGGCGACCACTGAGATCTACATTTCTCAGCCTCATAACTACTCTTCAGTCATGCACGTAACTCGACTTCAAGTCTCAGCAAGAGCACATTAATGACACGGTGTTAGAGATTACGTTGAATCCGCTTTCCTGTCTCTAAAGTCTGAACGATGAGATTTTATTATTTACTACGTAGTAGCCGAGCAAGCAACAACTCCCGGCGCAGAAACGGTTGAATTCTGACACTCCCTGTGGCGCATTCTGATACATATCTTTACGGGGTCATGGGGGGTAATATGCACGGTATCATACTGTATCAACACAGATCTCGGTCTAAAGCCGCTCTACAGCTTAGACGCCCAACAAAGCCTATCCCTGGCAAGTCTGCTTTCTGCCCCTCCCGTTTTGTGGTTTCATCTAATAAGGTACGCAAGGGTACCATATTTGGCGCAATTCGGCTCGCATCATTTCAGCTTGCATTAGTGTCAACTCTAATCCGCGGAAGGCGGCGCGTCAAATTTATCTTCCACAGGTGTGAAGTCACTCTAAGACGCTTCAATGGCCTTGAGAACCTCCCGAGGTAACCAAGGCTGAAAAGCTTGATTTCTTTCTTCGATAACAGTGATATTGATTCCCAGTTGATTATTTCATCAGAATGCCGCAGCCGACACAGTCGCATCGTGGTAATTATGAGATTATATTGGTTGTACTAAAACGTCGCTCGACAATTCTCTTCACCACTCTCTTGCTGGGAATAGCGCTTTTCGTGTGGTATCGTGTGCCACACCGTGCGTTGATTCCATCATCTCCTGATTTGAACCATATAAAGGAGCGAAAGAAGGTGTTCGATGGGACATGGGACTATAACAGAGACCAAGACAACCTGATGCTCGATTCATCCCAATGCGAGCAGGCTTTCCCAGGTCTTTTCGAGGAGATAACGCGGCCAAAGGAAGACAGATTGCTTCGGCGGATATCTTTCGATGAGATTGATTCTATAACACCCCGAAACGGATACATTCGTGCTATGATCTATGACCAGCAGGTACGGCTAGGTCTGATGTAGTGTACTGTAAACATATACTAATATGACCGTGATTTTTAGCTTTACGTCATTGCTATTCAAGGAAGTATATACTCTCGGGGGATTGCTACGCTTCAAGCTCTGCATCGAGCCATTGTTTCCTCGCCCGAGCGGCTTCCTAATATCGAATTCGCCTTCAACACAGATGATCGAATAGAGTCTGTTCCATTGTGGGGATATGCTCGACGCGCGGAAGATACCAATATCTGGCTTATTCCGGACTTTGGCTTTTGGTCCTGGCCCGAGACAAAAGTTGGCAGTATGAAAGAAGTCCAGATGAAAGCCGCGTGGGAGGAACGCATGGAGGGATGGTCGTGGGGCAGGAAGTTTCAGAAACTGCTGTGGCGAGGTGCGACAATGGACCTGCCACTGCGAGAAAAGCTCATCGAGGTCACCCAGGACCAGCCCTGGGCAGATGTGAAGGCTCTGAAGTGGAAAGACAAAGACAGCATGACTCATGATCTTAAATCTATGCCAGAACACTGTCAATACAAGTACCTGGCACACACAGAGGGCAATTCCTACTCAGGCCGGCTCAAATACCTCCAGAGTTGTACGAGTGTTATCGTTGCACACAAGATGGACTGGATCCAGCATCATCAACCACTAATGCGGTCAACGGGGCCTGAGCAAAATTACGTCGAAGTTGACCGCGACTTCAAAGATCTGGGCGAAAAGATCAGCTGGCTTGAAGAACATGACGATGAAGCCCAACAGATTGCATTAAACAACATGAGGACTTTCCGTCAGCGTTATTTGACACCAGCTGCCGAAGTCTGCTACTGGCGCCAGCTGTTCCATAGCTGGGCAGAGGTCAGCTTTGAGCCCGACTTTTTCAAGGAAGAGAATGGTAAAAAGGTCTGGCGTGGTCTTCCCGTGGAATCATTTCTGCTGGAGAAGAGACTGGAGTGGGATCCTTACTAAGTATGAGTTAGGATTGGTGGTTCGCTTTCTGCTTCTAGAATTTTGTCTTGTACGATTCAGAGAGCGAAAACTGGGACGGGAAGGAAAATGGTATTGAGTAGCAAAATTTGTCTTAATGGACGTTGTCAATGAAAACTTCTGTAGTTGACTATTCAGTATACTTGATCCAAGTTCTCGAACTCAGAGAATCATTCTTATTCAGCTAATAGCTTACAATCTATATTCCTTAAGAGGCACCAGGTGTGCGAGCTGGGCCAAAGATCCAACAATTCGGCCCGACCCAGTCCTGTCCATACCTGACTTACTTAGCCCGCTCCGCTACAATTCAAGGCACAAGCATTCACGAATTGACCAATGCAACGCGTGGTGATGCACCACTGGGATAGCCTGAAGCCACGATTTCACACAGCAAGGTGTCTTTGCAGGCGCGGAGTTATCGGTCAATGTTTGGTGGTATCTGCCTGTACAGGTTACATTCTGCGGTTTCGTGGCAGGATTCATACATTATAGCTGGTTGCAGTTGCTACTTGGAGAAACCTGCATTGAACATTGAGTTTTCAGATGCAGCTGCATCCCCAGTTTCACTGACCAGATGAGGAGGGATTTATTGGTGATCAATAAAACTGAGAAACATTCAGAGTCCACTTGTAATGAATTGCTAGGTATTATTAACTCAGATGTAACATGCCTAGCCCCAAAATGATAAATTGAACTGACGTTTACTTGTCATAAAGATAGGCCAGCAGAGGACGATCGCAACTGGAAGGGACCATGCCCAGCCTACCTTGGTAAAGCCACGGAATGATGTGATCCATTCAAAATGTCATGACCGGATTGTTCGTGTATTCACTATGTGGCGACATATTTTAACTTCCTAAGCATTGAGAAGATGACCTTCTCAAACTACCGTGCAATTGGGATCGTTGCAGGGTCTCCCCAGCAACCTGCTTCTTCGCTGTTCCGTACTATCACTATAATTTCCGTACTACTTGCTTAATAGAACAGCCATATCTACTATATTATTCCTCGAAAGCCGGTCGACATAGACATCTTTCCGTTCGGTATACCTGTGGCGACAGCCAGACCTGTCGGCTTAGCGGTATCATTGGGATTAGCCGCTTGCCCCGTATTTCCGAGGGTCTTGGTCGAGGAGGCGTTCTCGATCCATACTTCATTTGGATACACACCAGTATTGTTTAACTCACGTATGGTATTGTTTAAATCGAGATAATATAACATGCGGGGGGCCCAACATTGTAAACACCAAGACCCGCTTCTGTTGAGCTTATGGTTGGGCCGATGAGGACTTCACAAAGTTAGCTAATAAGAGCTGAACTTGATATGGAGACAATCAAATGATGGACAAGACCATTGGGACTCACCTGTTCTCCACCCAGCTGTGGTCAAATTGGAGCAACAATCCAAGCAGATCCGCTCTTGAAGCCGGAACTCTCGGATGAAACATAATAAAACCTCAACACTTCAATATCGTAGTGCCCCAGAAATGCTGCTCCTGCCTTGACATCTGAGAAAGTGTCCCTGACACTCCAAGTGTCCAAATCCCTATTGTGCAAGAGTACTCGTGCCTCGTTCCTTGATCCTATGTGATACGTCAACCAGGCTATGCCAACATTCTGGCAGGCACTAGGAAATTGGACTGTAAGACCAAGCGACGCAGAGCTTGTTGCACTTAGTTGGCCTAGTGTACCATTGAGCCAGCTGTTACTCGCATGCTTTCCTCGCAGCTCCTGGAGTACGCTATTTTTGTCGAGGTAGGAATAGGTGAAATAGATGCTGGAAGTCCTCTCCTCTCCAGTATGCAGCGATCGGTGTGCCTAGAAGAGCATCATCTCTGATGAACTCAGAGACTTGCCACCGTGAGTTGTTGTACACAACTTTTCGTAAATCTCCATTGGAGTTCTGAGAGAAGACGACGTAGTTCGTGCTCGCGGTGTCTTCCGCTGTAGGGAACGTAAAAGAAGCTAGGCTGGTACCGTTGAATGCCCATGCATCTTTCACCGTACTCTGTCCGGGTACACCGTCACTGTTTCCCGGCACATTAAAAGCCGTTGGTCTTGACGCCGACCCACTTGTAGAGACCAAGCTGCCAGCTTCGCCTGAAGAGCTGTGGGTGCTGAAAGGTGGTTAGCTAGGGTTACAGACTGGATGCTATCTGTGGGAAAGCTTAATTTGTGGAATTTTTCTCACTATTGCGCCTACTTCCGAGGACGCCTCCAACGGTTGCGGCAAGAATTACTACCAACGTAGCTGCCATAGCGATCCATAGCAATGTCTTCTTGCGACTTCTCTTGGTTGTGGTTGCTGTTTGAACTTCAAAATGTGTCTTTAACGCTATATTCGGATCGTGGTTTTTGTCAGAGCACTCATAGAAATCCTGAGGTGGATTGGCAGCCGAATTTCTCTCAATCATTTCGGGCGCACTCCGTGGATCATGTTCATGATAATTCAACTCCTACTTGTTTGTGAGTTGCGTCAAAGGGTTAATACACCTGCACATACCATGTCTCTCAACCAATAAAATGATTGACTGTTATCAGTGCCACTAATGTGTACATTAGAGTATCCAATATGGAAATGGTACTTCACAGAGTACGGAAACGGCACAGTCCTTCCTTTAAGTGATATAGGTTCGTAACGGGGCTTTTCTGCCCCAAGCGGGCTTTGTTGCCCCAAGCGGGTTTTGCTGCTCCAAGCGGGTTTTGAATGCAGGAGGCCTTTATCCTTGAAACCACAGGCGTGGTACAACACAATTCGAAGGAGTACATAGTCGGTACTGCTTACGGGTGCGCTTATTAGAGCACCCTGGGTCTTTCAATATGAAAACAGTAAGTCATGAGAGGCCACAAGAGTTGGATGCCCCCTCCAGGAGGCATTGCTTTGCGAATCCTGACGCCAAAGGACTTCGAGTGGTGACAGGGTGTCCTGGTTCATACAGCACACGACAGGGATAGGGGATTGTGATCCTAAGCAATAGCCTACTATGCGTTTCATAAGTGTTGTGAGTTCTTGATGTTACCCCCGCATCGCTAATACTGTCCCGTTGTATTGTAGTGAAAAGTAAGGCAGACATTTCTGTACAACAACATAGACCTCCATTTCGAGTTTGAGTTTTTTAACAATTTCGGTGAATTTCAAGGTTAGTAAAAGTCGGAAGACAACAACAGCAACGCATTAATCGTACGGAATTCGGCCATGATGAGGAGGCATCGCTATAGCTGCTTGTTAAAGCTAAAGGGCAACAAATTTCGAGTAGTTGTTATTGAGATACAACCGTTTGAATTGCCCGTTGATTCGCTAGAAGTTGACGTGGCCGAGTAGTGGGGAGCTAAACCGAATTAAGAAGAGACACACTTTCCGGCAGCACTGAGTACGTAGTAAGTATAGAGATGATTTCGGTCATGTGAGACTTTTTGACAGATTGCGTATTAAGGTGACACGAGTACGGAGTAATCTGTCATAATATAGCAACTTATTTCTACACTAGTCCTAGACTATTCTATCATGAGATTCTGGCCATCTATCCACTGCTAAATATCTGCTGTCATCTTATCCGTCCTTATCGAAGAATGTCTCTGTTTCGCGCTCGACTATCTCTGTATAAACACCTGCAGAAGACTCATCTCGGGTAGCATTAGCAGTATCACGCATCTTGGTTCCGTCCCTTTTGCAGGCCAGCAACTTGTCAGCCGCCAATCTTTTGTGTCCAGGTTTTGGTAGAAGGCTCACCTTCTCCAGCAGCTAGTACAAACATCCTTCACGATACACTTCGAGATCCCGCCGGGGCATGTCAATAAAGAAGCTGGCATGCTGATGGAGGCACATCCAGGTCATTTCAAAGTCCTTGTCTGACACCAATTACTTGGGTGACAGACGTTGCCCGAGAAGAAAGAAGAAGATAAGAAAAAAGTGGCAGCAATCAACCTTACAAGCCCACACATCTTTTGGCAGCTCGAAACGAGGGTTCGTCAATAAGTTTATCCATTACACAAAATGGTTACAATATGCGGAAGGTCTATTGTTACTAACACCATATCTCATTTTGCATCTAGAGTTTCGTACTTCTCAATTCTGGAAAAAGTAGCTTCAGCTTTGGAAGCCTGAGGTCCCTCGAAATACGATCCACGTCACATTTGATGTAATATTATCTCAAGGATTCGCAGAAGCTGCTGACAGCAGCTCGGGGAGATACATCTTGCTCTCAAATTCTTGTTTCGCAAGGACATTAGGTGCTTCTGCATTCAGCTTCTGCTCCGTTTGCACTTGTTGTTTTCGCTCACTTTTGAGTCTATTCATGAATCCCGCAGTGGCCGCCGTGGCAACTGCAATAATTCCCAAGGGTATACCAACAGCAAGCCCAACAACACGGCCCGTTCCTGACCCGCTCGAAGGAGGAGGCCTGGATTGTTCATCAGGTGTGGAGGGACTTGAAGATGGCGTGATCGCGGCCAGCGTTTGCGTTATCGATGCCAGCGTCGTGATGGTCCGGCCAGCGCTGGTCGAAGCCGACGCAATCGTACCAAGCATCCTGGACCTGTTGCCCACGCCCACAATGGCGCCGGGAATGAAATTGAAGACATTCGTTATCGCTGCAGCACGATGCGTCTGTGGCTGCACAGCAGTAGGTTGGATTGGTGCTGGTTGAGCACTATAAGAGGCTCATGGGGGCATCTCGGCCAACTGATGAACGGAGGAGAGGTTAGCGACTAAGTCAAGGTATGCCCTAGGCTCTGAAGCGATAGGATGGATCTCTCACCTGATAGACACGGTCTGGGACAGGTGGGATCTTGGAAGGTTGGATCGGTGCAGCTTCTCCGATAGATCACTGAATCCCACCGCGTGTAGCATGTGCCGTCGGCGAGGCACGCTTCGAATGTTCGGCAGCAGACACTTGACGTTGCGTACTTGCTGGTATTGCACGGAAAGCCGTCTCTATCGACTGTTACTACGGTATCAGGTAGGAGTATTGTTAGCTCAAAGCTAGTAACTTGGCGGCGGAACTGGTACTGAGCGAAACGACTAATACTATACAAGCTAAGTGGTATCAGTTCAGGTGATTTGTGTGGATGATCATAAACGAAGCCTTTGGAAGAGTGTATGGCGATGTACTAGTGCTAGTCATCATGCTAACAATGCGGAGTACTTCTGCCTGATACCGCAGTAGCGTAGGCGGTAATCGCAAACTGAAACAGCCCGAAGAGTAAGCATACGCAACTAACAGGCTTTAAGCCAGGATTGGAACCTTAATAACCTGAATGAATTACAAAGCATCTGTATTACAAAGCATTTAACTATCTGTAGCTATGTTGGTAAGCCTAACCTTTCAATAATTCTTATATATACCCCCTGCAAAGAGAAGCAAAGTCCCATTTGCTTCAATATGAGCAGCCTGCTGATTATCGAAACTCATTACTCGGTGTAAGAATCGATTCCCTCTAAACTACCAACCTGAATATCAATCACGATGCCTCGCTTTCCACATGGCATTCCGCTACCTAATGGACTTAACACGGACCCTCCCTTACCAGCTGATGCTCCCACCATTGGCTTCAAGCTCAATCATCTTTGCCTTCGCGTGCGCGATCCGGAAAAATCACTGCATTTTTACATCAATCTCATGGGCATGCGCACCGTCTTCGTTACCAATACCGGACCTATGACAGTGTACTTCTTGGGCTATCCATCAACGGACCAACACCGTGAAAACCTTGATAAATTTGGCAAGGAGACCTCGATTCCAGACACCGTGGGCCTCTTAGAGCTTTTCCATATCCACGGATCTGAGAAACAACCAGAGGGCTTCTATAGCTCTGGCAATACGCCCCCGAATCTAGGTTTTTGTCACCTAGGTTTTAGTGTTCCGGATCTGCCAAGGACGTTGGAGAGACTCAAAGTGAATGGCGTCCCAGTCATCAAGGATATCGGTGTTTCAACTCGACAGAGCATACCTATCACTGCTTGGGAGAATGAGCAAGGTATTGGTATCGAAGTCGAGGGTACCGACAGCGAAATCCACCCGGTTTTCAAGCAAATCTTCGCCAACTTCGCCTATGTTCAAGATCCCGTAAGTTGTCATCAGCTCCCAATTCACATTGAGTGCAAGGCCCTCGCTAAGAAAAGACACAGGATGGATACTTAGTCGAGTTGCTCCCACAAGGCTTTGGGGGTGACCAAGTTGCGGCTCAAGAGTCAAGTTGATCGCGAAACGTCAAGGTGAATTTCTCTGTAATTTCATGGCTTCTAGGACGACCCAGTTCTCTCCGGCGGAGTCGCTGATGTCGGTGATGGCTGTTTTGGTGTCTTGATGCGATGGTATCTCGAACAGAATTTTGGCCACATGAGCATAGAACATACATCGAATGATCAGGTTGCCACACCAGGTGGATGCGACAAGGTCGAGCGGCAGTCTTTCGACTTCCGCACAATAGATACGACACATGGGCCAACAGTCCCTAGCCTGGAGTTATTGAGACGATAGAATCATGACCATCGGACGCCTGATCGATGGATGTCTGCGAGCGACTTCGGGGACCAAAACGTCGAGGCTGTTTTGGATAGCCAACCGGAAAAGCACCGGGTCATTCCTTCAATGTTCGAGCCGCATGCACAATGGTACCAAGCAGAAGTCTCGGGCAGTCTCCTGTCCCACGTGCATAGCGTTTTCGGATAGGCGTGAACATGATGGCGTAACCCTGTATTGGATCAAGTGGAAAGCATTGTTTAGCGCTGGATGCCCTCGTTATTCAACTGAAGGGAAACACTCATAGCATGGTTTGAGCTGCAAATGGCTTCTATTATGCACAAAGCTTTGAGGTCACTTCCGAATGCGTAGCCGCCAAGATTGCTGGCAGCACAAGCGCCGCTTTGTACGGTCAGTACGAGATTTTCTCCCACATCGTGGACGAATCATTATCACCTCGTACCTGCAGGGCAATCTATTGTATGGCCGTTCAAAGGCCGGCAGTGGAACATGCTACGACAAGGTCAGTGCTTAGCTCAAATTACCATCCCTCGTATTAATGGACTGTCGGGAAGTTAGCGTCGGGCGTATACGACAGCGTGTACCGTCAACTGCATGTCTAGATCGAGACCCAGTCTTCGAAAGCCGAGCTCCAGAGGTGCTACTGAAGCTTTCTTGGAGCCTTCCGGTTGATGTCTGGTCGCTAGGCTTTATGGTAGGCAGCAAAAATAGTTACCACCGAAGACGGGCACGCTTGCTAGCCACTGTCACAAGATACTTGAAGTTCTAGAAGGGAGGAACTCGTTCGATCCCATAGATCAAGTTCATGATCAATACATGCTTCCGTTGGCGTTAGTAGCAGAGTACATTGGCCAAGGAAACAGTTGCAGTGCTTTACGCACTCCTAGTACTAGTTAGGTAGTACTCTAAGCATTTGAAATTGGGACGCCAAGACTAGCCCCTTTCCAATCACCCTATTACGTCGATATTATCATCTTCCCAGTCCAAAGAACACCGGCCTCATCATGACCTTATGAAGCTTTCCCTCCTAGCAGAGATGACTAAAAGCCCAAAGCCGGCATCGTTCAGGACAGATATCGATGATTTGAAAAGACTCACGTAGTGATCTCCCTCAACACCATCGAAGCCGCCACTTACACTCCTTCCAACCACTATCTCCCTCGGTGGACGCTGTGATGGCCAACATTATGCCGAGTCCGAACTCAGCGCTAGTTACGCTTGGAATGGAAACAACTCTAACAGAAACGACAATTTCGATCTCTAAATCTGGACGCGTACCTGGTTCAGAGTCAATGCAGCCATTAACATCCATGTTGATGGCCTCGTCGAGAATTGAAGCGGGGTTCGGTGGAGAGTTAGGTGGTTCATATGCCGGAAGATGTAGCTCACAAAGTTCAAGATGTTGGAAAGCTGAGGGTTTTGTCGGTGGTAAAGTATCATAGGTCATATGGGTTTTATTAGGTAGGATAGTGTATCCTTGAGCTGTTAGAACGGTGGAACAATTGGTAGTGGTGCTGTTGATGATGTTGATGCTGCTGCATGGAGCATATTCAGAAGCTTCAAACACCCCCATCTCCAATATTCAAGACTCTAAAGGACCCTCTATTCCCAGCGCCATCGCTAATCACACATCTACAAATATCATAACCCATACCAATATAAGCCAAGATGCACATGTCACAACTCTTCCTGACTTCCACCAGCGTCCTCCTCCTCCTTCTCCGTCCCGTTCTCAACCACTTCCCTCAAGAAAGCCTTCGAAAATCTACTCACCTGCTCAAAACACACCTCAAACCCATCATCTGCACCATAATAAGGATCGATCACTTCCTCACCCAACTCAGTTGGTTCATTTCGCCCACCAAACTCCCCAAACAACCTCACACTCGCCTTACTCGCTGCCCCACCCTTCTTCCGATCGACCCTACCCTTCAAAGCCTTGAGATCAGCCAGATTTTGAGAATCCATAGCGAGGATATAATCGAACTTCTCGAAGTCCTGGGCGGTTATCTTTCGTGCCCTGTGGTTGTAGTTGGTAATTTTGTGGGATGAGAGGGTGGAGACGGTGCGGGGGTCGGGTGGGGAGTCAGCGTGGTAGGCTAGCGTTCCGGCGGAGTCTATGTAGGATATTTGGGGGTGTGGTTGGGTTGGGAGTTGTAAGGAGGAGGGTGAGGTGGGATTCGTTGGTGGGAGGTTGTGGCTTAGGGAGCGGAAGACTGCTTCGGCCATTGGTGATCTGCCTGCGGAAAAGTCAGTGGGAGGTCGGAGAAGGAGTTGAGTCACGAGTGGAGGGAGGACTGGCGTGGATACTGGTACGGGGACGACGTACATATATTGCCTAAACAGACGAACAGGACGGACACTTTTGAGGAGGATGGAGATGCAAAGTCAGCCATTGTGCGTTGCTGGATTTAGAATTATTGAATGAAAGCTAGGAGGAAGAGTGTTGCAGTTGGAAGAGCAGCTTTGATGCAAATTCCATTGAGAAGCTTCTGATCTCAATCCGCAGGTTCGGAAAGCTCATGGTGAGCGTGCGGTATCTAACATAGTACGTAGTAGATAGTAGTACCCGAGTAGGACGTGGTTGATGGTAGCTGGTTACTAACCAATGATGTCTTAGCGTGATCGAACGCGTACTACTACGTAAAGCACTTCTGGGCATCGCGTCCCCTAACGCGAGGCTTTCCCCACAGTGAGAACCACAACATGCAATACTGATATCCTCGTCCCAATAATCTATTCAATTCTGTGGACGAGGTTCGGACTATTACGCGAGGAATTATGGATACATCTACCGCCAACTTGTCTTCGCCTTCTTTATCACCACAAAATGACCAGCTCGATATCACCATGCTTACACCTGGCCGAAAAGTGAAAGCCCTGCTAGCCCAATTCAACGACTCGGATTCCGATGAAAATCTATCTGCGAAGAACGTAGGAACTTCAATGGAGCATGACAAGGCCATTGAACCCGGGCAGAACAACGTTAATCACTACATTAGAAGCCCCCAGCAATTCAAAGCTCAAGACCAAGCATCGGAAGACGAGGTGCTTTCACGAAGACCAAGAGGTCATCTAGCTGCACGAATGCAGGCAACTGCGATTAACGATAATCCTACATCGTCTGATGAAGACTCTGGGGCTAATGCCTATGCTCGCATCAAGGATCAAATCGCGCAGATTTCGACACCAACGAATATACCTTTAAAGACTTTAGAAGAAGCGAGCAGTGGGGATGAATTGCGAAGTGCTGCACCAAGAAGAAGACTTTTACAAAGGAGGGATACTGCTGTGGAAGACCATCCTTCGCGTCAAGGAATGCGATCACCGTCGCCCTTGTTCTTCCCTTCCCCTTCAGTGGCCAAGCTACCAAGGAGAGCGTCCTCTGGTAATGAGCATCACGATGCTTCAGACTCTGACCAGCTTCCGGAAGAACCTCTGAAACAATCCGGATCCAAATTTCTCGCTCTAGTGGAAAAGCACCGCAAGCAGCGACTCGCTAGGGAAGCCGCAGAGGAAGCCAAACGAGCAGAACGGATAGCACAGTTGAAAAAAGCCGGGTCAAAGGGATCGTCCAATGCAGGTGCGGTTACGCTCGATGTTCAATCAGATGAGAGTGACGACTCCGATCGTAGTATCGGAAATAGATTGACGCAGCAAGCTCGACCTACAAGGAAAGCTAGTAAAAGGGCGCTTGAGGAGATGAGCCGAGAAACTCAACGCATGAGCCGCAGCATGCAATTGGCACATCAAGCCAGGACGAAAAAGAAAATCACAAAGGAGAGCTTACTGGCAAGGTTTAATCTGATCACACCAGGACCCGGCGCTGTTCAGCGAGCAGAGACAGGCCATGCTTCTGCCACGGCCAGTTCTGCTCCTGCCTCAGATGCCGAAGGTGTGAAGGAACAACAAACACCTCCTACAAGCCCTTTGCCTTCCGAAGGTGACAACCAGCCAGTCACGGAACTACAGGGCTCTGCTGAGCCAGCTGTAGCAGCTATGACCATGGGATGTGAAGAGCCTCCTAAGATGAGAAACCTCCTGACTTCGCAGCCCACTACGCTGGAGAAAGGTAAAGCCAAGGTGGCAACCATAGATGAGACTACAGACGCAGCAGAAGAGCCTGTCGCAACTCTGGGCAAACAACGAGTGCGTCCTGTTCGGGTGAGGTGGTCAAAGCAGGATGCGGTAATTGCGCGAGGAGCAGACTCTGATTCGGATCTTGAGATAGTAACATCCAAGTCCAAATCCAAAAAATTCGCCGTCTTCGAGAGATTGCCCCAGACCAGACCTAGGGAGACGAATTCCCACCTCATCCTTCGTTCTTTGGCTCACCTGCAAACCGGTAGCGCAGATAACAAGCACGCCTCAATGAATGCTGCGCAGATGGAAGCGCAGTTGAGAAGAGCTGCAAGAGTGCAAGCTCAGAAAGAAAGGCAAGAAAAGCTCGAAGGACTGAGGTCAAGAGGTATCTTTGTTCAGACTGCCGAACAACGGCAGAAAGAGCAGGAGGATGTTGAGGATTTGGTCGAGCGAGCTCGTATGGAAGGTGCAGAGATTCAGCGACGTGAAAAGGAAATGGCGAAGAAAGATGGTACGTTCGTCAAAGACGAGCTGGATGATGACGAAAGTGATGATGAGGATGATACGGATTTTCAGGATGAGCATGAGGGGCTTGAAGATCCAATTTCTGGTTCTGAGGACGAGCTCGAGGAAGAAGATGATATCGACCAAGAAGCTGTCGAGAGAGAGGATGATCTGGATATAAAACCGGAAAGGGCCGAGATGATCGACGAAGAGGCTGATGAAGCGCAGTCAAATGGTTTTGAGAGCCAACATTCAGAGGACGAAGACATAAACACGTCAGGGAAGGAGAAGGAATCGCCCCAACTTCCTGCTCGCAGACGACGTATACTGATCCTCAGTGATGACGAAGACGAGAATGAGCATCATAGTCAACATCATACCTCGCCTCAAATCACGAAAACTCCACAATCTATCATACGTTCGGCAAGAAAGGTGATCCCCGGATTGCAAATGTCTGACGATTTGCCGATTGGTCTCACACAAGCGTTTGCAGCCACAATGGCGGATTCCGAAGTGCAAGACGAAGCAATCGCAACACAAGAACAAGACTCTCTCGTGTTGACCCGTGATCTCCCTTCTCCAAACTTCAAGGCGGTCCCCTCTCTTACACGACTTGAATCATTTGATGTGATTACCGATAGCCAGCCTGCCAGCCAGACGCAGCCACTGGATCTTGACCTGTCAGTCACACAAGCGCAGGCGGTCCCTCAGTCGCCAGCTGGCATGTCATCTACACAGTTCTCATTTGTGCCTACGCAAGATGTAGGCTACGTTATGAGCCCCTTCAAGGAAAGCCGATTCGATACACCACTAGCAGCACCTCACTCTACCATCGATACCGTCATTCTTCCTCCAGAAGAGCAGTCTCCAATACTTCAGCGAAAAGGCAGACTCAGGCGTGGGAGGGCAGCCGTTGGTTCTGATGAAGAAGCCATGGACAATGAGGATCCTCCAAGTGGACTTGGATTGGACAAATCTGCCTTCACGGTCATGCAACGTGCAGCCAAAACCAAGGACCAAGAGGATGCTTTTGACAGGTCGAGATCTTATGCCAGAGAGATTGTCGATGAAGCGGCGGAGGAGTCAGAAGATGAGTATGCTGGTCTTGGTGGTGCAAGTGATGACGAAGAGGGCGAAGAGGACGAAGCAGACCGACGCATTATTGACAATGACGAAAACCTCGGCCAGGGGGACGAAAGCAAGCTAGCAGGGTTTTATGCGTAAGTCCTAGATGTGCTACCAGCATCCGTGACAATTTGCTGACAAGGTGCAAAGTGACAAAGAACGAAAGCAGGACGAAGCTGCGGTCTCCAAATTGTTGAAAGACATCACCACCGGCGGTCTGCGGCGTAAACGAGGTGCTGCGGATGATCTTGATGTTTCAGACGAAGAAGACGCCATCGCCAGACGTCGAGAGGTAAAGAGACGAGAGTTTGCTCGTATGAGACGCGAACTTCTCAAGGATGAAGCAGTAGGCAAGATTGCAGAAGACAAAAAGAAGCAGGCTTTCCTTCAAAGCATCGAAGACCGGGATGCGGCCGAAGACGAAGACATAGCATTTGCTGAGGTAGAACAGACGGAGGAAGATACGCAGTGGCAAACACGATCTGCCGAGGAAACCAGCAGCCAGACCAATATTTCAGTGATCGATGATCAATCGCAGCGCAAGCGACCTCTCGAGCCATCTACAGCCGATTTCATAAACCGTCAAGCGCCTTCCCATCGCCGAACAACCAATCAAATCGGCACCGTCCAACGCAAGCCCTCGACCCTCGCCGAAATCCGTGAACAAGTCTCTTTCCTTATCGACGAACCGAACTCCCAAAATGGGACACACGACCCCGACTCCTCAGAGGACGACGCCCAAGAACCAGAAGCCTACGTCAATCTCAACCGCCACCTACAACCAGCAGACGAGGAGAACGAAGACCCGGACGAGGGTCTGGCCGACTTCATCGTCGACGACGAAAGGCTCATATTCAAGAAACCGCAGCTCCCTACTGCACGCGCCCCAGCAACCGAGCGCAGAAGCAAACCCAACGTGGTCGATCGATTATCCCTCCTTCGTCAATCTTCTTCAGCCTCATCCTCATCCTCATCCTCAACCAGCACCAGCAGCCACAGCCACTCCGGCTCCAAACTCGCCTTCTTCACCTCCAAATCCTCCGCCGACAATCCGTCCTCCCTCTTCAAAGTCCCTGCCCTCCTCCGCCGCGCAACCACCAACTCAAGCTTCAACTCCGACACGGGAAGTAATGTCAGCGCGACGGGGGTTACGGAACGCGGGGCCGTCGAGAACGAAAAGGAAATGATCCGCAAGGCGCAGGGAGGCAGGAGGAGCGCTATCAATTATTATGCCAAGGGCAGGGTGGAGGAGAGGGAGAAGGTTAGAGAGGGGAGGGTGGCGAAGAGTACCAAGGTCAAGAACTTGAAGAGTGGGGCGAAGGGGAAGGCGGGATTCTTGGGTGGGTTGTTTGGCGAGAGCTTGTGGGAATGAGGTGTTGGTGGTATTTATTACGCTGGGGGTGGTGGGTCAATACGACGGGAGAGGTGTGCGGATTGCTCTTGAAGTTGGATGGCTATGCAATTTGTGGGGATTACTTTGTGAGTCCAACACTGCAAACGTTGGGTCGTGGTGGTTGAGTCGTTGAATTTTGCCTCTTCTTCCTTTGTCTCGTCTCGATCGTTCTTTGTTTCGGGACCGAAGGACCGGCCAGGATCATGCATCCAGCACATCCCAAAGCACCGCTAACTTCCATAATGCTTCCCTGCCATTTTCACCATCCTCTTCCTCTTTCTCTTGTGTATCCATACCCTCCATACTCAGATCAACATCCCACCCCATCCTCACACCCACCACACATCCCTTTGCAATAGCAACCCTCTTCCTCTCTGCCTTGCCACCCATCCTATCAGAAGCACCCAGCCCGATCAAAACCCAACCCCTTCCCACCTCATCCCTAAACATGACGCATCTCCCACCCAAGCTTCCTCGCAGCACGCAAGCAACCCTCACCCTCTCAATCCCTCTACTACCACCTTGCCCCTGTCCCTGTCCCTGTCCCTGTCCCTGCGCTTCCGTGACGCCAAGCCCCAAGATCAGGTTGCGGACCGTGTCTGCCGCCCCGCCTGTGAGGTAGTCTCTGGCTCTTCCGCCTCCACCACGATGGCGCGAGGGGGAAAATGCGGGTGGGAGCTCGGCATTCAGGGAGGGGCTGGTGGGGGGGTGCTGCTTGGGATTCGGGCGGAAGAGTGGTCTAGGCCCTGGAGTTTTTGCTGTGGGAGTTGTCTGTGCGAGAGAGGTCGAGGTCGAGGTGGAGATTTGTGGATGCGCTGGTTTTAGTCGGAATCGCGCGGTTGTTGTGCTGGTTGGTGGGTTGGTTGGGGTGGCGAGGGGGGAGGAGGAGATGTCTGAGTTAGACTCGGATGCGGAGCCGGATGCGGATGCAGGAGGGGTGGTTGCAGGCTCCTTGTTGTGGTTTTCTTTGTTGGAGGTAGGCTGCTTGGGGAAGATGTCAGGCTGGTGGTCGACATCATCTATGGTGCTGAAGGCATGATCTGTCCTGTTTTCTAGCCGTCTTCGTTTTCGTGCTGCTATGGGGGTGGCGAAGGTTTCGTCCTCGGAAGGAGAGTCTATCTCGTGTTGCCTGGGATATTGCGATCCTCGTGTCCCACGTAGTCGTTCCAAGAACTCGAGGTCTGCTAGCTCGTCGTCTTGGATCTCTCCAGAATGATCTGGGTGGCTTCTCGGCGGGAGGTTGTTAGTGTTCAGATCGTCCTCCTCATTCTCATCGTCAAGATCATCTACATCTCGGTATTGTGACACAGAAGATGAGAAACGTGACCTCGAAGGCAGCCGTGGAGAAGACTGGTCAGGCTCTTCGAACGAGGTTTCTATCTCGTCTTTCAAGCTAGGCCGATCGCGGAAACGTGATGTGGTAGTTCCTGGTGCCGATAGAGGCTGCTGTTGGGTTGAGCAGGGACGGGTAAACCTCGACGATCGTGACGCTGACGCTGGAGACGGAGATGGATGAGACTGTGGTTTGGCGAATTTAACGCTCGATGCCGATGAGGATTGGTGTTGGAAACGCCGGGACATTGCATATTTTCTTCGCCACGGCTAAGTAACCAGGATTACCAGAGGCCAGATGAGTGGACGCTGGCGGCTATCCCTTGCGCTTTGACCTCAATATTTTCCTTGAGAGACTTCTTCTGCCACGTTCGAATGTTGCCACTGCTGCCACTTGTTTGTCATCACTTGCTTCACAGGGCTAAACTTGTAAGTAGGCCTGAACAAGTATCAGTCTTAGAATATGATTCCGGAAGCAGTGGCTAGTGTGTTTCGTGTGTTTCTGTGTTCTCTACAAGGTTATGGTTATGGTTATGGTCGGAGGTTTACGTATGGTTAGGAGTTATGGTTAAGTTAGTACTGAGAAATTATTAATAGCGCTAAGCAAAAATTTGTACCCGTACCCGTACTTCTTACTGTACCTCACCGTAAACATTGAAGAAATTGAGTTTACATTTTGTTGCATTTCCACAAGAGATCATCTTGATGGAAGTTTTCCGCATCTTACGAGAACACGCCTTTTCGCCTTTTCGCCTTTCTGCGATGCTAAGAATGGTCGAGGGAGACGATTTGCTTTCCGAGCAATACAAATTTTCTGCCATTCTGATGCCCTGGTCAACCGAAGCTCCTCTTTATCAAAGCACCGGATGCCCACCAAACAAACAGAGCAACGTGGATATTCACTCCAGCGGCTTAAAATGAGATATCGGCAATATTCTTCGGTGCAGCTCAAGAGTAATGTGTGAATTCATGCGTTGTGAAACGACCTCACTGGTATGACTGAGGCCAATTTGGCAACCAAAGCAGCCGTCCACAGCTTAACAAGCCATGTGCATGCCCAGACGGCGCCTGGGTGTCTTCGGCCAAAGGGGCTTCCTTTGACAAAGACTCGAGTAGCTGGAGCTTCAGCACAGGCGTCCGAATGAACCAGATTATGGAATGCTCCTTGCGCTGAGTGGGGAGGAATGTTGACCGCCAGCACAGCGCCAGCACTGCACCAGCACAGCACCAGCCACACTCAAGGGCTGCCTGCAATGGCTGGTTCGGCTGGGGTGTAGTTAGCCTGCTCATTCTATGCAGCCAGCAGAAGGACCCAGATCTCGAAAATCCTGGTACAAGACCTATGCTACATTTTACAAGAGCCCTGGAGGAGGAATAGTCAACAACAAATGGCAAGCTACCCAATTCCACCAAATAAAAATTGTTTTCCCCGGGTTCCTTCAGACATTGAGCTACTGCTAAAGATATTAGTGATTGCTCAGGGAGTGACAGTCTAGACTACTGCTTAGCCTAGTCTTGATATGGCAGTTACGAGATTCGGCAACCATGGGTTGAGACGACATACAACTTAAATATATATCCTTGGACATGACCATGACGGTCAGCCATGGCAATCTCTATATGAATTGCTTACTCAAGCAGCACAGCCATCTACACCACCTTGTTGCAATGAATATAAAGACAATACATGCAAGCTCCGAGCTCATCTTTAAAGAATACAGATTTGTGACAACGTCCCGCTCGTTGACGGCTCGTTGATGGTTTCCAAGCCATCTCAACTGTCATCAACCACCATGACACCGGATTCGAAGCTGCTTGAGGTCTTTCAAGACGTGGAGTCTCATAGTGAGGTATCGGACATGAAGATGATCACGCCGTTAATGAGGAATAGCTCAAGAATTTCTCCATTGTTCAAGAAGCTGTTGATTAGTTATGCAAAGTCGTACTATCAAGCTCTTAGACTGCATGATGTGGGCAAATAACAGATACACAGTATAGGAATACAGAGTAGTTGTCTCCAAAGAAAGCTGCAGTACCAGAGCTATAATCCGAGTCATTCTCGGCATCATGTCATCTTCGACATCAATCTTACCAAGCTGAAGCCTGAAGACGAGGAGGACCTCGTCATCGTGCCGAGATATGCCGAGATATGCCGAGATATGCCGAGACGTACTGAGACACACCGAGCTCATCGTCGTTGACTCTTGCCAAGCTTGAGTTCCAGAGCTTCCACGATCTTCCGGAATATTTCTTTCTTTTTAGCCTGCACACCGTGTTGCACACCGTGTTACAAATTTGCTCTTTTACCCGTGACCCTCCTTCAACCTGTCCACCACTTAATCTTCAACCACCAGAATTCTATCTCCAAGCTGCAACCACAGGATACTTATCATTCACCAGACTTCCACTCCCGGGCTGTAGCCTTTCAACTCTATTGCAGAATCATCTCAGCTCTGAGCTGTCATCAGTCTCTCGAACTTGTCATCAACTATTTCAAAAGTCAGTCTCCTACGCATCCACTCTGAAGGTTTCTGCTTAGAAGCTCACAAATATTTAGTGGTCAACACACGAGCCAACAAATACCCGAGCTTGGACTCACCCCCTACTGGGTTCAAGAGGTCAGCTAAAGCAGCAGGCCTCCTCGACGGTACGCGCACGGATCGCCGTGCGAACAAAGCAACACATTTGGACTCTCAAGGTCGCGTAGTCCCGATCCACCCTTGCCATCCTCCCGCACTAATTTATCTACACTCTTCAGATTCAGCTCGTGCTGGAATCAAGAAACCAGGTGAAGAAGCAGCCCTCGCTGGAGACGTCCGTACAGACAATGATGGAAGTCAAGTGGCAATATTGCAACCTCAAGGTTGTCTCACCTACTCCACTTTTCTCGTTCAGCACCTATTGACTTGTACAGGTCCGCCAGACTTGGGAGCCGCTCCCTCCAAGCTGTCCATGTCCGACCTTGGCAGCTTCCCTACAACGGGAATTGTCGGCCGTGCAAAAGCCACCCTCGCCAATGTCCTCAGTGCACGGTTCCCTGAAGTACGAAGAATCATCTCCCGCGACCTCAATCGGCGTGATCGACGTATGATGTTGCGGACCTGTCACAATCTCCGTGTCAGCATCAACAGCCAGGACCATCTTGCGCCTTTCTCCAAGTATTTCAGCGGTCGCTGCGACGCCCAGGTACCCGGGTGGGGAGAAGCGGGAGCAGGTCTTTACAGCGACAAAGTTAGGCACTCTCTCTCGAGACCTTGTTCGAACTGGGACGGCCCATACTCCATCATTAAATTGTGCGAAGGGCCTAGAATCTTGAAAAAGGCCGCTTGCGATGGCACACGTGGTGTGTGTGTGCGGTGCGTGCGTGATGCAACTGATCTTGCGGACCCCGGTGGTACAAGACAATGCCTTCCCAACTTCGGTGTCACACCTATCTGCGATGCTTGTTTCGTTTCCACGAATTCCCGCATGCTCAAAAGTTGCAGGTGTACCGGCCTCCCTCGGGCAGCTGGCGAGAGAAATGTATGGGACTTGTGGCTCTGCTTTGCATGCCAGCTAGCGTACAATGTGGAACAGGCCCAATTTGCCGATGACATGGCGCGCGCTTATCTTTACATGAAGAAGAACAAACACACCAATACCCTCGAATATCTTCCCAACGCTAAAATCAGTTCGGCAAAGCTGCCAACATGTCCGTGCGGAGACGCAAGGCTTCGAACCAAAGTCAAGGATGGTGGAAGCGCAAGCGCATACGGAATGTGCGTGTGGTGTGGAGGGTTGAAAACGACACGATTCCACGGCTTATCTGTAATTGCGAAAAGTATCTGGGAAGAGGACGGACCAGCCTGGCGAATAAGAGGTGAGGTTCGCATTGCAGACCAGGTCATCCCAAAGGAAGCTCTCATTGCTATACACAACCAGATCAAGCAGAAGGGATTGCCACCACCTCTACCCAGGGGAGCAAACAAATACTGGTCATATGCTAGCGTTACGGACGAGCCCAGGTTACTAGACGAGCAATTGCGCAACGAGTACGAGACTGAGAGGAGAAAACATCCAGAAGACAGGAAGAGATTGAACTGGGATGATCGGGAAGGATTCATTCGAAACTTCCGATGGCAAACACTTGCTGGGTCCGGGCACCCATGGTGATTAAGAATCTGAGATGTGGATGGGTATGGATGGTTTCACGCATTACAGGCCGTTGCTGGCTATCTGGCGAGATCTGCAGGTGGATTAATCCTAGAACTATCAATGGTGCTCAGGGGGGCAGTTGCAGGACATATTCTCTGAGCGAAGTTTGAAGGTGGCTGAGTCCTAGAGCTATCAATGGTGCTCAGGGGGGCAGTTGCAAGACGTATTCTCGGGTCGAATGAGCAAACTTCAAAATGTCCTTATCCCTCAGCTCCATGTATCTGCCAGCAGGGACTTCTTCTCCATTAATACCTGTTCCATTGGCAGTCTCCAAATCGATCAAGTACGGTCTGACTCTCCCCGTCTTGTCTCCAAACTCATTTCTCTTCTCCACGTACCGGAATTGAATCACAGCATGCTGCTTTGAACAGCTTGGATGCTCCACCAACAAATCCACCACAGCCGCCTCCCTACCAATCAGCCAACAACTCCGTTGACTCAGCTCGATCGTATCCATGATCTCCGACCCCTTGAAAACGTACATGCGCCATGCTTGGCTTGGCGGCGGCTTGCGTGCCTCGGGAGGCTCATGATACTTCAGAACAATGGCCTGACCATCCATGGATGTGATAGTGTTGCTTTCTGCCGCCAGCCGGCCTGTCGTAGAGAAGTTGGGCTTTTGCTTCTCTGCGGGGGGTGTCCCTTTGGTTATGGTTGTAGATTCACCTTTGAATGCGTCTTGTTGGGATGGTAATGGCCTGTGTCCTTTCATCGAAGCCTTTCTATCATCGTCCTTTGGTCTCGGACGACGAGCATCTGCGGGAGGACTCGACCGACCAGCGCGGTTCAAGTAGCTGTCTTCATGTTCATCCCTTTGACCGCTGTATCTGCGTCTCTCCTCCTCCCCATATCGCCGGCTAGGCTGACTGCGCGGACTTCGTGATCGATCTCGCTCTGATCCATCACTGCTGTAAGAGTATCGTCGCCTCTTTCTGTCGCGTTCGCGACTTCTCGAATCGCTGTCTCGTGAATCTCTTCTCCGCCGTTCCCTACTCCTTCGCCTTTCTCTGTACGGTTCCGGTGATGAAGATGTCGACCTTGTCCTTCTGCGTCGATGGCGATCTGAGCTTCTCCTGTCCTGATCTCGCGGCATTTTCTCGAGTAACGTTGTTAAGCTTTCCATTTCCTCCCTCCCAGCACCTTTTCTCCACCTCCGCAGCGGGAAATCTCCCACTCCGCGAACTTCTCCAAAAATGCACCATTGATGCCCCATTGATGCCCCATTTGGTACCCCGCTTCCTGCTTTGCATCTCTACTACGTACATGATATGACATCTCTATTTTGTTCCTCCTGAGGCTGGCCTCTTTCGCATTCACTTGAACATGTTGAAAAAACCAGGACTTCTGTCGACATGCTACAGTCTTCAGAACCACCTTCATTCCCACCAATCGTCGACGTCACCACCCTCCCTCCCACAACAACGAGCACGATCTCTTCCACAGCTGCAGATCAAGCGGACATATGCAGATGTCCATCATGGACGAGGCCCGGACTTTCGTGACAATATGAACTGGCCTACCAAGACGTCTTCATCCGCAATCCCCACTCCCTACGAAATATTTGATCTAGAGAAAGGCACCGCATATTCCAAGCACAAGTTCTATGAACTAGTCAAGATCTACCATCCAGATCGACACATTATAGAAGACAATATCTCTAGCAGAGAGCTCTCGCACAGTGAGAGACTGGAGAGATATCGTCTCGTCATCTTGGCCAACGAGATCCTGTCCGACCCTATCAAGAGAAGAGAATACGACAATCATGGTGCGGGATGGGCAGGCCACCAGCGCATAAGCAACAGACACACTCGAGGATACTATGCGCCAGGTAGCAAGAAGCCATATGGTAGAGGCGAAGGCTACGATAATTCTCCTTTCGCTAATGCTACGTGGGAGGACTGGGAGCGATGGTATGCCAGAGACACCAATGAAACAGCGAAGCAAAGTCACGCAGGAAACTATATCAGCCCGAATATGTTCGCCTCCTTCATACTTATGATGGCGGTCATCTCTGGCGTCGCACAGGCTACAAACGCCGGGCAGTTTTCAGGGTCGATCGAGGAGAGAGCGCAGGCCTTTACAGCAGAGACGAGCCGCTTTCTCAACAATAGAGCAGAGAAACAGAAGACAGATACCTTGGACTCAGACTCGCGAATAAAGTGGTTTCTGGAGAAGAGAGATCCTTCTAAATCTGGGTTGAAAGATGCCGAGGAGAACATCTACAAAGATCATTTCTCGCAACGCCTCCTCCCAGCTCCGAAGCAAGTCGACGTATCAGACACTGCAGACTAAACCAAGTCTCCGCCATGCAGGATAGACATATCTTCCAGACCCACCAGAGGGGGTGCATACTGTGGCTGCAAGGGGAACTCAGCTCCTACCGATCCTTCGCTGAGTCGATGCCACCATCCAAAAAGCCAACTTTGGAGCACGGTGCTGCTATGATGAAGTCGACTTTGCAGTAGAAGAACGCGTCCTTTGCTGCTCAAAGAACAGAGGCAGTATTACAGTCGCAATAATGCTCAAGAAGCAACCTCCAAGCCAATAGTTCGTACAGAAAAGGCGAATTAAATGGCCTGCCATACCACATATGTGTAGGTCTAGGGACAGGAGTGGCAATCAGAAACAACCATACGGTGCACAATAATCAGGACATAGATCAGCTTGTGCCTAGCTGGAAATAGCCTGGAATGTTCTTTGTCGCAACCGGGGTGACGACAATAGGGCATTCGCCAAGGGCAAAGAGCGGAGAAATAATGAGGTCTCCGCTGTTGGGGATCCTCAGTACGCCTCAAAGGAATACCAGCACAGGAATGACACCACGAGGGACGTCATCTTCTCAAATAGACGCGTGAGCCTCTGGCTGTTTGCTAGGGATACGGAGCCTAACATTCCGTTCCTGCAGCCGCTCGAGCCAATCTGCGAACAACCAAGCTGAGAGCAAGTAAACCTTCAACCAAGAGATAGCTACCCGGGTGCCATTTCCTGCCGTTGCATAGAAACTGGTATGGACCAGAGGGGTACTGTAATGAACCTGTGATATGTTGCGAAGATGCATGTTTGCTGTTATGGTCATGTTTAGACTTATCCGCGATGATGTAGCATCTATGCTCATGAAGAGTCATATGTCCCAGCTTCTCGAAGAGATGTCATGTTACAATACCCAACTTCTTGTCATGAATTTTGCCCTTACTCCAATTGTGTTGATTCCTTCGCATGATCTCTTTTCTTCATCCTGTGCTTTTCTTCCTGTCTACTGAAATCAACCTGTGCACCATAGGGCTGAAGTCGGGATTCGAGCACGCCTGATTCAATCAGCATACCCAAGGTTCCACCAACGTGGCCAAATCTTGACAATATTCAAGTATCTAACTTGGTCGTTCTGGATCAGGCTATTCACAAGTCAAGTTGTTGTCTTTGACAACGAAGGACGCCTGACCAAACCAGAGACATGGTCAAGTTGTTCAATATCCATGGCAGATATCATGGTTGACCAACGAACAACGGAGCAAGATGCAAGCCTACCAGCTCAGCCAGCAGGTTCAAGGATGTCAATGCCACACAGGAGAAAGAGCAAGAGTAATTCACGAGATGGATAGTGTAACAATTTCCTTTCCCTTTGATGCTTTGTTGTACCAACCGGAGATCTATCAATACAGGCCACAGGACCAGCCCAGGCAATCGCATATACTCGCAAGGAAAAAGAAACAAGACAAAACTGCAGCAAAGTAGCTACCAAAGAGCAGGAGGCAAGAACTTACCTCGCACCCTCCTCACTCACCTTTGCATCTCCCTTCTCCCCTCTTCTTCTTCATCTTCTTCTTTCACCTAGAAAGAATTGCTCGACGCTTCAGACGCCGTGGTCGAAGACTCGGAAGAAAGCTTGCCTCTGGCCGAGCCAAGCGCATCCCCCTTCTCCTCTTGCGATGGCGTCACCCACGTGAACGTGTCCGGCTTGGCCGCCGCAGGTCCACCGAGCTGCTGCTGCTCCTTCGTCTTCGCCTGTGAAGTGGTATCCTGCTCATCCAGCTTCTGGAAATCCACCCGCTTGGTCTCGTATTGGGCCCACATGCTGCCCTGGAGTCCGTCACCGGGCCCTTTCCAGCCGTAGCTGGGACCCTGGTTCAGGATGTTGGAGATGTGGCGCTCGGATTTGGGTGCATCGGCTGGGATGGTCTTGACGCCGGACATGGAGGCTGTGGACGCGAGGGTCTGGCCTGGTATGTACGAGTTGCGTTCGGCCCAGGTGGAGGGGCGGGGGAAGCTGGACATGTTTCTTGATGGGCCCATGGTTGGAAAGTTTGGTTGGAAAATTTGGGTTTGAGATTGTGTGGTTTTGGGTTTTTGGAACGTTGTTGGTTTTGGTTTGTTTGTGTGTTTTTGTTTGTTATGGAGGATTGAGTGTGAAGGAAAGCCTATCCAACACATGCTGGCATGGTGTTCATATATCCGAATACTAGCCAGCGTGGGCAGGTGGGTGGACAATGGTACACAAAGAGACTGGAAGTTGAACAAGGAGGGAACAACACTTTCTATGTCCCGAGGCGACAAAGCGCTCCTTCGAGAGCCACAAAGAAACGAACCCAGAATAGATATCCGCCTAACTATCAATCAATGAAGGAGACATGGAACAATGAATCATCCATCAAGCGCAGCATTACATTACATTGCTAAATTCGACAGATCGAAATAATGAAATACCTAGTTCTTTATTTCTAAATCCACCCACCTACTTGCGCTCTAGCTCGTAGTCCCGTAGTCCCGTAGTCCCGTAGATTGGGGAGATTGGGCGCTGAATGGATGTGGTAAATCTACAGTATCGACAATGAATAATGCAACTTCGAACGCCTGCGAGCGAGCGCGGTAGGTAGAAGGTAGAATGTAAATAGCGAAGTAGTATGCGTCGGATATGAAGATGGAATTGGAATTAGAAAAACTAGCGTCTGTTGCAACTTGAGGGGCGGCGTTGGTTGCTGGCCAGCAAGAGAGGGAGAGGGAGAGGGGTCTGCTCTGCGTGTACAGAGGGACGAGGGAGGACTACGCGCTGAGTAGATGGCATCGCGAAAGGCGTATATTCGACTCCGATGCTGCCGCCAACTTTCAAGATGTGAGTTCATGGCTGATCCTCTTCAAGAAGGGGGATGGGGTGAAGGCGAGGGCACATGAGACGGATTTTCTCCGAAGGAGGAGGAGGGGAGGCATCTGCTCGAGTCCGTACAGAAGATAGGATTCGCATGCATATCTTTGGTTGACAAGCCCCTCTGTGTATGTATCACACACTCCTCATCGCCTCCCGCAGCAGCGGCGCGACCTGTTTCCGACTCTTGATTACATTGCGCTGCCACCATATCCTCCCCTTTAGAGCACCACCACGACCACCATCACCGTTATCATCCCCTTTATCCTCCCCTGCGCCCTCCTCCTCCTCCTCCTCCTCCTCCTCCTCCCGGCCAAGCGCACGCGCCAACGCCTGATCGTCCTCCCAATCCTCCAGCCCCAATTCCTCACCCGCCATCTCGTGAAACTTCTGCACCGCCCTCCTCGATGCCTCGGTCCGCCCCGTATCCAGGAGGAGTAATTCGCGCTGGAAGCCAGCCTCGGCATCTGCAGGCACGGTCATGAGAGCGAACAGGTCCAGCGCCGGGTCTTGACGCGTTGCGAAATCTCGCATCGCGCGCACGAAATTCACCACAGATGATCCGTCGGCTTTGCTGATCAGCCACGAGACAGGCTTGACTGTGCTTGCCATGCCGAGATGCATTGTCGATGGTTCCACGCTGTTTGGACTGGTTTCGGTGCGCTTCTCGGACCAAGCTTTGTAGTCCCTGTTGAAGATCTCGGGGAGGGAGAGGAGGGAGAGGGAGTCTGCCCTGGTTGCGGAGATCTGCTCGTAGAAGGATTTTCGGTCCCATTTCGCTGCTTTTTCGCGAGTTGTTGGGTGGGTTTCGTGTTGTGAAGAGGAGGAGCTGTTGGTGATGATCTCCTCAAGGAAGCCTACAACCTTCCGATCCAGATCCGAGACTTTCCCCTCGGCTCTCAGATTCGCCGTGTCGATTAGTATGGCCGCTAGAGAAAGCTTTGCTAACTCCCCGGTCGCTGGGCCGCTGTCCTCTTCTTTGCGGGTTGTAGCAGCAGGGTTCAACAGATCACCCCAAAACCCCTCATCCTTCAGGTATTGCACGACGAGGGTAGTGCAGCTTCCGATCCCGGTTCTGATGATGCGTGGAGATGCGGATGGAGGGACAGACGATTCGTCGATGTGGTGGTCTATGCATCCTACCACGTCTAGTCTGGAGGATAATTCTGAGGATGAGATATCTGGGAGGGGGATTGAGAGGGCGTTGTGATCAACCAGCAAGACCTGAATTTTGCCTTCCGACGCGGACTGGGTTGTGGTGGTTGCTTTGGAGAAGACATAATTCAAGGGGGATGAGGCACACGAGCGGATATCCGAAATAGTGACGAGATTTTCCAGTAAGCTCTTGTTCACTTCTGCCTCTACCCTATCATCCTGAGCATTACCACCCTGGTTGTGGCCATGCAAAGCAAGTCGCAACGCAGTTCCAAATTCTGGCCGGAGACGCCACAGCTCAGCTGATGATGTGGAGGGAAGATTGAGGACCGGAATGTGGAGACATGGTTGTGGTGATGGCGACCTCCTTGCGTAGTGGCTATGAAAAAACGAGTAGATGGTGGCGGAGATAAAGCTGTCGAGGTCGCATGATGGATTGCCCAAGACGAGTGTGTAATAAGTTGGTGAAGTTGTTGGGCGAAGTGCGGCGGAGCGGGCCTGAGCGAGGAAGCGGAGGAGGGGAGATGCCATCCAGTCTTTCTCTTTTCACTGGACTAGTACTTCTGCTATCTATACCTTTCGTCGGTGTTGATATAATTAGAAGAGACTGGCCACCTATTGCGCCCCGTAAGATTGCTCGAAGGCCTTTCAAATCTTACGACCGTGGCGGAGCAGGCTACAGAGAGATGTAGTCTTGAACATGTTCTACAAGGGCAACTATCGCACTATCGCAACGAGAGGTCTTAGCTGATCTGTAGTGTGTAAGCTAGAGGTAAAGGTAAGAGTGAGAATGCAACGATTCGGCTGACGTTAAACCGTTAAATTAACCCTCAACCCCCTTGCCAAGCCTGGTCTGGGCACCTCCGGCCCTGTTTGTGACTATTCCCCTTTCTGGAAATACTTACTTCCGACCAGAAATATGTGTTGTGTGGGATGGGTAATAGAATTCTATCACAGCATCCATAGTCGGTGCTAGTTCACCTGTTAGACCAAGCCCGTTGCAAATTGACCCTACTGGCGCACTCCAGACTAGATCTGGAACCACACTCCTTTGTACATCCACCACATCTGCAAAAATTTCTACGTCAAAGTAGTATGCAGCATTGAGAGAAGTACCAGCAAAGCAGGCATCCCAAAGGAAGACAGGTAGGACAGGGCTGGGAAGATGGTATGAAAAGGCATCAAAGAAGTGAAGATTGAGAGAAAAGTCCATTCATAAATATCTACCGTGAAAGGTATCATGTAATTGCTTGTCCATTCTATGTCCAACAGTTATCCCACCACACTAGAACCCAATCATCACGTGTATACAAGTAGAAGATTAATCCTGCTTAGTCTCACCCCCCTCAGGAACCTGTTTGTGCATCGGTGAGGCAAGTCGGAACATTGCATTACCGAGTCCAGACCTCACCGGACCTGAGGGCTTCTCATTGTGCAGACTTTCTATATTTGCAAGCCTTTCCTTCATGTCATCATTGCTGACCGTCACAGCACTGGTCAGAGCATTGTCTTGTGGAGGGCTAGGGGTGAATGGGGTGAAAGGTGTTTGAGATTGTGAAGCGGGCGATTGCATCCTGGACAGATCCCTTTTCGAAGTATCACTAAGTGATGTCATTCGTCTTTGTAGCATCCTACTTGCTTCCGCTGCCTCTTTCTCCTGCAACGATTCCGATGGCAACAGGACGGCACGGTCCAGCTCATACGGCAGCCCTCTGTGACGTCCACGAATCTGCATGGCGATGATGACCAATTTCGACACTGTCCTGAATTCCCCAGAAAACGAAGCATTGATGGTTGGATATCCCAACGAGAGTCCGACAGTTCCGTAGGCGGAGATGATCTCGAAGAGCACGGAAAATAGAGTAAAGGCATACTCGTTGGTGTTTTCGAGCCTGTCGCCCTCCACAATGGCGATGATGAAAAGTCCCAAAAAGACATACCACAAATCGAAACTCAATTGCTTGCGCAAATGAGCTCCAATGTAGCTTGGCTCACTGTCATCACCATCGCCGTTGGCTGGCCTTTCCCCGTAGATCCCCAAGCTCTTTTCTTCGTACACGTTTGTTCGACGCATGGAGATGGCGATCGGGAAGACGGAAATATACATCATGATGAGGTAGGAGACTTGAATTGCAGGGTGCAACAAGGAAAGATTGACAACCGAAAACCCAGCCGTTCGAGTCGAAGCAGCTTGAAACAGTCCGTTGGTGAATTTCTGGAATCCCGGCATTCTCGAAACCGTTTCGTCATTCAACTATCGTTTGTGATTAGCATGTCGGATCTCCCACTGAGGTGAACCAACTTACGTCTAGTATGACAAAGAAAATCAGATCCAGGGCATTGAGTGCAATGACTATAGCAAAAAGCCACCAGGTAGCTGCCCTCGGAAACAGTAGGGTGAAGCACCGACGCGGATGATCGAGTAGAAACTGAAGCTCCTCCCACAGACCAGTTCCTCGTGGAACCAGTTTGGAAGTAAACCAGATGACAAATCTGAGCATGCATGGGAAACCAGTGTTGCCGATAATGATAAGGAAGGTCATGAGCAGTAGCGGGAAGACCGCAGTGCCGAAGGAGATCATGGAATCAGGCGTCAGAGTGAAGCCCAAATCATTGAAAGCAGAACCTGCAGTAAAAACTCCCCACCAGGGTCGACCTTGACCAAAACTAGTAACGACTGAACCGTAGGTGGCACTTTCCATAATCCATGGCGTCAGACAAATGACACCAAAGGCATGAAAAAGGAAGAAGTATGCTATCAATACGACCGCAAGAGTTTTGAGCGCACGATACTCAATGCCTCCTAATTCTTCCCTTTGCTCTTCATTGAGATTGACGAAAGTAGAATTGCGCACAACGGTAGGTACCCAACTCAGGTATGGTGCTTGTTCCTTGGGCTCTTCTTCTTTCGACTTGAAAAAGGTGGTGTTGGCGCTGATGAGACCCTTAATATCACTTGCCCGCCTCGATCTCACTTTGGAGAACAGGCTGGCAGAGGGTTGTGCGGATGATGAGCGGGAGCCATTCTTCTCAGTCTCGAGTCTTGGAAATGGGCTGGCCTTCTCTCGAGATCGCGAGATCTTGGGTTCATTGATGGTGATGTGATTGGCTGATACGGGCGTCCTGCCAAAATCCACAGGACCCAAGTGAGGTTGATCGAGCCGGCCTGTGGCCTTGCGTGTCAAAGCTGCATTTTCTTCGTCACCGACATCCTCGGGCTTCCCGCCGCGGTCAAACTCGCGTGGACTTGGTATACGCAGCGTGCTCTTGTCTTTGGGACTCCTCTGATTCTCTAGGAAGGCGATATGGTGGTCCATGTTATGGCGTTGAGGAGGTTGTATGATCTCAGGTACTGCGCCATCTGCACCCAATGCTCCTTGTCTTTCAGAAGGTATTTCGCCCTGAGCGGTGTCGTTAGAGCTAGTCACGCTCTCATTGCGTGCAGACGAGGAACTTAGACTTTCCTCCGCTGCGTTGGCCTTGGACTTTTCCTCTTCCAAGCTTCCATCAAACGTATGACCATCATGAAGCACGACAATGCTCCTCCCTCGCACGCCCTTCTCTTTCCTGCCCAGTTCAGGATCGTTTTTGGCTTTGGAAACGGATCTGCCCTTTGACTTGGATCTGCGGAGATTGCGGGCTTCTTCTACAACGTGCTTGAATCTTTTCTCGAACCAATACAACCGGACGTACACAACAGAGCTATGGATGAAGATTGGATTGCAGAGCATGCTGAGCATGTAGAGAAGAAATTGTTGGCCGGTATGGATTTTATTGACGTCGATTGTGTTGAGGCCGCTTTGAGTTGCACCACCGCTACCGAAAAAGAGGGCATCAATGTAAGGCATACCACCAATTGCGTAGATGATGACGGAGCCTGTAAGTGCCATGCCAGAGATGTACAGATAATGTATTGTGATAAAATTCAAGCGACCCTTTGTGAATAGATCTGGTATGAGCGGCTTGATGCGGTCCCAGACCGCCCTGAATGACGAGCTCATTGTCGCGAGGAGGATGCGTTCTTTGCTCTATAAAACACGGCTGCAATGGTTTCTAGAAGCTGCAGCTGGGGAAAGAGAGGCCTTTAGAGGAGAGAAGGAGACTGCTGACGGGGGTCGGGCGGATGATAAAGATAGACCTTTCGGTTGGCTGACCTGGTTAGCCCAGGGGAAGGTTGGAAATCTCCATTGTCGTTTGAGGACGAGGCGATGAACTCTTGGCTAGAGGATGAGGGAATGCGGGGGATCGGTAGAAATAGGGCCTGAATTGAGATAACGATGAGGTTGCGATTGTGGTCTGATATTTATCAAGGTTGAATGGATGGGAAGACTGCGGAGCCGACTGCGGAGCCAACCGCGCCCTCGGGTACTCCAGACCCTAGGCCTAGCCTAGATAGAGCTCAGATTGATTCGGGGAAAGAGGTCCTCAAGCGCTCCACGGAATAGGAAAATCTATAAAAATATGCCCCCATTGCCAGAATCTCACCAGATCAGCTCCACACAGATTTCCAATACCAACAACGTGGTGATCCCTGCTTTGTTAGCGTGCCAGCGTCGATTGTACACAGGTATGTTTCCAGTTGGTGGCACAGCAGACTTCCGCCCCCTGCAGAGAAGGCATCCGGCCCAAGATTGCTGACTATTCAGCATTCCTTCGTTTCACCTTCCATTTCTCCAACAACATAGCAATAAAATGAGTACTCACTACGTCAGAGTATACTAAGTACTTTGAATTAATGAGTCGATGACCGTAGGTACGAAAGTTAATGGTTGTGGCCTGATCCTGATTGGAACCAAATATGGGACGTTGAGGCTTATTATTCTGGAGTCTGTTGCTATTGTTTGTCTGTATTCATCACAAAGTTAAGCTCAAAGCAACAACACCTTGGAGCTAATTCACAATGTTTCCGTATACCATCTTCTCTGCATATCTGCCATGTCTCTACTTCTTACGCTGTTTCGTTTCGAAGATGTCCATGCAGCCTACTTGCACCTATCTTGCCTCTTTAACAAGCACTACGCTCGCTCATTTCGGAGATGATTGTATGGGTCAGTCAAGCCAAGGGCTTCTATGAGGATCTGGGATAGGCATGGAATGTGCTCATTGGTCAAGCCGGTGACACCGCTGTGGCAGCTGAAGGGGTTCCAATGGTGCTCGGTATAAAGGAGCAGGACCAATTCTAGCAGAATGACATTCATGTTCTGATCTGCCCCAGCACATTGATATGGTACGACCCTCAACCGGTCAAGGTTGCCACGCAATTCTATCAAGAACCACTATTCTTCAAAAAAGAGCTCCGACTGGTTTCTGCTTCGATGGTAGCGGCAGCACCATGCACCATTTTGCACACCCAGTCTTTATACGCATCAGCAAGGTTGCCTCTGTGTGGGGATCTGATTGAGTCGACCCATTTGTTTGTAACTTAAATATTCGACTTGCTATGCTGCTTCGATCAGACCTCGATGGTTACTTGCTTGATAGAAGTAAAAGAAGTGTACGAGTACATGCCGCAACGAGGCCTTCAATTGTTTGCTCGCTCCAAATACCGCATGCTCCCAGAAAGGTATTCTCTTGATACACAATCGTGCTTTTCCGTATGGTTGGCCATTCATCTCCCAAGCAACAAACACTGGCCCCAGTCGCTTCACATATTCGCTTTCCCCTTAGCCTTCACCTCCTCGGCAGTAGCCTTGGCCTTTCCCTCCGCTTCGTACATCTTTCCTTTGGTTTCATGCTTCACTTCCTGGGCTTTGCTGCTGGCTTGGCTGGCGGCCTGCTCGGTTTTGGCTTTTGCTTCTTCAGTCTTTAGGCCAGCGATTTCGCGCGCTTTAGCCGCCGCTTGTTCTACACGGGATATGCGTTAGTTCTGGAAGCGGAAGGGGAACGTCAATGGAAATCGGTATACTTTATCGGTTGATGCTAAAGCAGGAGAGAAAATAGGGTATAATGCGACGTGGAACTCGAGAATGGATCAACATTAGGATCCGAAAATATACTTACCAGCAGTCTCGATCCCACTCACTGCAGCGTCGCTGGCTTTTCGATCTAGAGTCTTGACTGTATCCTTCACGGTTTCAGTAGCGGATTTGTTCTGGATGGCAGTTGAGGTGAAGAGCCGAGACGAGGGACGGGTAAGAGAGCGGAGAGCTGGTTGAGTGCGGTACAGGAAGTACATTGTGGTTATGAGGATTTCAATCTCGTGATTATGGTCCCTGTATAATATGGCAATGATGCTTTGGATGACAGCAAAATTAGATGATGTTCCGGGCTTGTATGAGAAACGGGCAATTGAGGTTGGTAGAAAGCGGAGAGCTTGGAGAGCTGATCCAACTACGTCACTTTTAGGCACTTTAACATGGGTGACACAGAAGTGCAACGGGTCCAGAAATGCAACAAAATCCCCACACGGACGCTAGAAATCTTAAAATTCAAGACTTTCTACGGAGTAGATCTTGATCTTTCTCTTACATCTCTGGTCTAAATCTTTATAATTCAGACAATAGACTTAACTCCGAGGTTACTACATATTTCCAAGGATCTGAGGCTGATACAGACATTCGAAAATCAATCATTCTGGTTGGATAAAGCGTTGCATTTCTAGACCCGTTGCGGCTCTGAGTCTGTTATGTTATTAGCTTGGACGGGGGGCTTTCTACTCTCTTAACGACTCTACCTGCAGATACTAGTATAGCTGCCATAATTACAGTTGATCTAAACCAACGTCAAGATATAGGTCAAGATCGATTTCGATATCAATCAATGCAAGAGGTGGTATATATTTGTGATTCATAATGTTATCACGCTCTCCTGCGCGAAAGTAGACAAGGTAATCCAAGCGTAACCCGCAGTAATAAAGACCGCTTGAGCTTTCCACCCTTGAGTCACTGTGGGCTGATAGACATGCTTTCCTGGTGTCATGAGCAACATCGAACTGCTAGAGCTAGCTCTTTTGCCGGTACCCTCTGCCAATACGTGGGCTGCTCGAGAAGATTAGATGCACGTTGCGAAAGGCCCGTCCCTGTGAGTGGGAGCGAGTAAAGTCCTTCCAGGGTGGGGGGAAGCGAGACTCCCTGCCTAGCAGAAGTGTATGGGATGTGGAATCCAGATGAATGTATCGCTGTCTGGTGGCTGCTTGTAGTACGTGGGATTTGATACTGTTGCTTCACTCCACTTCGAAAGCCGTCTGTTGATGAAAGCACATAAGCCACGTCTCGGCCTCGGCATCCAAACGCCAAACACTAGCGCAGAGAGCATGGAATTCGACGTTCCCCTCTCCTTCTAGTGGAGGTCTCAAGGCTACCGCTCGATAGGTGATCAGAGCAGCCTCTCTCCCAAGTTCTGTTACTGCCACGTCTTCTAGAGCATATCCGATCCACGGTATAAAAGCATCACTGAGCATGATGTCCTTCAGTGAGGGATCCGAAGTCGCCGAGACTTTGAGCCCTACAGGGAATTGCATGACACAATCGCGGGACAGGAATGGAAGAAGCGCAGAGCCATTCCGTTGAAGAGCGCGCCATGTTTGGTGTTCAAGGTCAGATATCTTTTCGGCAAGCATGGCCGCCATTTTGGGAGACAGCCACTACTGTATGACAAAAACAAAGACCAGTTGGAATAGATGTTGAAGGATACCGATATCATCTCGATATCATCTTAATCTCACCGCAGGCAGCACTTTGCCAAGTCACCCTTTAGTTACTAGCGTTGGCAGCGGATAATTCCGTGTCCCTTGCCAAGGCAACAGAAGCGACTAAGTACAGTATCACGGGATACTCCGTACTCGTAGTAGTAGCTATGGGTCGACGTGGGCTCCTTTGAGCACTTCAAGTTCTTGCTCAACTGTGGCTTCGATTACTCGGGAGGCGCCGCCTCCGTCTTTGGCAGACGAGATGCCGCAGTGCATGCGATCAAGACTGCATTGTCGAATTACCGGCGCAACCTTCCCATCCCTCACACGGAAGTTATCAACACAGGTCAAGCCACCCCTCAGGATTCTGCAGCACCCAGCACCCCACTCAGGGCACATTCGAGTTCTCCTCCTCAACAGGCCAGAAGCACGTAATGCATTATCGCGCCAATTGGTCTCTAACCTTGCCGAGCAAGTCGACACCATCAAAGCCGAAGGAGGATTCGGCGCAACTAGAGCTTTAATCATAGCATCTGAAATAGACCAAGCATTCTGCTCTGGAGCGGACCTGAAGGAAAGGAAGACTTTTACTCAGGACGAGACGAAAGCGTTCCTTACCCAGCTTCGTCAAACCTTCACCAATCTCTCCAATCTACCAATCCCCACCATCTCCGCAATCTCCTCCCTCGCACTAGGCGGGGGGCTCGAACTAAGTCTCTGCACCTCTTTTCGCGTCTTTGGCTCCTCCGCCGTCGTCGGCTTACCAGAGACCCGATTGGCCATCATACCCGGCGCGGGAGGGACATACAGACTTCCAGGCCTGATCGGCGTGAACCGGGCACGGGATATGATCCTAACAGGCCGCCGTGTCAGCGGCGCAGAAGCATACTTCATGAGTCTGTGTGATCGATTGGTAGAAATTACGCCAGAGGAAGAGAAGCAGGAAGGTGCTGCTCGAGCGAAAGTCTTGCAGGTTAGCCTTGATCTCGCAAGAGATGTGTGTGAGGGCGGACCAATTGCATTAGCCCAGGCGATCAAAGCTGTCAACGGGTGGCAGAAAGGCGAAGAAGCCGAGAATGAGGCTTACAATACTGTCTTGGGGTCTGAGGACCGACTTGAGGCACTGAGAGCATTCTCGGAGAAGAGGAAGCCAACGTTCAAAGGAAGGTGATTGACGGGTAGGGTTTCGTACGGATTGCTCTATTTCCTAGCGCTGCCGCCGTTCAACTTTACCAACGACTATCACAGGTACCGGCATGTCAGATTTCATGCCAAGCACCAGCGACGCATTGTTTCAGGAACCAACCTGCTGGCAGGGCCGTGATGATTACAACGCCTGGTCGCAGAACGAAAACATGGTCAGCACCACCACTTATGCCACGCAGACCTCGTAGGGCTCATAACCGTATGAAAAGGCCTGCGCTGGCGAAGCAGAACACCATGGTTGCATCAAGCAGCTATCCTACCGTCTGCTGAACTATCCCTCATCCGTCCGTTGTTCTGATCCCAACACTGGATCACCTACAAGTACAGAAGCCTTCCCAGCTTCGAGCCTCAAGAACCAACAGATCGGGTGAAGAAAGACCGTGCTGGACGCGATGAAGACAGTTCTCAAGTTCCCCCGTCCGCTTCGGAGGGAGTGCCGTTGTAGAAGCTCGCCAAGGCCAGGCAGCTCATATTCATACTCCTAGTTCTCACCGTCCTATTGTTTCTTGGATCCCCGACGCAAGAGGCGCATAGGGAGGACGAATGTGCTCTCCTTCTGGGTGACCGACAATCGATATTCAAATTCGAACTATGGTGGAATGGTAAATCCAATTTCCATGTACATAGTACACATCTGTGTCTATGGTATACGCGTGAAGATAGCAAGAATGAAAGGAGGCGAGATGAAGGCGTCTCTGATCTGCATGAGCAGGAAGACGAGGTCTTACTCTGACATTCGAAGCCTGATATAAGGGTATAGTGGGTATTTCAGCATATGCTTCAAGGCTAATTTGATTTGTTTGTAATGGTAGTAGTAGTCGTCGTCTGAACCAAGCATATGAGGTACATGCTCTCATATCAGTCAACTACCAGCGTCAAATTTTTCGTACTTACATATGTGCACAGGAGGTGTCCCAGAGAGCTTTTCTTATGCGCAAAGTAACAGAAATCACGACAGATTCCTTCTCCTACTATATCAATATCCAACCAATCAAAGCAAAGCAAATCGCTATATGCTAATGGGGGTATCTCTATCGCTGTTTTCCAACTCCAGAATTTTTCCAAGAAAGCCATACGAAAGTTCATACAAGTCCAGTCCCGAACTCAGATGTATGCCCTACCAATCGTCCCCGATACAGTGCAGGTGTTCCTCAATAAATCGTTGACGGAACTGTAGTACCATTAATTCCCCTTCACAAAACGCTAGAATTCCAGGGTCGCTGGATATGCTCGCAGAATCCGTCCATCCCGTAAAAGTAATTATTAATAGATACCTGCTGATTGCCCGAAGATGTTCCCAGGATATATAACCGATACAGATTTTGATTCGGTTCCATGATGTCGCTTTCGAGGCGTCCGATGCACACACATATGATTAAACGGTTGAGAGATACTGTGGGGTGTGAGATCGAGGACAACAATATAAGTGCAACGGTGGAATATGACGCTCGAAGAGAGGATACAATATGTTGCGTCGGCTGGAAGGTCCAAGGCCCAGCGACATGATATATGTTTCGTGACATCAGGGAGCCGAACTTGTAAGGGCAAGTAAAGAAGCGCCTGCTTTAGAAGGTTTTGTGGGTATATACAAGCAAGAGGTATAACAGCCGGTGATGTGCGTGGTGTAAGGTAGATGTAGCCATCTGTAGACTGTTTGATGGCAGCACTACCAGGACGAGAGGGATGTAAATTTAACGCCATATTGTCAAGGTTTGCGGCCGAGTAAAGGATCAAATGATTTTCGGGTTCTGATACCGGCGACCTGGAGAGAGGAGAAACGCTAGATATTGAGTACCATACGCTCGAGTCCCGTGTTTAGGGCGACTTGTGCGAACAAGCTGTGGATCGAGACTTTAAGCTCAGTGGCTTCGACTTCGTCCTGTATCCTTACAAGGTAACGAGCGAACGGCCTCGCCATATTGTGAGAACGTTATGTGACACGATCAGAGGTCCGACCAACCACGTTTCATGGACTAGGATGACGCCAGTTCAGGGTTGTCTGCCTGCTGGGAGGTATAGGTTGCTTTATAGTTGGTATTCTGGTGTCCGGAGCCTGTTCTGAGAGAGGGATAGTCTGAGATGAGGAACTTCTAGCAGGACTGCCTTGTGGTCGAAGCCATTCAGACCATACATCCGTTGATTCAGTCATGAGACCTCCATAGTCGTCGTCGTTGTCCTCATCGTACTCTTCGACGAAGCTTCCAAGTAGCATCTTATTGACATCACCAGACGAGGGCTCGGTGTCGATTATATCACTACGTGTGACTTGTCAGCCGGAGGGACCACGAGGCTCTTTTTGGGTATGATGTTACTTACGGGATACCTGCCCATTTCAAGTCCTTATCTAAATGACGCAACATGTACGCTGCATCCGGATCGTTTCCGAATTGGATAAACTCAATACCCACTGGCCGAATCTTGAGATTACTGACGGTGCTTCCCAGTTTCTTCACAAAGGAAACAATCTGCTGATTCACGTCGTCCTTATGTTGCACACCTGCCCACACACCGTCTGTAAAGATAATCAAGGCGAGATCCTTGACCTCCTTTTGGTAGGGGTATTTGTTTCTGTTCTCCAATTCCTCAAGATACTTGGCAAAGATATTACCCAATGATACTCGAATGTCGGTGTGCATATTCTCCGTTGGGTGGGCCCTTGGGTCTTTCATTGCCTTCAGGAACTCAGATTTGTCTTTCTTGTTCTCGACTTTCACAGGCCCAGCTGTGAAGAAGAGGTCTATCCCATTCTCGTCTTGACCGGCGGCTTTCCAAACTAATGTTTCGAGCAGATACGTGGCTTCATACCAGAAATCCTTCATTGTCTCGCCATTATCCACAAGAAATTTCTGAAAAGAGATCAGTAAGTACACACCTGTCAGCTATGAGAGGACTTCTGCAGCCACTCACAATATCTCGATTTCCGAAGTGTTTGCTAAGCAGCTGATCTTTTCGTGTTTTCCGGAGGTAATTGTGCTTTTCACGTCTTTCTACTTCTTGACGTGCTTGGAAAACGTTCTGAAAGGTACTTCTGCGGGACATTCCTGTAAGTTTTGGGCGAGTTGAAGTCGGAGAAATCGGCGTGAAAGGGTGAACATGACCACTTTTCCTGTATTGCACAAAGTGTGCATCCTCCGAATCTTGGCGAACGACTATTTTCTCCTCTGAAAAAGGAGGATCAGGAACGCCAGATGCTTCTCGCTGCACCGAAACAGTCTTCTTGGTAGGAGTTGCGTAGAGCGATGGCTTGATTTCTGGCTCAGCAGCTCGAGCAGACAGTGCAGACTTGAGGCGCTCGGAGCGATGAGCTGTCTTCCTCAATGGCTGATCAAGAAGCTTCGACTTGCGAGCCTTGCGGTCTTGAGGAATATTCAAGGACTCGCGCCTGCTTGTCGAAACTTGGGAGGACATCATTCCGGCGCTTTTGGAAGGCGCCTCTTCGTCCACCTCAAGCAACGCTTTCATGATGTTTTCAGGCATTGGTCGCTTGGGCTTGGCACGATTCTCACTCAGGATTTGCTGTAAGTCCTTGCAGATGTCTTTTGCTTTTGATCGCTGATGAGAGTCTCCCAACAGCATCTTCCCATCTACCAGGTCAAGTACTCGACTCGTTATAGTGTCTGTCTTACGCAACGCGCTACGTAGCAAGCTGTGCCAGCTTGTTACGTCGGGTAGAACCTTTCTTGAATCGTGAAATGTGTCTCCAAGCCGTGAAGGCTGTTTGCTGCTGAGTCTGTTGATCGCTCTCTGTCGTACCTTCACAAATTGCCGGATCCCAGGGTAGCCGAGGACTACCCACGTGGCAGCAATCGAAAAGACACACCCTAAGGACCAAATGTCAATTGTTTGGGGCACCGCAATCGAAGTGCCATTCTTCCCTGGGTAGCATTCGGGAGCACCTAAACAAGGGGTCGAGTTAGAGATTGATCTATCCTTCACGCTTAATCAAGGAAAATAACATGCATACCGTACGTCTCGGTGCCCCCCATGATTTTTTCCATGGGAGGCAATTTATCGGTTTTTTTTACAAATTTGACAAACCCGGGATCAGCTAACTTGAACTTTCCCTGTACGCTTAAGATGTTGTCCGGTTTGATGTCGGCATGCCACCTGTCATCTGTGAGTAAAAGTACCAGCTGATGTCTTTGTTGGTGACTCACCCGTAGAAATTTTGTCTCATTCCATCGGTGGAAACCTCCAGGTTATGTATACCTTCGACAGCATCTGCGATCTCGAACAGGTCCTGCCAGAATGCTTCCACTTCAGTGTCAAAGACCGGTGGCAGGCGTTCCGCGAAAAACTCATCGAGATCGCAATCTCCATACTCGAGGAGGATATTGTAAGTGGTTTTCGTCACATTCTGCACCGATCCTGGCGCGACAGTTCCGGACCCACCCGGAGCTCGCAGGATTTCTTTGTGTCCGTACTCGGTGAGGAACCGAATCATGCCGTCATGGTTCTTGAGACCGATGAACGCAGCTCTCTCGTTCAAGTACAGGTCTCGATTGCCCTCCTTGAATGTTTTCAGAGCGAAGGAGTAACCCTAAAGACAACAGTCAGGACATTTGGCAAAGTGAAACCAGGTGCATCGTCATCCAACCGCATAACATTAGATAAGACCAGACTCACCCAACCAAAGTCATCTTTTGCATCATAGAACCTTGAGCTCGATACAGCCTTTCTCATCTGATGGCCCACAAACTCCTCTTGAACAGCAATCTGCCATAACCGTGCAGTGCCACCTTTGTCATTGATCTTCTCCTTCTTGAAAATCGGTATTATCGTGTTCTTAGGATGATCACGGCCCACACGGAAATCAAGCCTGGCCGCACAAAAGCGCCATTGCATTTCATCAAATCTTTCTGCTAGATTTTCCGGAATAGGTAAATTGAGACTCGCTAAGTCCATGGCCGCTAACTTGGACTGCAGCGATAACAAGTCAATGGGAAGATGTCTGTCCTCTATGGCTTGTCGCTGGAACCGGTCGACTAGGCAGCCTAGTCCGAGGTCGAGAAGTATGCTGAAGACGAGAAGGCAACAGTGTTCACCTGCACAAAGCTCTTCTGACGAAATGGGTAGGAAGTCCTTTATTCGATTGTGATATGTAGCCACAAGAAGTCGGCTTGCATGGGTGTTATCTGAATCTGGCTCAACTTTCTCTTTCAACCATTCTGTGAGCTTGGCCGTTCGGACATAGCTTCGGCCGCAGGCAGCTCGCACTGTGCACTCCTTCAACTTGGTTCGAAAACCCTGGATTACAGCCGTATGCCAAGTTGTGTACTGCTGTGCCATGGCGTAGTCGAGCCAATTGAGTCGTTGCTTCGAGGGGGTGGGATGGTTGCTGCGCAAATTGAGGTCGCTTGTACGGGAATCAGGAAACCAATAGCACTACTTTGGCAGAATGATGACAGCGCAAGGATGGAAGATGAGTGGCGATGTTGACGGTATCCCTTTTGTCGGGTCTCAGGTGTAGGGAATTGTATATGATCGCGGGAGGGAAGTGTCAAAGTGAGTGAATGATTCCTTACCCCCAGGTATAAGGACCGTAGGCCGGCCATTGGGGGGCCCATGAAATTCTGCGTCAGCGGCCTCCAGAAGGGCAAGGCTGTGTATTGTGAGTCTGCTGTGGCCTTGCGGTGCTCAAGAGCGGTTTAGGGTCTTCGCAGGGGCTAGTAACCTTGTTAGAGGTTAAACGAACACATCGCTGTGGGCGCTGACAAACCTGCAATTCAAGCCCTAAGCAATCGAGAGCTTCATGGAAAAGTCGAGACAGAAGCCTGCAGGTCACAAAGATCTTGCCAAGGGCGGGCAGTCAGGGCTTGCCCACCGCAATTACTACGGCTAGTTACAGGCATTATTTTTGTACCCCCTCCCTGCTGAAAACATTAGTATCCGTACAAAACGGACTATGTAGAATTAGGTATAATCGTCCACGAGATGGCCAAACAGGACTAGGCTCCAAAGTCCAGTTTTTACCTCTATCGACATCTTCAATTGCTTCCTATCTCGCCTGTATCGACTGAAGCAGCTTCTAAGATAGTCAGAAGACACAGCATTTAATGAAGAATTTAACAGTCACTGTCCTATCATCAGCCCTCATTATTATCCCTGTAGAATAGGTAGAATGCATAAAGAATAGAATGAGCAGAATTTGCAGGGTGAGCAAAATTCGTGCAAAAATAGCGACAGGGATGCCGACACAGGGTGTGTGTTTGTGTGTAAAGAACACGTTTGTAAGATATTTTAACCCGGGGGTGGGGTACAAAAATTCAGCCTGTAGCCGTAGTAAGGATCCGGGGAGCCGTCCAGAGTAGGGTTCCCTGGTACTCCGGCCCGGAGGCCCGAAGACAGACGTTTAGTTTGGCAAAACAATATTCTTACTACCTATGGATAGTGACCCGGCCACTATCCCCAACCAGAAGCATAGCACACGATGATGTAGGTTTGGGGGTGCCTGGCGTACTTTGATCGAGAGGAGGTTTCCCACTCCTGTCAAGTAGGAAGAAGAAGTCATGCCAGGGCCCCTGCCCGATCAGCTGTGTTCTACATTAGTTTAGGGATAACCCAATACAGCTCGCAATACCAGTTCTCACTCGCTTAAGCCAGTGCAATAGTTATAGCTGTGACGTATGTGCGGACAGTACAGGGAGCCTTGCGGCAAAGATACCATATCCCACATGAGCATTTGGTGGCCACAGCCAATCAGCAGTCGCAGCGCAAAGCCCATGAAATTGCCGATTCATTATTATCAATAAAGTGACATAATTGTCGTTTCGTAGCGTTCGTTCTGGATGCTCGATCTCTCATGAGGTGTCAGCCTTAGATGCTGTCCAGTAGAGAGGAAGTGATGCACGTTTCCGCTTCTTATCCGCTATTCTGAATGCTATGTATCCAATAGCCAGGGTCAGGGCGCTCAACGGCAGGGTTACTTGCAGCCACCGGAACAAGGCGATCTTAGAGAAAGATCCGTAGAAAGTCTCGTTTGGAGAAGTAGCCAAGCCGCTCGTGGCATCACTGTTACCATTTTGATTCTGAAATCTGATCACATCCGTACTGAAGAAAGTCTAGAGAAACTTAGCAAACGTTGATGCTGTTGTCCGTATAGAAACCTTACCGATACAAATGTTGCTGGCAGATAGACTAAGGTCACCACAGTTATGATGCGAACAGCAATTGCCTCTTTTTGAGACATTACTCCGGTGTTGTAGGTACTCATGGTCAAGGCCTCCATCTTCTCTGTCGCTTGATGCTGAAGATGCTGTAGGATCTGTAGGCCACTTAGCCAGCCGAATTTCTTAGCTGAATCAGTGGACTAGGATGCTTACCAAGTTCTTCCTGTCAGCGACGATTCTGCTGAGGAGTCTGGCGCGCGATAGCTGCATTTTGGAATCATGCACCATATCATCCACACGCGCAGCGAACGTGAGTACGTCTTCCTGGCAGTTTCCCTGCAGTGAAAAATCTCTCCTGTCCACCAAGCGCGTATAAAATGAGCGAAGAGAAGTGAGTATACCGGCGTTAGCTTCAAGGATCATGATAGCCTCATGAGTCTTCTCTTCGTAATGATGAAGAGTCTGGAGATCTTCTGGGGTATATTCGCGCCGCGCTCGGCTGGGATCACGGGGGCCGAGGACAGCGATGTGTGACTGCAGAGAGTCATTGTGTCAGCGTCACGAAAAGACTATTTAATTGTAACGAACATTTGCTCACCTCGTGATCCGTTACATCTTCTAACCACTGAAGGTACCAGCGCCACGCTTCTGTTGACCAATGGCAGTATAACAGATGAACAGCCAAGCTAGATCGGAAACACTCTTCCGGCGTGCCGAAGGCTCGATCTTCTGGTCGTCCGTCTTTACCCGTCATTTCTTGAAGTCGTTCCTTGATCTCCAGATCGCCTTTCGTAACGATCCACAAGGTCGTTCCGTGCCCGACGTCAAACTGATGATAAAAAGCTGCCTGACGAATAGACCACTCTTTTTGTTTCAACGTGGTGTCAGCGGCCGACAGACAAGCGACAGACTTCAGGTTATAGCATAGCTGGTACTGCCGCCCACTTCGACCTAGGCTAGGCATTGATAACCCCTTGACAGGCTTGCTGAGCAAGACTTGCTCGCGAAAGCCACTAAATCTCAATTCCCGGGAAGAGCTTTGCTGTCCAAAAACAGATATGAAGTCTAGATACTCGGGCATGACTTGATGATAGCTCGCTATTCGAATGAGCATCTGACGAGTAATATTGAGCGGTCTTCGTGAATGTCCTCCCCACAAGAAACTGAGGCACAACTACTATTAGCGTAATGGACGAACGGCGTGGGTAAATTGAGTACGCACACGAATCGACATTTGGGGTCCCTCCTGGTGGCTAAATCTCCAACAGGAGTCGAGGTAAGAGAATCAACGGTTGACCGATCCCCGATCCAGTCCTTCAGCGCTTCATCATCGAAGATGTTTCTTTTCTCGAATGCTTGACGGGTCAGTATCCAGGTCACAAACCAAGAGGCAGGAAAGTTTACCTTGTTCATTGGGAAGTAAATCTCGAAATGGGATGTAAACTTCTCCATTATTGGCTGTGAAAAGTTTGGCTGCAGCGTTGTTGAGCCGATCCCTGTAAGCCTTCAAAACACCAAGATAGGAAGGTTGGTAGACAAGGTTGCACGGGTAAGCCTCGAAACTTTTGTATGATTGTTCGAAGGCCTGCGAAAGCTGCAGGTGTGCCATTGGTCGGCGTAATTACGCGTGTGTCGTAGTGTACCGAATGATTATGCAACCTTGCCAATTGCTTTTTTTGCTCAAGTTCCTGAAAGTCTGACACGTTTTATCTGGACATTGCGAGGTCTTGCAGTATATAATTCAGTTTCGCCATGCCTCAAGACAGTCGTAAGGGTCCTTTAGGGATTCCGTTCCCACTCAGAATGCCTCGCCGCAAGTTCGAGGCTGTGATCGTACATTGAAGTGAGCCTACATTGTGGCTGTGCGCCAGTGGGGTTTCCAATTCGTAGTACTTTGCCCCACTGATCCCTTGCATGAAAAAGGAGTTCTTAGCCTCCCCCGGCCCCCAATACCCCATTCAGTTCTGTTCGACTACGTAGTATGCCACCCTGGCCAACCCTTTGTGACAAATATTTGAAACGAACTGAAGTCACGGTACCCTTTTTGACATATTTGTACAGAGTAGTCATGAAATCTATGTAGCCCGTGTGACCGAGCTATTCGGGTTCGGGTGATTGTGCTCGATCTAGTATCCCGTAATCAAGCAGCTGCTCTATTTCGGCATGATCTTCCTGTGATATTGAACGTATAAGCAGAAGAACACGGAAACAAAGACATGGCACGCTAGAGGAAAATAGGCTCGACAAGCAGCTTACCGACGTAAGATCCTCAGGTATGTCGAAAATATAGTGGTCATTTTGTACCTATGCCGAGACAAACCATGTCAGTTTTGCAGTATGCCTTTTCGAAGATTGGTCGACGCAAATGAATGATGATACCACTTACCCGACACTTCTTAAAGCTCTGCTTGGGAAATTTTTTCTCTAGGAAAGCCTTGAGCTTCTCCCAACTGAGTCGATAAACAGAGTAGGTGTTTTGCCTGAGCTTTTCGCCTGGCGGGCAGTGAGGCTCCCGAGTTTCAGCCCTTATCTTGAAGCTCAAGGTTTTCCGCTTTGGGAAGGGAGCCCCGGGTGCTCTGCCTGGAGTGGCAATAACATTTGATGGTGTTGCAGGGCTCATCCTCTTGGAGTTGGGCTGACGTACGCAGCGCGTAGTGGCGCTTGCAAGGTGACAGATAAATATAAGAACTGTAGCCAATGTGAAAACCTCAGGTAGCTAGATCGTGCGGCCTCAGTTGTGGAAGTGGTCTCTTTTTCAAGGCAGTCCATGGGACCTGCACCGACTCGGAAAAAGGCGGCTGTACAGTACCTGATAGCTTCAGGCTTCCTTTTGCGGGCCAAGCACGGATTGAAGGATCATCAGCCACATTGTGATCGAACAGTTAAAGGAGAGGCATCCAATCAGACCACAATTAGTATCGTGCGGCAGCAAGGCGCTGCGGCTCTTGTGCATGGACTCTGCAGCTGAAACGCATCCTATCAGAGTGCAGACCACTCTGCATGTATGATTCTGGTGTGGGCTCACTCTTTTTTACTATTCCAAAAGGCGTTTGCATCCTGAAAAATGACATTATTGTGCTTGTTACCACGGTAGAAGGCATAAGCGACTTAAAGACCGCGACCGCTTTGGCCCTCAGAGGACCGATGAATAGCTTATGTTTGACAGTATTGTTAGCGTGCTAGAGGTAGCTAGCCTTTATTACAGGGCAGTGGCGTCCCCCGAAGCATGTAGAAATTTTCAATCCCAAATGCTATGTAATGACTAACTTAGTCACAAGATGAGGATGATCCAGATTAATGGACTTCAAGTAACAATACTTATCCCTCCTACCACTGTGAGGAGTAACTTAGTATTTTACTACTATGTACAGAGTTGTGCATCAAAAGTCATCAATATACGCTAAAACTAGAGCGCCACTAGCACACTCGATCTAAGCTTTAGCGTGACGTAAAACATGTACTATAGGGGTAGGGCCCTAGAGCTGCCGCTATAACCTCCCTTTTTCCTTAGATCCTTAGGGCCTTCCTTAGATTATCTAATTTAGCTTAGATGTCTGTGTTAATTAAGCTTTAGCTATCTGCCCCCTCTGATCATTCTTACATCCTTACTGACGATTAACATTATACTAGCACCAGAAAGGCTAGCATTTACTCATCCTAGTTAGTGTATATTGATGACTTTTGATGCACAACTCCGTACTTATTGCGTAACGGGTAGTAGGGCAAGCGGAAAGTGGCTAGCCTCACTTCTTTCAGGTTTCGTCTCACAGAAACCCAGGTGTTTGGCTCAGTCCGATCATTTTGCAATCATCATTCTTAGTGGCATGGGAAGAACTCATAGTGGCTAAGAGTGAGGGCCAGGGGTCCCCTACCAGCGACAGCAGGAAGTAGAGTTTGATCTGAGAAACAGCCTGAGCAACAAGTTCAAGTGGGAAATACAATAGTATATCCATAAAATCGGAATCTACATCAAGATATAAATTACACACTCGGTTCCACCCATACGGAAGCATGTCCATGACTCCTTCCCAAACACATTCCCAATCTAACGATGGAAACCACTTCTCTCATGACCTGTATCCCCCACGATTAGGAGGCCTTCCTCTCCTAGTACCTCTAGAACTCCTTTGGCCTAGTTGTTGGGGTGAAGGTTCTGATGTGCTGTCAGAATGGGGATGCTGCTGCTGCTGCCGCTGCTCCTGTCTAGGCTGTTGCTGGGGTAGCTGTCCCTGAGTCCGACTTTGAACCCTTCCGGTCTCCGAGGCTTTAGGGCTTCCATGAGCCTTGTCTTCTCCCTTTTGAGCCGGCTGCTCTCCCTTTTGAGCCGGCTGCTCTCCCTTTTGAGCCGGCTGCTCTCCCTTTTGAGCCGGCTGCTCTCCCTTGGAAGTGCCAGCGGGAAGGTCACTTTTAGAAACTGAGGTTGATGGCACCACATTTGATCCTGCGTCCGCCGGTCCTGACGGCTTTGCTCCAGTCTTGATTTCGGCGGGCCCTGGTTTTGTTGCCCTCGTCTCTGTTGTGCTAGTTGGTACTGTAGGCCTCGGCGTCGTACATGGTGCTGACGCTATACCGAGCGATCTTCCACGGTCTTCTTGTAGTATCCGCCCCGCACTTGTCAACGCCAGCATCCCAAGTGCGCTGTCCAGACCGAGCAGTCCCATTTCTGCCCCTAATACCAGGAGCTTGGCAACTGGGATGTCCGCCACATTCTGAGGACCTGTTCTAGCGCTCCGTCGGCTTCCATCCCCTTGAAAACCTCCTGTTTCTTGACTGGGCTGAGGCTTGGGCCGAGGCTTAAAGTTGCTATCATCAAGGTAGCCAACCGCGAACTCAAGGATCTCTTGATTGTTAAGGTGGCTAAGCTCAGGATCTTGGCGGAAAAAGGAATATAGAAGCCCAAGACTAGGTCGAATTTGTTGTCTCTTACTGCTTGGACTGCTCCTCACAAACTCGAGCACTGAATTAGCGGAGTATCTGTCATGGATATCTTTCGCTACCATCATCTCCACTTCTGGTTTGTCAATATGCTGGGCTAGCTCAAGCATCCTGCCACACCAATCGACTCGCTTGAACAATAGGAAATTTCGTTGTGCGGGATCGATAGTGACTCTGGGCAGCAGATTCATCATATCCAAGCATAAGATGCCCATAGCCCAGACATCAATCGCCGTAGTCTCTTCGTGGCCATCATATACCTCCGGCGCGAGGTATTTATAACTCCTTCTGTCCCAGTATTCACCTCTTGGGGTAGGGTAAATTCTGGCAAGACTGAAACCCGCAAGTATAAAATGGTCGGTTTTGTTGTAGAGAATGTTTTCAGGGCAAATGTCCCGATGGATAACCATCATCTCCTTGCTGTGCAGGAATCTCAAGGCTTCAAGGATTTGAGTCAAGACCGTGTGGTACCAAGGCGGAATCATGATGAAGTCACCTACTAGTATAAGTCTAGGTCACTTATAATTATAGAATTATTGACCTACCAATTAGCCCTCGTTCTGTCTTTGTTGCATTCATGAGGTGGAAGAGGTTGCGATCATAATAATCCATTGGCACCTCTACCATACTGGGGATTCCTGGCCCAGGCGACGTCTCACCCCGGGGGGTTCCAATCTGTATGATGTGAGGCTGCATATAGTATTAGTAATGTTGAGCCTCAAACGAAGACCCTCGAGAGAAGATTGGCACAGGCACCAGTGGCTGGTCGACATACTTACGGACTTTCGGGCCACATCAAGTATTTGTACCTCACGTACCACTTGTTCCTTGATTCTGATGTTTCCACTATTTTGATATCGTTTGACAGCAAGGATTCGCCCCGTTGATGATTTGCCCATCCATACGCTGGCAAAGGCCCCCAAACCCTTCGCGCTTAGCACCTTGTAGTCCATGTTGTCTTTCAGCCAAAAACTATGTCCTGCTGTGACATAGCTACCCCGAGAGCGTTGTCTCGCTTCATAGCGTTTCTCCCATTCAACCCAGAAGGGACTTTTGCTAATATCGGAGCTGAACATACCAGCGGTGTAACGGACATCGTTGGCCATGGTAAGACAACGTTGGACTTCGTAGCCACGCACAAAGTCTTGGCTTGGTAACGTCTGACAATGTCACAATTGGAATCAGCTGGAGAAAAATGAGCGGCGATGCATATGTAAAGAATCGGAAATGCGCAGAAATGCGTATCAAGACCCACCAAGGCACATTCTGCATTTTGATACAAGTTCGCGCACTCCGTCGGGAGTCATTGCGAGAAGTCATGATGCAACGGAGTATGGGCTTAGATCTGAGACAGCTGGCGTGTGGCAGGGCCCCTGGTCGAGAAAACAGACCGGTAGCATCGAGCACCAGGTGGCGCTCATCTATACGCTTCTTGCCATACTGTGCCACACCAGCTACGCTCTCGACTTGTATGGACGGTCAGCAACTAAGAGGAACATGAGGTAGGCTCGTTTCAAGATATGATGAGAACGGGATTGTTGGCGATGAGAGAAGCAGGTCTCGAAAAAGGGTAGCATAAGTTGATCGAGCACCCCATATCAATGGATTAGCTTATAGCAAGACTAATTGTTTTCGACCCTTTCACCAAATCGCGAGCAGAGTCTTCTATTAGCGAATTCATGTTCCAGTGCTGTGTCGAAACAGATCCTGGTGTGCTAGCTTGCTTCAGCTGATTCTGCTCTCCTAATCTCTATCCGTACTGAACCACTTAATGGTCCGCCCTCGGAAGTCTGTAAATCTTGCCGTAAGGGGTCAGAAGATCAAGTTTCAAGTCATCTCAACAGTGAAACCTCAGTCCAGATCCTACCAGAAGAAGCTCAGACAAGTAGTTATGCACGTGTCACGTGCTTGGAGCCAAACTAGTTAAGCTTGGGCCCCTAAAGTTTGTCCCTACTTTGAGTGAATATGGCTAGTATTCTTTTTGCTCTTTGGGCAGTGTTCGGACTTATGGGACGTACAATACGATAGTATTTAAAGTCAGCGACAAACTAGTTTACACTCCTCCGAGGGCCGCGCTCCTTTTGGTCCGACAGATGCATACTACCCATATGCGCTGATAGTATCCTTGGGACACGTAGGTTAGAATCGAAATATGATAGATTATGAATTAACGCTGCCATCGAGCCTGGGTCGGAGTGCCCTTAGATTCATCGCACGGGGCGTATCAGCCCCTGACATATATCCTATTTACCACACAGTCTGGAGATCCTCGGTGGATTACGTTATTGCTGCGGTTTCAGCATACATTGGGATGAGCTTCAGCCGATATAGCCTGCACTGGTCCTCCCTGGACTGGTACAGCTGTATTCCTCGAAGATTGTTTAGCGAAACCTCGTCTGAAAGAGCGGCCGAAGCAGTTGCATGAAATTGTATGTTCACGTCCAGAAGGACCGCCGAAGCAAGAGCATGCTAACGGGGCACAATCGCATACCAGAGCATTTGGATCCTTAGGACTTCTGCGCCCCCCGTCACCGAGGTGACCTCCTCTTCCGCGTAGACCTACGTCTCTTAGACCCTCTCTACCCACACCTCTTCCTCCTGTAACTGCACATCCGTCTTGCTCTCTAGCTATCCTTTCTTCCTCTTCTCTTCTTGCATCCTGTATTTCTCCTCTTCTGTTTGCTCCTCCCTCTTGTCTTCTTGCCCGCACTGTACCACTTCCTTCTTCAATAGGAATGATTTCGGGTGGACGTTCATAAGCTTGACCCCTGCGGTGCCTCGAACTTGACGCACTGGTGTACAGGGAAGAATTTCTCGATTTGACTACTACCCTCAGCTTCACCCCCGTTCCCGGCCCGTATACTACCTTTCTGTCGAGCAGCTGCGGTTCCTTCTCTCATCGTGTGAATTAACCACACCTTCTTACTGTGTGTTATACCCAAACCAGACCCAATCAACTTGTCAGATATATAGCCCCGGAACGTTGTGTCGTGAATAGGCAATCCGTTCCGCCTTGGTGCAGCTGATCTGAGGCGTTGGGGATACGGATATTCTAATGTCGACCAGGAGCACTTTCAGAAGAGGGCCAAGTAGTGATATTAAGGAGGTACGGTGCCGTCCGCGCAGGATCTATCTGGACAAGCAAGTCCACCTTACTGTGGGGGCTATCCCACCACAGCGTCCTGGTTGAACCGGGTGTGAAACCGCAGGACTTGGTTTCTTGTCACAGCACCCTGGGCTACCTGGCAGATATCACTTCGCTGCATGTCCTGGTTTGCAGCGCTGCAGCGCAAATCCCCTTGTCGGTACTCCAAGCTAGCATGTCAGGCCAGTATGCTGGGAAGTCTCGAAATGTTTGAAACGGACACAGGGAGAACCCACGTTCCATGCGACAATAAGTCGTAGATTCGAAACACAATTGGCTTCTCCATTGCTTCCATAGCCTGGTCATAGCCAATCCACGGAACATGGCATTTTCACGAAACATCTCAACCCCACCGCACTGGCAGGGGTGGTTTTCATGAATCTTAGCAGGGCCATGGTATGGACGGCCAATATGCATTGGGCCACGTTTTCACCGTTAAGTTGATGTCAGCAATAAAAGACGCCGCTATCGGCTAGGCTTTGATGATTCCAGCAAATCAGACAAAGACCTCACGAGTCTGCCTGATCCCTGAACCACTTCATCCGCCGCCGCAGCACGAGTACCTGCCGGAGGTCCCCTATTACTCGCACCGGCCCGATGTTCAGGTCCTGAGAATTGTCCAGCTTGATCTCCGCCTTCTTCATCAACAGAAACACGCGCTATCGTCTTGTCAATCCAAATATGCGTCATCAGAGTCCTCAGACACAATGGCTCAGCCCACGACGAGGTGACATAGTACTCTTGTATCCGATCAAGAACTATATCTTGAAATAGTGCATCATTTTGGATTTTCTGTTCAAACGACCGGATCTGAGACGGCGTCGCTTCATTATTCGCTACCAGTTCAATAAGACGAGCATTCGCGGATGGCAGGGGTACGGAGGATTGTTGAGGTGCCGCGATCTCCCTGTTTATTGCCTGACCTTCGCTTGCTTGAAGCCGTCCGACATCCTCTCCAGTTCTTCCTGCTCGACCGGGGCCTCGTCCTGCTCGGTCGCCTCTTCCACCTATGCCTCCTCCCAGTGTAATATTCGCTCCAGACCGAGCAACAGGCCCAGGCCGTAATGATATGTCTGGCGCTAATGCAAGCTCTGCAAGTCGCATAGCTGCTCTTCCTCCACGTCCACCTCTCCCTCTGCTTTGTTCCCATCTAGTCGCAGCTGCGAACTCAACTTCAGTCTCCAGCCCGAACGCCCCCAAAGCGGCCCTCGTATATCTAGGCCCACCCACCAAACTCCCCGTCACGGTGTGTAATCGCACCGCCTTCACAGGTTCCTCCAATGTATATCTGGCATAGCGCTCTAAGAGCAGATGTCGGAAGGTGGGTTCGGCCTGGATTTTGCGTCGGAAGGTGGAGAGTTGGGATGGGGTGGCAGGGTTGGTGACTAGGCTTTCGATTAGGATGAGATCGGGATTTGGTGTCGCTGTCTGTGGGTTAGCGAAGTGGTTTCTGCATAAGAAAGAGAAGAAGAAGGGGGAGTTGCGGACCGGGCTCTTTGATGGGGGCTTGGTTGGGGTTGGTGGGTGACATGCTCGCAATGATATGAAATGGCCGTGTTATTCAAGCACGATGAGCAGGTTTATCAGACTTGTGATACGATCGGGTCGACTAAGGAAAAGGGGGGAAAGGGGGAAAAGAAGCAGTAGATGGGAAGATATGTTGACGCCTTGAGATCCCGCCCCTGTTCGTATAATTATACACAGCTAAAGCAGAAACATTGTGCCTACCTGTCCAAAAATCGATGGTTGTTTGAAATATGAATAGATATGTTTCGAAGAGAGTATTAAAAACGTGGACTGAGACGTCTCTGATCTCCTCCTTGTTTCGGACATGACGAATGATGATGGATGACTGTGAGAGTCACGTAAAATGCAATGAAAATATGTGTATCACCCTACCGAGCGCTGGGTCTATCCGTCTGTTTGCTGTCTTGACATTATTCGATTTGCTTGTTGTTAGCTCATTGTCCACTTTCTTCCATATCGAGCGCCGCCAACCTCGCGTATCCTGCTATGCAGCCGCTCCATCTCTCTCTCGGAGACTACAGAATAGACTGGCGCATTTTCATTGGTTGGAATCTGGTGTCTCGGCGCTGAGGTTTCGGATGGCATATCTGATCCAGTTGGAGGTTCGGATTTTGCTGCCGCCAGTGAAGGCGATAGATCTGTTCGACTCGTTGACCGAGATGAATTTGCGGTAGATTGAGATGGTGGTTCTGTTTCAGTTGCAGTCTGCGACCCGGTTCTGGTAGATTCCAATGTTGCTCTTAATTTCTCTTTGATATGTGATCCAACTCTAGCCGCCATTAACGTTCGAGCTGCTGCTACCTCTGATCTTGTAACACGGACCTGAGATACTTCATCCTTCCGAGGCCCAGTTCCAGGTATTGCCGCAGTCTGAGAGGCATCTGTTCGGACTGTAGTCGTAGTACGAGTTGGTTGAGGCGTGCCCTGTGCAATGAGACCCGTGTCCTTTTGAAACGTTGAAGGTGCTCCTGCTGTAGGGTGAGCAGCATCTTCTTGAGCTATTCTGCTAGCTAAGGCCGCGGGTGGGCCAGGGTGAAGCGGAGGACGTCCTCTACCTGAGCTCGGTTTTTTGGAAGGGCATTCTGCACTGCATGAGCGTTCTGCACTGGATGGGTGTTCTGCATTGACTGGGCCTCCTGCGCTAGATCCGTCTCTGCTACTGAGTAAGCCTCCTCCTACAGCGGGACCTTGCCCTTTGCCAGGACTTTGTTCTTGAGTTTGGCTTCCTCTGGCTGAACTTCCTGCGGCTGGACTTCCTTTACTTTGATTAACTCTGGTAGGCCCCCTCCTTTTGGACACGTTGGCCGAAGCTTCAACTGCTCTCTGAATTTGAAGAAGCTGCAGCTCTTCTGTAAATGCTTCCATCACTCTTACTTTCTTACCATCATCTTGATTCAGCCTCTCTTCGACAAGTTGAAATCCTTCCACGAGGTGGCTGTTCCAGGGATATAAGTGCAATGATTGAACATTACCATGTGCTCCTGTGGAAATTCTCAGATTTGCCGCCTTCTCGTAATCCTCGGATGAGTTGGACGAAAGATATTTCTTATCACGCGCCAGAACACGGTGTTGAAATGCTTTGTTGTTCTTGAATTCGCTCACAAAGTACTGCACCTGCGTAGCCGAGGCTGTGGAGCAGGCTACCAGCTCGATGAGATCAACTTCCTCGAGACTTTGATCTGGTGTCAGGGATGGACGCTTTTTGGCACTTGTGATGTGGGACTCTCTGGGCCGAGATGGACCTTCTGGAGCCGGGCGACTTCCTCCAGATACAGTTCCAACAGACAGAGAGATATCCCGGGACGATTCTCCCGACAATAAAGTATCCTTTTGCATTTCCGCACGCATGGTATCGCAGCGTGTCAGGGCACGTTCCAGGTTTTTAGCCATTTTCTGTGATTCATGTGATGACATTGATGCCCACACCTTTTGCAAATTTGAGACGCGTGAATAAAGAATATTACTGCGCAACAATCGGTCTCGGAAAATGCTTCTTTGGGTCATGCTGGCCTCGCCATTGGCGATCCGGTGGAAGAGACCATCTTGATCGTCCCAGTCGACATCGGCTTCTTCCGAAGCTCGATCTTGTTCAGAGCCGTCTTCATATCTAAAGTCTATGGGCGAAGCATCTTTGGTGAGGCAGATCCGAAGCACGCGCACCATTGTCTCATTCAGTCGGTCTGCTTTGTCCGGGTCACCATATTTGATGTATTGTTGTTTCCGTTCACGGATCTTTTGGCGAAAAGGACCATTACTAAGGATCAGTTTCTCAAACAACTTCAATTGCTGCGCTGTCGCTGCGTCCTCAGCTGCAAGGTCGATGAGGTCGACTTTGACCTTCAAGTCAGCATTCATAAATGACGGCAATGGAAATTCGAGACATACAATCTGGATCACGCGAAGGCCCAGCGCCTGATTCACTGCCACCAGACATGGTTAAGATTTGCAATGGATCGATGTCAGTATATTAACCTTAGACCTCTTCTTTGGTAAACTCAATGAGGTACTTTGAGCCGGTCATGGATAGAACCAGAATAAGTAGAATGAGAAACGCGCTTCATGCCCTACCTCGAATACTGCGAAGAGTTTCAACCAGTTTTGGCTTGTAAGATTGGACCTTACGTCAGTGTGGAGCGGTTTGAGGTGAAAAGTCGTTTCATTTCGGAGCAGGGTTTCATGTTTTGCTCTTGATCGATAGGCGCAAATTGGACACCAAAACGATGTACAACCACAACTGACGTTTAGAGGTTTTAAAACCCCCATCCTGAAATCGTTCGATCCATCCTGTGCATTCAATAACACGCCGGAAGCTCGAGCGTGGCAGCCCTCGATGTAAGATGTGCACGAGGTTGCAGGAGAGAGATGTAACGTAGCGGCCAAGCACAGGAGGATGGAAAAGATGATGGCAAGACCCGTTTTTTTTCCCTTTTTCTTTCTGCTGAAAGCTGCGAGAGCCCCACAGTGGTCATTACGACGTGGATACGGAGTACTCCGTATTTCGTCTAGAATACTACTCCGTGTACCCCCTCCTTAATTAGAAGGCAGATCTTCATTTGCCCGGGCTTGCCCCCGTATATCACGGTGCTTACATCCCTCTGTTTATTGCATACATAGAGGACACCTTGAAATGGACTCTGCCCACGGTATGCCTTTGTGCATACCTGGAACAGACTTGATGATTATCTCGAAACAAATTCGACACCGGGTACGCAGAAATAGGTAGCCTGTGTCACTGATGGACTTCATTACACTCATGGATCACTCATCTACTCATGGTTTCCTTCTCAGTACCTTGCCTCTTGCGCGACTAATGTGCCAACCCAAAATTCTTACGCAATCGCCCAGCCTTGATTCTGTTGACGTGGTGATATCGATGGAGCTCTTCATCTGTCGACCATCCGCCCCACGCGTCCCCATGTTTCTCAACGATTGCCTTTGCTTCAGATAGCAGCTCCTTTTGCGCTGGCTGCCATTCGTTCCATAAATCGGCAGATCGGTCGAGGTCCTCACACCGCCACCGTTCTTCAAGCAAGTATCGGACTGCGGTGATAGTCTCACGGATTAGCTTCTTACTGTTGGCGAGCTCATCGGCTAAAGAACCAAGCTCTGGAGCAAAGCAGTCCATCCAGCGGAGGAGTGTTAGGATCGATGCGTTGTCCTCTCCCATCCCCAAGATACGAATCGTACGGTGAAGAACAGATGGTGGGGGAACGTGAATCAAACGGGTTCGGCCTTGTGCTGCAGATGGATGGTTGAGAGGAAGCCATTGACTCGAGCGGGCAAAATCTTGTTTGTTTTCCGCTGATCCTCCATGCGCCATCGCATTGAAGAGACTCTTACATAGAAGGACGGATTTCAGCCTACGGTCACGAGAGAGCTCTTGGTGGTGGGACAGCTCTTGCTGTTGTGGTGTCATGGCAAGATGAGGGCCAAGCACGTTTTCTTCGAGGATCCTACCAATGTCTCTGAACCCATCAAAGTCAAGGTCCAAGCCGAGCTCGTGCATATCGCGTAGACTGTAAGGTAGAAATGTGCCTAAGCGTTGTAATACCGGAGGCGTTAAATTAGGATACCTCGGGCCCTGGATTAAAGCGTACCAGATCGGCCTGTATGATGGTTGAAGAGCCCAGACAAAGCTTTGAGCGTAATAAAAGGGGGAGGTGGTGCGTTCTTCCTTTGTCATCGTTTCTTGTGGGCCATGAACTGGAGGGAGGGTGAAGTTTATCCCGGGTGTGCTCCGCATTCGACAGAGCATGCGGACATATGTGGCAATAACATGATTATGGACACCACTCAAGGCTGCACGCATCTCGTCGACATTCTTTGCAGCGTGCCCGCAAAGGAGGTCCTTCTCGCTTTGACGCAATGTGCTTGCATTAATATACTTCAGACCTTCCGCAATATATCTTGCTTTGCCTAACAGTTCTGCCAACAAATGTACCCTTGGCCGGAGACCTCTTTTAATCATCGTGTCGAAGAAATCGTCAACCGTGGGTGGATCTGAAGAAACATAGAGGAAATCGTGGGACGATGTTGGCTCAGGCCAGGTTTCTTTGCCATCGCCCGGCACCACCGACGTAACCTCCTCAGTGCGATTATCATCCTCTCTTTTCACTTGTAATAATCTAGTAAGCATCGCGTTGTGGGGCTCTATAGCGTTGGTTCCCCCAGAGAACTTCTCAAACGCCGTGAAGCAACCCCAAGCCTCTTTGAGTGTCCGAGTCGCAAGAATTCTGGCTGCCCATGTGCCGTCCTTGTCAGAATGTGGCTCCTTCGTTTTGGGTCTCTGATCAGCATCTTGCAACACTGAAGCGGGACTTAGCAATGTTCTGGTCTGTATAGTAGGGGAACCATCTGTGTCCCAGCCTGCAAAAACACGAGCACACTCTTCCCAGTGCGATGGAGAATAACCAGCTTCGATCATTCTAAGCAGAACATCAGCTGCTCGACTATTCTTGCCAGGGTCTTCACTATCAGCTTCGATACCCAGGAGCTCTTCTTTCCATGGTGGCCATGAAAGCGCTTTTCTTGTCGCCCACTTCCTCTCTGAATCCGTCTTCTTGTGTGCCAGCTGAACTTTAATTAAGGCTCTGAAGCCTTCCCTTGTGACTGGTAAATGGGGTTTGAACTTAGTCATTTTCCGTATGAGACAAAATTGAGATCGTTGTTGAATAGCGATTGAAGCAAATGGTCGCAACGATGTGGGCATTGCAAAAAGGGACAGAAGACGGTTGTAGAAGTGTGAATAGTCCTGAATACGATGGCGGCTGAGATTGACTACTAAGCCATCAGATTCTCGGCCAACTAGCCGCCCAACGATGGAAGCAATCTCCTCAAGGGCATTCGGCCAGACCATCCTGGCATGACGAATGAGACGAATAACTAGAATCATGGCAGGCCCTTCGTCAATCGCCCGGATGTTAACCAAGGCTTCTGATCTTGGGACTTCTCCAATATAGTACGTCCATATATAATCGAGCAAAAGACGGAGGCTAGTAGCTTTCAACGACCTTGCTCGTAATATGAAAAGTAGTAGAAAAGTCGGCAAAGACGGCCCAACAGATGGAGAGATAGTATCAGCTAAAGTGGTGAACTTCCACACCGCTTGATTCGCATTGGGGGATACTAGAACTTCAGCCCAGGTTTGTACGTGGTCTGGACTATAACCTCTTAAATGCAGATAATCCAAGTCTTCTGCACTCTTGATGTACTCGGACGCTCGGAGCTCAGAGGCACCTCTTGCGGCAATGTATCTAGCAAGGATAGCACATAGAGAAACTTGCTTGGTAGGCTGCTTTTGGGGTGAGTGTATTTCGACAGTCCTTCGCTTAGCGTGGAGACGTTTGACCATCCTTCTTCCTTTCCATGGGACTTTCTCCCATTGGCGTATTGCAACGTGGGAAAGGTCTATTTTGTTGCCACGCCTTGAAGTGAAAGCCTTTTGCGCCTCAGTGGGAAGCGCAGCAAGCAGCATCTCCGACGGGGTTGGTATGCCATTTGAGTGCATCAGGAATTGGTTTAGGTGACTTTTCGAAGGCGACTTCTTGTCGCAGATGCTCTTAGTCCAGGCCTCTAAGCCTCTCGAGGCGTCAACATGGTCGTTTCCTAGGCTTGACGGGCGGGGGAGAGAGCTTCGATCGATCGAAGGGCAACATTCTATCCCATTGACCTTTGTCGCTTCTGTGGGATTCAGCTGAACAGGTCCCAATGCCGCTCGTGCGTGCTGATCTGCAGACACATACTTGATAATATGTAACCCACCTGAGGAATTGATTTTACGGTCCTCGTTTCGTGTACTTCTTGTAGGGGGATGCTGGACGCGTTGTAAGGCGTCCGGCGAGTGCAGGAACTTCTGCTTTTCCTTCTGCAACACCAATCGTACACCTGCAGCCGAAGTGCTGGCTGGTGACGAATTGATTGGAAGACCTGGCGCAAACTTCGAGAAATTCTCAGGTATCTGAAATGCAAGGTCTGCTCTGGGAGGTCCCTCATTCAAGGCACAAGCATGTTTGTTGTCCTGAATGCTGATCGGCTTCGCGCCTGGTTGTGCATCATCGAACGGAATGGCAGACTTTTGTCGAACTGCTTTTTCCCTCTTGATGGACTAAATGAAGAGGTCAGGTACCTGCGCAAGTCTGGCCAAACGAACCTACCTCATGGTGTTCAGATCTATGACCATATAGATAGTTCGGGGATGACCAATTACACAAAACTGCTCGAAGTTGCAAAGCGCCCCGAGAATGAGATGACATCCATTGATTGGGCAACTATCGAGATGCCTTCATGGTAAGGACTTCTAGGCGAGAGATGTAGAGCGAAGAGGACAAGCAACTGAAGTATATTGGAACTGACACTGGAGCGCGAATTTGGGACAGAACTTGGGTGCTCAACTTGGGTAATCAATTCACAATGCTGCTGTGTAAGTTACAATACGCAGTTTAATTGAGTTACGGCGATTACTGTAAGCGTAGAATTTGGAACGGATTTTGCCGTCACCCCAAATGCCCAGACATGCAGATTACAGCCCCTTCAGTCCAGTCTATCTATCTCGTGGGAGTCAACAAGCCAGATGAAATGCGACTCTATTGAGCGCCGCGATCATATCGGGACTGTCTTGCTTGCTTATCCTCGAAGATTCATTTCGTGCAAGCGTCTCTTAGCGCAGAGGACATCCAAAGTCTACCTCCTCCGTCGCGCATCTCCCTTCGGCACCTGCGCCGCGGATCATCCACCCTAGCAATCGAACAACTGAGATCGATTGTCGGTTTCTTAGTATCGCATTGCCCTCAGTCCATCGGGTGCCTTGAATATTCTTCGGGCTCATTCGGTGGGTTGGCTGCACGTCTGAGGTCAGGATCGATTGCGTACAAAGTTGCTTCTGTAGGGTAGGAATAACTGATTAAAGCATCCAGATATAGCGTTGGCTCTACCCTGAGCAACGCGCACTCCGCGATGACCACCGTGGACGGTGACTTGGCCCTTCCCCAAAACGATCTGACGGCATCCTCAACTGCATCCGGAAAAAGGAAACGTTCTGAATCGGTCGACATAGTTTCATCAAGCACCACCAGACAAGAGTCAAAGCAATTCAGTGGTTTTTCCCGTAGGCTGCAAAATGCTTTGCCTCTACTCCGCAAGTACGTAACAATCCACATCGCTTGCTTGCCAGTGACTGATCGCCTTCTAGAGCTGATCAAGCACCTTCCATCCTTCATTATTCTCTGACTTCCAATGGAGAACGAAGTCCAAAGCGGCCGAAATACTCATCCGAAAATGCGGAAGCCGAAACCATATCCTCGAGGATCGAGTCAGGCTATTATCATTCTCCTGAAATACTACTAGCGGATGTCGAGACTGCAGCGACCTCGCTGATCGAGGGTTTGAAGTCTGGAGACCATGCCCTCACAGATTCAGACTTTACACGCAAAGCCGCCAACCAAGTCACCCTCTTCAAGCAATCATTAAGCAAAGTATGCCGGCATATCGTCGAGGCAGATGCGAAACCTAAGGAGGAAAATGGCGTTGATAAAACTCATGTGCCGGGCCCTGCAGCAGAGATTCCGAACCCTGCAGTCCTTACACTTACGAGTCAGACCGATAGAGGCCCCAAACACCTGTACACTGGCTTGCAGAGGTACAGCACGGCTGTCCCAACAGACACGGATAAATCCAATAGCAATCAATCAACGGATCTTCTGAATCTAAAACCTAGCAGTTTTCCAAACGGCATTACCCTTACACATATACCGCCATCCAATATCCCTTACCAAAGCAGCTCAGCAAAGCAGAAGCGAGTTTTCGGTGAGGTATTTCGGCCACATCGGTCACTCAAAGCCCTTGAGCCACCTCGCCCTTCCAGGAATGCAACTCGGGGGTCATCGTTAGGCTGGGTGAATTATGAGGAAATCGCTGGATCTGAAAGGCCCGCACCAGCGTATAAGTCAGACTACAGATACGCTTCTCTCCCGACAGGCTCGTGGCTCCACTACAATAGTGTCGAAGCTGCTGCTGCTGCTGCATTGACTCCCGACAGCAAGCGTCGGCAAAGGGATCGAGCTTTGAGTTCCGGTGAGAGTCGTGGGCCTGACGGCGGAGACATTGTGGAGCAAGAAGAGGCAAGGACCAAAGCTCTTTTTCAATCTGCTTATTCCACTTTTGCCCCTTCCGTAGACAACTCTGCTGCTGTTGTGCCTGAGAAAACCCGCAGCCAGACTTGGTGGAAGAAAGTCGGGCAAAAAAGGTTCGAGGCGATGTTGGCATTCCAATATCCTGAGTCAGGCCTTGATGGGGGCGACTCTATCTGGAACAAAATAGACCCCGTAGAAGATGACTTTGAAGGTGCAGTCGCTGACTTCGATGGAGATGCGCTACGGAACCCACTTGAAAACGAAAACAGCAAGGCGGATTCTAAAGATGTTGATGAGGTTCTGCAAGAGATATCCGACCTACTTCAGACATTGAGCTCGTACCAACGTATTCGAAATTTGTCGAAAATGAACAGTGGTCCTGCCACTCCAACGTCCACCGAAACAGACGTCTACGAGATCTTAAGGTCGAATCTTGCAATCCTAATCAACTCGCTGCCACCCTACGCTGTGGCCAAACTTAGCGGTGATCAGCTTGCAACACTCAACGTTAGCAGCGATCTCATACTTGAGGTGAAAGATCATGTTGGTACCATGGAGCAGGATGAGTACAGCATGCAGCGACAACGAGCAGCAATGCCAGCCACTCATTCAGCAAGTGGGCGAAGCAGCGTGTCAGTGGGGCCCTCGGGCAGGCCAGGCAATTATAGTGCTCAGGCTGTGAACTACAATCAACGAGTAAACTACTCAAACGGCCCTCGAACCCCATACGTCAGCCAACCTCGACCTATACCTGCCTACACCAATACTGTCACGCCCCAAGCTCAAAACTATTCAGCTGCCCGCCCTGCACAGACGCCTTCCCACCGAGCCAGTTTACCAACTCAGCAGCACCATCAAGGTCAGACATATTCGCGTGCGCCGAGCGCAGCGCAATTCCAGAGGCCTGCCAGTAGTCAACAGAATGGATATGGACCCAGCTACGCGCAAACTGTCAATTCTCAAGCATATGCTCAACAACGGCAGGCCCAGTCCACTTATTCGTATTCACTCAATCAAGCGTCACACAAGCCCAGCCCAAGCCCGCAACCGGCTCCGCATACCCAACAGTCTTATATACCGCCGCAGCATTTACAGCAGAGCCAAGCTTCACCCTCCCTCCCTTACGCAGTCAACAACCAAGCAGTACTAACTGAGCAAGCGAGAAGTCAGCTACAGGCGCAGAGGCAGCTCAGTGGTACCCCACAAACCCCCAACATCAATGGCCAGTATGCTCAGATGGCACGTAGCTCAACACCAGGTGGGGGAACACAGAATGGACGTCGGGTGGTCGCGGCGGGTGGTGGCGTGCAGTAACGTCGTGGTGGTGTACTTCAAAGGCAGAGTTGTTCTTGTTATGGCAATTGGTAAGACCAGAGAAAATTGGCAGATACATTGCTCTAGAATACGTAGAGGAGCTTCTACCGGGTGTTATTGTATCTTGTGTTGACCTAGGCCGCTGCCAGAACTCGCCAGTCGCCTGTCCTTCAAGTTGTGATGCTCGCATCTTTCACACCGTTTGCTCCAGCTGAGAGTGGTGCTGTACCCCTACCCGTTTCGAACGTCATACCAGTAGCCGATTTCAAAGCCCAAGATACTTAACTACTAGTACTAGCAGTGTAGTACTATGAAGCTATTAAGCCCAGCTACTAAGATGAAAGCCTTGGCTTTTCTCCAGCATCGAGTAATCGAGTAGGGAGTACGGAGTAGTAATCGAGTGATTGAGTGTCAGAGCATCATCACATCCCCAGCTTTATGGTTTCTAGAAGTCCCGTTGTGCCCAGCATGAACAGCATTCAACTTCCGCGGTGCAGACCATTGAAAGACGTAGACGTAGTATGAAGATCGACTGTGGCTTGCTTCTGGTGGATGGGTTTGCCCCTGCTAAGGACCGAAGGACTGCTGGATCTCGCTAACAAACGAAGGCGATCGAATTGATTCAGGCCAACGCAGCGAGCGGGCTTATGTAGCCGTCCTGGCGTCATGTAGGCACTACTAGTAAGTTAGGTGCTTAGGTGCTACGTGCTATCCGCTATCCATCCCCGTGCAGCCCATCCCGCACACAGAGCGGAGTCCGATTCGAAAGGCTTGATAACAATAATACCCCATTGGCATGCATCATCATTAAGCCTTGCTGTCTGGCATCAATCGGCAAATAATCGTGGGGAGCTGCAGCTTAATCACTTCCTTAAATAATACCTCTTGTTTGGTTCCGTGCTCCAAGGATTCCACCATTGTCAGCCTCAACCCTCAACAACTAACTTAATTGTTCATTGCGAATCGATCAGAAACCCTTCCTTTCTTTCTTCTTTCAGATACTTTGCTTCCCCCAGTCAAGGTCGACTGCTCATCTCTCTGTGTTCCACGATCGTGGTCTGACACTTCTTCCCTATCGCGCCCCTCCTTGCGTGTTCTGCAAGCCACTTCCGATTGCCCCTCCTTCGGAACGTTTCACATCTTTTTGTTCCAAGTTTCAGTTGAGCACTGGCATGCTGGTTCTGTCCTCTCCTGTTCATCATTCTTTCTCAGCTGCTGCTGGTCAGACCCACCGGCCACATTGGCTGCTGCCAGTGGTGAACCGACGTCATCCGAAATCTTGGCAGTGAAATCCATCTCCAGTGTGCTTGGGGAAAGGGGGAGAGGAGGCACCAACCGCCGTGGATAGCAACTATTTGATCAAGGACCATCTGGCATCATGCTAAGTTCTCGAGCGCATACAGTGCAGGAAAGGAAGAATAGACGCGTTGCAGTCAGGAGGACTGCCATGAGTTCGCGGATCTCTCTTCTCTCAGGAATCACAGCATCTTCGAGTGGATCAAGTGGAAGTGGATCCACGGTTACACAGGAGTCAATAACACGTCCGCGAGTTCGAAACTCAAAGGGCGATGCCAAGCCAAAGGGCAAACGTCAAAGTACGGTCGTTGAGGCCACATCTACCAAGGGCAAGACTACGCCAAGGAAGAGTAAAGGGGCCATAGACGTCTTTGCCTTTCTGGACAAAGATCAATCTCGTGCATCACTAGTGCAGAAGCGTACCAAGAATGCGCGTACCACGCACCAAGAGGAGATCCCAAATACCGTGCATGATGACTCCGATCTGGACAGTGGCCCACAGAGTTTTCATTCAGACTCGGGCATTTCAATTAACGATGGCGGCTCCGATCACGATCCTTCCAAGACAGACACGTTTTCTGGGAGAAGAAGGCTAGGGGCTCTTCAAGAAGAACCTGGAGAATCGCATCATCGTGCCAGCTTTGCCGTGCGCTCATACCGTCCGGAGTTCCAACCAATTCCACAAGAAGTGGACGAGGATCATCCGGAGTGGTACTACAGAGCAGACCGTTCGCCAGATGGAGATTGTGTTCCCGCAGCAGTGGATTCTGACGTGGGCTCAGAGAATGCAGAAGCGGACAAGCCATCGGGTTACGATCTACTTGCATCTCGTCTTTCTTTCACACAAGACCCATGCGGAGACTGCGTGCCGCCGATCTACCGACGGTTTGGAAGGTTGAACCATCGTATTCTCCTACAACTTCAAGACGAAATTGCTGAGATGGAGGAGGACCTCGAATATATGGATCGGGCGGACGCACATGAGCGCACAGCCCGACACGGTCACAGAGTCCCAGCTTCTCGAAGATTAGACTGGCGATGGGGAGGAAGCGAATTACATGCTAGGAGGCTAGACCTGCTGGGCAGAATATACCTTAAAGTTGAGCAATACAGTGAGTGTTCAAACCACACGGTATACGTTGGATTATAGTGCTGACCCTACAAACTAGACCAAGCCATCTTCTCCTTCCAGCGAGTAGCCTCTTCGACTTCTCCAGCAACGACGGAAGACATCGAGACATACCACAAGTGGATGACAGAGAATAAACCGGTCGTAGATGCCGAGGCCACGTACTTGGACAAGAAAAATGATCTGCTCAGCCTGGTCCAGCAGAAAAAAGAGCTGAACCTCAAATTCTCCACACCCCGACTGGCTGCCATCATGATAGCCATCACTTCCGCCACCGCTCTTCCGATCCTCCTCTTCCGTATCATCCCTGCTTTCAATTCTCGCGTCACTGTCATATTATTACTGGCTCCTTCTGCGGCATTCCTCGCGAAATCTCAGCTCGCAGGATCTTTGATGGTTGGCACGGAGTTAAGGCGTTTTCTTCTGGTGTACTTTGGGGCACTGATCCTTGGTGCGTTGATTATTTGAACAGCCTGCTTGATGAGTCGTTTTGGACATGCATACTCTGACGATTGCTTGATTTTGGTCGGCATATTGATACCCCCCTGCTGCACATTTGCAAAGGCGTTTTGTTTTTCTTCCGCGATCGGGAAGTGGGAGCTAAATTGGGATACTGGCAAGTGGCATGTCCGACCGAGGCTAGAGAGTCTGGCGGAGGAGGCTTAGAAGGCACAGTTGAGTCTTTCGTGTATCTGGCAGACTTGGTAGCACTTCAGGCCCCCAGCAACTGAAGTGGCCATCGCGGCTTGAAACGATGCTGGATAGTACGAATCCTGGTCCTTACTAGAACCAACTCTTTACCGTCCACATTCATTACTATTTCAATCTTTGCCACAGCTTGAATTCTGTCAAGCGAAGCTGCAGGAACTTATTTCCTGCTTTTCAGGGCTGATATAATACCATCTCTTTTTTGGACAAAGACAAGTGTGAATAGACCTCCATCGGTCTCGTCAAGGCATCGTTTGGCCATTCTCCTTCGTTCTCGGCCCCCTACGAGACCCATGGCACGCAAGAGTCCAGCCATCCACTCCTACTTCTCCTAGCCATCGACTGCCAGGATTTGACTAGTCACGAGAGTCACCTAAACCCTCTCTATCCACCATGACCGTATTCAACGCAAGAGATGGCCCCATGACTGTAGCATATCAACAGGCATAGGCTGCCGCAGAATTGCACCGTTCCACCCAACAGGTCGGTTTCCTAGCTGAATGGCTTCAGCTTCTTTGCCATACATCACTCTTGGAAGCCCTGTCTTCTTTACGATTCTCCAATCTCCACGTTCCTTTGGTCTGAGAGGAAGCGCCAGGTTCAGGGAAGGGTAATCACGCTGATAGTGTTTCTATTCCCCTATTCTTTCTCTGTGATATTCGTCCTTTTTGTCCCTTCAATACAGACTCATTCAGCTGGCAGTCCAGAACTGCCTTATTCCCCTCCATGCTTGTCCTTCGCAGTTTCGGGAGTTCCTGGGTTGGGAAGACAGCAGAATAATAGTATGGAACAACCGATCGGGTTGATGCACCCTCTGCCTTCATGCTTTGCCCTTCTCGCGCTCACAAAATTTCAAGCTCTTACAGCTTAAAGGAAGCATATCCAGCAATAAGGCCACGTGATGGGTGAGAGAGAGAGAGAGAGAGAGCGCACATCCAACATTCTTTCATTCGCATCTTGTCCTTCATCCTGCTCGTATTTCTATCCAGGCGGATACCCGCTAGCTCTATCCTTGCGAAGTCGCCTGTCTCACACTAACCCCATAAACGTCCTCTTCCAACCTGTCGGTCTAGCTTGGCAGGAGAGGCGAGAAGATTTCTACCATGCGTACGGCGCTGAACTGAGGAGAGGAGAGAAGATAAACATGTGTAGATTTAACCCAGCGATATGAACGGGTGAGTCTTTGGGTCCTATGAAAGGAGCGGGTATTATCGCAACCACTTGATTGCTGTTCAGCGGTTTTGGGTATGGGGTAGCGAATATCCAGGCTGGAGGGTCCAAAATGGATCCACCGTATCATGTATCGAGGAGTGCCTCAAACGTACAGTCAGGCGCAGCAAGATGGGGTCCGATGGCCTGGAGATGGCTCCGTCATTCATTTCGGTTGGGATACTATCGATGAATCCAAACACCCATCAAGCCGCAGTCCTTGCCAGATACTCTGTTGGTCAATATCTTTGTTCAGCTGTGGTATACGAAAGGCATCACTTCATATTCTTGAGTCTCACGGCGTAGAGGAAGTCAAGCAGCGATCCAATACCCAACTATCGTAGCTCGTCAAGCCATCTACGTTCCTATCGATCAGAAGATTCTCCTCCACCATTCGCAGCGCGCGTTCTTCATCACTACCCTTGATACCGAATTCCTGCATGATGGATTCGCGTTCACTGGCGCTGATAGCATTCCAGTCACGATATATCTCGCTAATCTTCCACGTTAGATGTTGCTCTCGTTGAGCGGATTTGTAGGGTAGTAACTGAGGGAGGTGCTGAGCATTCCTTGAAAATCTTGGTATGCTTGTCTCGTTAGAAAGCCAAGTCTTCGCAGCGACGTATGATAGTGGGCTCTGTCGTCTTCGTCGCCAAGGGTTGTCTCGGCGTCTCGGCGGACATACGTAGTAAGCAAGGATCTCCTTAAGGTTGTAGGAAGTTGCTCTGGCTGCCACTTAATTCCTGCTCGACGGCTCCGATCAGCGCTCGTTTCGTTAATTCTTTGCGACTGCTGGACTGGGCTAGGTACACGGGGAAATAGGAAATCATTATTTTGCCTTCGAGAATGAAGTTGATGATGCTTAGAATAGTTTTGGACACATGGCGCATGGCGAGGCTATCGACGGGAGAAAGAGCGCTGAGGCTAAGTTCGATCAGACCTTCATAATTAGTGCGACCAGTTCCCAGGAGTGATCTCCAATACTCCACCCTAAGCCCGCGAAAGAGGTGCAGACCAGTTTCCAACCATCGTACGCTAATGAATAGCGTCGGTGAGGACTGCTTCTCGACCATGCTAGAGTCCAAAAAGCCTCGAAATTTTTCCATAAAGTCGTTGACGTCCCTAGTATCATCTGAGAGATGCTCTAGCCATTCGAGGGTGGGGACGCATGCAAGCGGATGCAATGAAGCGGCTCTAGCTGCCACAGGGAATTGAATTGATGCTACTCGTTGGATGATGGTGTTTCGATGAGTCTTGATAAAATCCCGCAGACGCCGATTTACCAGAGAGAGAGTTCTGAAATCTCCTTTGCCGAAAGAAATCCTGACGACGATCCCAAGTAACAGCTCATTCGAAAGGGTGTCAAAGACGACGGCCATTTTGTTGCTGGTCGATTTGGTAAATGTGATATTTAAATCAGCTTCGAACAACCCGCCGACCAGAGCAGCCACTCAGATATCGATTTGCAGGATTGGACATTTGTAGTGAACTGTTGACCACTCCGACATATTATTGGTATCATATACCTGGAAGACCGTGCTCATCACGAGGTTGGTCAGCTCCATACGCAAGCAGATTTTGTCCGCAAAGCGCTGAAGCCGAGGTGGGCGGTGCCAGTAACGCTGGGGTAGAAGGGCAAGTTGTTATTCGTCCAACCTTAATCCTGTATCTGCTGAGAGGCGCACTGAGGCCAGGCCTTGTCTAACACCTATTTTTCCCTTAGTGATAAAGATTTTGCCCGTTCAGAGCAGGAGTTTTAATAAATTTCAACTGAATATTACCTGAACCCGGATAGATTTCCATCATGGTTCTCTACTAGCCACTACGTACTACGTAGAGCCAAATTGGACAGATCTCTTAAGCGTCAACTTCATAGTACTAGTAAATGTTGTTCTTTCATCAGGTTTTATCACGTGATACAGTGACTACTTGATTAGAGCTAGTGTGGCTTGGCTGACTCGATAGCCATTTAGGTCTGTATTTTTAAAAGTCGAAATATTGTATGGATTATAAGAGTCCGCATTCCTGCTTTCAGAGACTAAAAGCAAAATACTTTTTTGAAGAGACTCTTTGTTGAACAGCTACTACCGAGGAGGGTGGGTGGTTATGGAATATTGTTAGTTGAACGCTAGTTAGTATCTTTGCTTTCAAACGCCCTCTGTACAGAACAGTTAAGGCCTAGATCCGTCAAGTGTACTAGGTAGGGTCTCAACTCGTCTGAATGGATGTCCATGAATCAAGCTTTATAGTAGTGAATCACATAAAGTTAGGAGTACTGCGGCGGAGCAACAAGAACCAGCCACTACGAGCACTTGTTAACAATATTAATGCATCCCCTGCTCAAGCAATCCGAAACCTATCACCTGCTCCTTATACATATGCCTTGATCATTGCCTTTCAGCTCGCTTCACTGGAGCTTCTGGATTCAAATTCGTAATTTATCTTTCATATTACCTATCACCTGAGATAGGCAAATGGTGTAATGGGATGGCTTAGGATCCCAAATTTACAGGTTCAGAGAGACGTCACATTTCTCTAGAGAAGAATGCATGAACTGTATCTCTCTGGTTGTCTCCCCCATTAACGACCAGAAGTAAATGCGAAGCACGCAGGAAGCAAGCTTCAGTCATAGGTTACCAGTATAAGACGCTCAATAAGAAGATCACAGCGTAGTTGTTCCTGAAGAAGAAACGTTCGCAATGGATTGTATAATTAGGCGCTAACTAGAGCTATCCTTCCAGCCCACCACAACCCATTCGGACAAGTATCATAGCACACAGGCTGCTGATGCCGCCATGGAAGCTACGATGTGCTCGAGCTTGCAATATTTTTCAGATTCCCAACGGATTCGACATAGGCTGTATAGCTTTTCGACGACCTTGTCCTGATTTTGCTATTCGACCAACTATCCGGAGGGTTTTTCGCTCGACTCAAAGAACATCTTATCCCACTCAGGTTGTAGGTGCTGTTGCTTTGAGGAAACAACTCAAAGATGAAGCAAAAGCAAAACGAGCCGCTGGGTCGACTAGCACATCTCCGTCTCCGCCATCGATGCAGCAGATGCTCAAGGACTGGGAATTGACAGTCGGCATTGAGATCCATGCACAATTGAATACTGCTTGCAAGCTCTTTTCGCGTGAGTACACAGTGCAATTTAGCCGTCTCGAGCTGACATTCAGCAGATGCAGCCACGTCTATCAATGACGAACCGAATACTCACGTTGCCTTCTTCGATGTTGCGATACCCGGGTCCTTACCCAAGTTCCAGAATGCGACCTTGATTCCTGCTCTCCGGGCTGCCATTGCTCTAGGATGCCAAATACAGCACATCAGTCGCTTCGATCGAAAGCATTACTTCTACCATGACCAGCCTGCTGGTTATCAGCTCACCCAATACTATGAACCTTTTGCAAAGAATGGCTGTATCACCTTGACAGAGGATGATGGGATTGGCCGAATGGACGGGAAGTCAGTGACAATCGGTATCAAGCAAGTCCAAATGGAACAGGATACCGCTAAATCGCAAGAACCGGACCCAGAAACCAATCTGGTCGATTTCAACAGGGCCGGCCAGCCTTTGATCGAAGTTATTTCCCTCCCACAAATACACTCCCCTGAGACAGCGGCAGCATACGTGAGAAAGATACAGGCAATTCTGCTGGCAGTTGATGCAGTCACGACTGGAATGGAGATGGGAGGTCTGAGAGCGGACGTCAATGTTTCTGTACGACGCCGTGATGGACCGTTAGGAAACAGCGAATACAGTGGTATCACGGGACTCGGACAACGAACAGAGATTAAGAATTTGAGCACATTGAAGGGGGTTGAAGAAGCGATCAAAGCCGAACGAGATCGTCAGATCAGCGTGCTCGAAGCTGGTGGAGCCGTGGATGGAGAGACTCGAGGATGGTCATTGACAGCTCCAACTGTCACCCGCCGACTCAGAGGTAAGGAGGGAGAGGTTGACTATCGCTACATGCCGGATCCAGATATTGCTCCAATCACCATTGGAGCAGATGTGATCGAATATCTTGCGCAAACGCTACCGAAGCTGCCGAATCAACTTCTCACCATGTTAACGGAGGACAAAAGATACGGATTATCTATGACGGATGCGAAGATACTTCTACAGCTCGACGATGGGGAAAGACTTGAATACTACACTGCGGTGGTGGAAAAGTTGAATACTATATGCAGGGATCTCGAGGCCGAGGTTGATCGCGGATCGACTGGCCAGCTTGCAGCTAATTGGGTTATGCATGAACTTGGGTCCCTTCTTACGAGGGCGGACAGGTCTTGGAAGGAGACCCAAGTTCCATCAGCCAAACTTGCATCCATACTAGCCAACCTCATGAGTAAGAAAATCACAGGAAATAGTGCTAAGCAAGTCCTCAAACTCATCTTTGATGGCGATGGACGAGAAGTTGGTGCTATCATCCGAGAGGAAGGCTTGGTATACAGGCCGCTCTCAGGCGAAGAATACGCTGACTTGGCCTCCAAGGTCATGGAGCAGCATAATGACAAGGTCAAACAAATCCGAGAGAAGGGCCAGACCGGCAAATTGATGTTTCTGGTAGGCCAGATGATGCGAGCAGGAGAGGAGGGCAGGGTGGATGCCAAGGAGGCGGAATCTGTTCTCCACCGCATCATTTTGGAGGAACCGGCGGCATGATGCCCAGTTTCCAGTACAGAGTATAGAGTGTAGAGCATGAAAACGGCCGACACTCATGATGTAACCTCGAAACCTTGCCCCAAGCCTTTCTCCGCGTGATCAGTCGGGGTTGCACACCCCACGTCTCTTGCCGGTTGTTGTTCTCTTCGACCTGTACTTAAGGGAATCGATTGATAAGACCAAAAGAGCTTAGCACTTAGGGCTCTAGCGTTGACCCTTAAGTGCAGTTCCTGGCGGAGGATCCAATTTGGTTTTTTTAATTCAGCTCATGGCAGACACCCCCACGTGTGGAATGCCTCGTTGAGCTCTGCTTGCTGCGGCGTCATGGTGATTATGAGAGAGTGATCCCCCGAGAGGACATTACGGAGTCAATCTCGCATGTGTTCCCTACTATTCCATACCATATCTAACCACTATTTCCTACACTTCCATCCCTCCGTTACACTTCAGTCCCCGTCCCCGTCCCCGTCCCCATTCTCACACTTACATTCCTTAGCTGCAGACCATAAGTAGTCTTTTCTCCCTCTCCACTCCCAGAGTCATCTCCCATTCGGCCTGCTGAAGCCATACTCAGTTCGGCCGTTTCATGCCGTACCTCTCCCCTGACTCCCCTGCCCTTTCAACAGCCACAAGCATGACATCTCCTTCAACAATCCGTCAAAAATTCCTCACTCATCCTTCCGAACTCGGTGTTGTCGCCGTCGACTTCTCCGGTGGCCAATGCAAGCCTGGCGTTGACGCTGCACCCAATGCCCTCATCTCAGCCGGCCTTCTCGAACAACTGCGCCATGACCTTGGCTACGACCTGCATGGAGATTCTGATGTCCACTCCTACAACGACTACATCCCCAAAGGTGTCCCCGATCCCGATTACCGTGGCATGAAGAATCCTCTCTCCGTCTCCGCGGTCACCGAAACACTCAGTTCGAGAGTCTACGCCCAAGCAAAAGAAGGCCGTTTCGTTCTCACCCTGGGTGGAGACCACAGCATCGCCATCGGCACAATCTCCGGCATGGCAAAAGCCATTCGCGAGAGGTTGGCTGGAAAAGATATCGCAGTTATATGGGTAGATGCCCATGCCGACATCAACACTCCCGAGACCTCAGACTCTGGCAACATACACGGCATGCCCGTTGCCTTCCTCACCGGGCTCGCCAAAACGGACCGAAAAGACATTTTCGGCTGGCTGCACACCGACCAACTCATCAGCGTCAACAAGCTCGTCTACATCGGTCTTCGCGATGTCGACCGCGGCGAGAAACAAATCCTCCGCGAGAACGGGATCCGCGCTTTCTCAATGCACGATATAGATCGCCATGGCATCGGCCGCGTCATGGAGATGGCATTGGCGCATATCGGATCAGATACCCCGATCCATCTCTCCTTTGATGTCGACGCTCTAGACCCGCAGTGGGCGCCCAGCACGGGCACGCCGGTTAGGGGTGGGCTGACCCTAAGAGAGGGAGATTATATCGCAGAGTGTGTACATGAAACGGGACAGTTGATTGCAATGGATCTGGTGGAAGTCAATCCTTCCCTGGAAGAGAAGGGTGCAAGCGAGACGATCAGGGCTGGCTGCAGTCTGGTCAGATGCGCTTTGGGCGACACACTGCTGTAAAATGTCAGGTCATATGGCAGGTGATGGGGATGGATTGTATCAGTGGAGGTTCCATCCGACCTTTTAATGATCGAGTACCACAAAAAGCAGCTAGGCATTCCAAACAGCGTGTCCAGAACAAGAAAAAAAAAGTAGCAGACTGCCCAACGTGGAATTAGGTAGTAAAAGTAGAGTTTAGCGACTCCTCATAACTGTACTTGTGACAAAGTCCAAGCTCCATCCGATCCTTCTTGTGCCCATTCATCGTGATTCCTCCCATGTCCGCTCCCATTGTTGATTGGTATTTGTCTCCCCCGTTCAGCGCTAGAAGAAAACCCTATACTGAAGCAGAAGGTGGACAGTCAGACCCATCCATCAACTCTCCCAATTCACATTTTGAATCCTCAGTCAGCAGACCGCTTGAACGCACAAAAGGTCGCATACTCAGGCGGATATGCTGGCGGATATGTAGTTGTGGGTTTCGAAAGCAAGCTCACCACTCACGCAGTCTCACAGTGGGGGGACTTGGGATCTGTTTAAAAGCTCAGCTAAGTATTTTCCATTTCGTCCACATAGACAATGAGTAACCCTGGAATGATCTGCTCTGATCTGTTCTGCTATGATATGATATGATGATACATATGGTTGGATTGGGTGGGCCCACATCGTCGATCCGTCTGTCTGTCTTCGTACATGCCATACGATGCCATCCCATCTATTTCCTTTGCGCCTTTTTTCCTCTGCTCAGCTCTTTAGAAAATCATCGAAACCCGCATTCTTCGCTTTTTCCGAGAGATGCAAACCTTAATTTGATAATCGGCTCTGGAATCTGTGCGCCCGGAGCGCCATTCAACTCCATCACGCTTCTTCATCGATGACGAACTCATCAAATGTCTCCTGATCGTGATCATCAGCATCGTCGTCCCCGTCGACACTTGCACCATTCGTTCCTCCTTCTCCCTCCACCATACCACCAATCATCTCCAAAGCCTCACTCGCCTGACTCGTGTGGTGTCCCAGCGTCGTGGGTGGAAAAGCCGATACCGCACCATCCGCGTCATCGTCGCCAAGCATACCAGCATCAGTCGCTACCTCATCCGGAAGGTCCCCAGCCTCACTGACATGGCCATCTGGATCTTCATTCGTCATCTCCATGAACATCTCCTCCACATTTGTTGTGTGTGGACTTGATCCCATCCCCGTACCTTCAGCAGTGCCATTTACATCTGTTCCCGGCGTGTTGCTGCCATTGTGATGAGCTGTGGCCCCATTCGAAGTGGCGCCCATGATTCCAGTCCGGATATCGTCATCCCCACCAATGCCGTATCCAGGCGAGAAAAGGGCAGGACTGCTGTCAGCACCAGGTCCAGATGCGATTGTACCGCCAGGGAAGCCGGACCCGAGGATAGACTCTCTCATCCCACTGTTCGAGGGAAGGCTAGTTGTCGGACTGAACATTGCGGGACTGGCTGTGTGATGTGGACTTTGATAACTTGATGATGCACTGGTGCCGAAACCATGACCAAAAGACATGCCGCCGTCAAAACCAGAACTGTTGGGTGCATTTCCCGTTGACCCTTGCCGTGGCATTCCAAGAGGGGTATCAGATCTCATCAATGCCGAATTTGGCCCAGATCCTTGGGATTGCACCTGTGCTGGCTGGAGAGGTGGTGGAGCCGGTCTCCCGACGTGTGGCTCGGTATTTTTCCTTTTTACTGTTGACTGCTTACGCATATGTGGTGGAAGATCTTCGACCTTCTGAACACCAAGTTCCTTCATCATTTTCTGCTGTTTGGTTGGTCGAGGTTTTCGCGTGCTAAGACTCTGCTCAAGGATGGGAGGTGCTTGGGGCGCTATTGGTTGCCATTTATGGACGTCCTGCCTGAAGATGTTGGTTTCGTAAGCAAGAAGGACCTCTGCACCTTCGATCTTGCGGAGGTAGAAGAGGATAGTTGGCATTTCTTCAGATGTTCGACAAATTTGGTTGCCATTGATGAACTGCTGCAAGAAGTCGCGGAAGGTTTGGGCTTTGTCGATGATCCGTTCGAGGATGTCTTCTTCGTCAGGTTGGAATGGAAGCGTGGCGAGTTCCTCACTCCACTGTTGGAGATCTTCGAGCTTCGGTCGAGCAGCGTCGCGAGGGATTTTGACACGCCAGTCGCAGATAGGACAAGTGAAAGTTTCACTGCCTTTGACTTTGCCTCGGGCGATCTTCAGGCATTTGCCATGATACCTAGAAACGTAAGCAGGCGTTTGCCAAAGCCATTGCGGCGCTACCTACCAGTCTTGACACACCTCGCACTCGATCATCATGCCTCCTTCTGGTTGACGACAGATGCAGAAGACGGACTTTTCATCCTGTCCAAGACCATGTCTTCCCAAACCATCCACAGGACTGGCTTCTCGAGATTGAGGTTCAACAGGTGCACGGAATGTATCATTCAGGTCGAAACAATAGTTGTTCTTCGTTTCCACGGTCTCCATGTGGGCTTTCAGGATGTGTAGTGGCGCATTGGCTTTTCCAAATAGCTTCTTCCCCTTTCGCATCCAATCTTCATGGCGTTTGACCTCCCGCTCGAGATCAACAGTGCCACTCGGCTTGCTTGTCCAGTCTTCCAACGACTTCATGACGTTCCGGACCTCGTCATAGGTAGGACGATCCCTCAAATCCTCTGCCTTTGTCCGGTCGTATAATTTCTGGATCTGCTCCTTTGCTGCACGATTCTTGATGAGCACCGCATCCAGTTCGGCCAGGGTATCGGGGTTGACAGGGAAATCCTGCTTTTGAGATTCGGCCCATAAAGCTTCCAGCTGACCATAGTTGACATTTTCCTGAGCCATGACTTGCTTTGTCTTGGCTTCCCACAGCTTCCCCTTGCTCACAAGATCTTGAAAATGTGCCAGATCCCCACCGTCCTGACGAATATCATTTTCAATGCCTCTCCTGACAAGATCTTCACATTGCGCCAGCGTATATTTGGCCTTGTGAGTCTTGGCTTCATGAGCCTCCTCGGTCCACCGGCTTTTCACTAATTGCTTGTCAAGTAGATCAATTTCCTGCATCGTTACGAATAAGCTCCGACCCGTTTCAAGAAGCTCCTCAATTTCGGCAGCAGAGTTGACGTGAATATTCCGTAGCATTATCTTCGCCTCGGCTCGCCAATCGTCTATCGCCCGGGATTTGTCCTCTAGCTGTTCGATTTTTTCGTGCGCAAATGAGAGGTCTTCAGCAGTCTTCAACAACTTGCGAAGACCTTCTACAGTCAACTCCTTCTCCTCGGGCTTTGTGCCCCTGTTTGACTTTGCTTTCCACGTCTTCTCGCTTTTCCGTCGATTCTGTTGTTTGCGTGTGGTGTACTGGTCTGCTTCCTCTACCCACTGATCGCAACGCTTGACGAAAACTGCTAGGTCTTTGAGCCCCGGGAGCTCCGCTGGGATTTTCTTGCCTTCTGCAAGCAGAGAATGGAGCGACTTTAGAGGCGGTCTCGGTCCATCTTCGAGCAACCGGTCCAGCTTTTCCTGCCACGCCTCCGGGACTCGTGCTTTATCACTCACCCTCTGCACAATTTCAGAAAGTCTGTCATCTGAAAAACGTAGTTTCAAAGTATGATTTGGGCCCTTGAGCTTCTCTTGAGGCGTTTCTGCACAACAATCGCTTGTCTCTGTATGCAGCAAACAGCTAATCTTCGCAGAGTGATGACAGTAGAACTGTGAGAGAAAGGTGTAAGCTTTACAGAAGTGACATTGATACTCTTCTTCCTGAAGCTCTTCGTCCTCGATTTGGAAGTTTAGGTCGCATGGATCTCCACTTTCGTGGTCATGGGAACCTTCGAACGAGCATTGATGGGGATGAAGCTCTTGATGTCTGGTCCAGAAAGAATGCCGATGTTCCAATTCTCGAGTCCGCATTCTTTCCAGAGCTGGGGCCAGCCATTTGGCAGTCTTGATAGACGTGTCCATTCCTGCAGCCGTGAGAAGAAGCTCATCGTGGGAGAAGCACGGCTGACGGCGGAACTCTTGAAGTCGCTGCACACCAGCTTCTCCAAATGGTTCCCAATCACATGGCGCGAAGTTGACTGCTTCATTGAAATTGAACCCGTGATTAAATCCTGCATGGTATGCCTGTGGAAAAGTGACGACAAACTGTCCTGCACGCTGGTCCAGAGCATAAACATTCACACCAGCTTTTCGCAACTGATCTGGCGGGAGAAGGGTGACTAGTTGAAACAGAAGGTCTGGTTGCGATTCAAACAGCTCAGGAACAGCTTGTCGCATGGCCTCCTCAAAGATGTGAGCATCAGCACCTGGTATTCCATACCACGTCTTGGTTGCGCCAAAATGCTGATAGTTTGCTGAGTACGTGTAGTGGTCCTCGTTGTGCCAGCAGAAGGTAGAGAAGCACATTCCAACATAAAGCCATGGTACTGTCATGCCAGATATGTCGGTTTTGATGTGCCGAAATAATGAATCCTCATGAAAGGGAAGAACATTGAGGTTCCAAGGATCCTTGGAGTAAGGATCAAGAGGATTCTTTTCGACTGTAGGAAACCCACTACCATGCGTTGTTGAATGAATATCAGCTCCATACTCGACCTCAATTGTTTCTGTGAGACTCTCAACCAATCTCCAGAACTCCCGCTCGACATCGTCTTCGGTCTCCTTCTTTCTTGTATTGAGGACAGGGTCGAAGGGCATTCGAGGAGCAAAATAATGCTCTTTGAAATTGTTGGCTTTCTCCTGGAAGTGGCGCAATGAATAGATGCTACCTTCTTCGAAGCCATACTCGCCAGTACCTATGAGACATCTAGCACAGTTCCAGTCATAATCGGGAATAGTTGCAAGCGGAGGATCCAGACAATATTTGTGATATCCGAGTTCGCAGGCATCACAGACGATGATGTTTTCTTTGTCTTCGATTTTATTGCATTGTTCACATTTCTGCAAAAACTGTTAGTGTCTGGTCTTCACCCCTGCAAATATAATATGCGGCATACCTCTCCCAATTTCCTCGCGCCTGTCCTTGAGCGGATTCGAGGGGTGGATGGTCGCATTAGACTCATGTGGCTTCCTGCAACGGTCGGTACGTTGTCTATAGGCTAAGATTAGTATACATACAAGCACAGTTATACGAAATGGAAAAGAGCTTGTGCTAGTTACTCAAATAGGGGAAAGACGAACCCTTTTTCAACCTCTTGCTTCTTCGACCATTTGGTCCATCACCATCGCCATTAAGCCCATCAGAACCAGATTCGCAATTCATACTCTCATGGCTCATTGTACGCTTTAGAGGATTTGAGCCAAGATCACCATTGCTGTTTGAGGCAGGAAGTTCTTGGCTGGGCATGACGCTTGGAGCACTGCCATTTGCTGGTGCCTTCGCATGACCATTTGAGATGGTCGGGCCCGTACAGACTTCATTCTCGTTTTTGCTCTGTAATGAATGAGCATGATTGACAGCGACAAACCCTGGGGGAGATGCGTTGACGGCTGAAAAGCCACCGGAATTGACAGCCATGAATCCGGAAGAGACAGGTCTTGGCGCTTCAGGTTTCGCGATTGGCAACTTGGCTGAGGGCGGCGCAGGCTGGACGGTGGGTTCTGCTTTGCCTATGGAGGCGTTCAATGCTGCAGATGCTTGGACCGCAGGTGAATCGGAGCTGAATACATCTGGCTGACTTTGAGAATGGACCCTTTTCATGGGAGACATGGCTGGAGAAGGAGAGAATTGACCTCCATACTCGAAGTCAAGCTGTTGTTGGATACCGGGCTTGACTGTGCGCAGGTATTCTTCGTACGGATGAAGCCATCGCTGGTAGGAGTTCTTGAGCGATGTTGATAGGGACGACATTATCTTGCCACTATACCCGAGGTCGCGACCAATTTCAGCCCATTTCTTATCTTTACACACCTTTTCGAAGCCGCCTCGTATTTCAACAGCCTTTTTTAGTTTGTACAGGTCCAGTGGTCTCTTGTCAACACTCGGGAAACGATTGAGGTTTGTGCCATATTGCTTATGAAATTTGGCAAGTTGATCAAGATAGTTCAGATTCGTTCGGGTACCTTCTAGACTTAGACAGGATACTTTGCATGCTCATTACTTGAATTGTAGACGTACCTCCTTCCACTGAGTTGAGTTCTTGGCGTCGAGTACGGAAATGGAATCGCTAGCATCCATGTCAGTGGTAAGTCGTAGAAATTGTGGACGTGGAGCGGATGGACTGAGTGTGGCAGAAGGGTCTCCCAAATACCTCAAGATCAATGGCGAAATCTGGATTCCAGCTCTCAGGTGGTATTATTTTGCAAATGCCATATCTGCTTGCCTCCGGAGCAATCTTTCTCATATATTCCATTGGGTCCCGAAATTCATCTTCAGTGGGTTTGTACACTGGAGCTTCCTGCAGACCATGAGGCCTATTGCGTTTGGCTGGGTCTTTGACGGCTTGGGTACCCCGCCGTTCTACCGTGTTCATATCGAGGGGTGCTGCGCGACGTGCGCTGTAAGGTATAGTGGGAGGCTGTGCTGATGGGTGCGTGCCATTTGCACGGTTGGGAGGAGCGGCTTTGGCGAGTGGTGGGTTGCTGGTAGGATTACCGCCCACGGAGGGAGGGACCACCATCGTGAGAAGGGATGCCTGCGCCGCGGCTGGTTATACAATGCTATCGCAGGCTCAGATTATGCCGCTGTGCTCCTTCCTCATAACATGGCTCGTGGGAAGGGAAATCGAAGCGACAGAGGCACGCGAGCGTCTGATCGATCCAGATGGATTGAGCAGTGGAGAATGTCTAATTCGAGCCAGTCACGGAAAGCAAGTACTTGCTGCTCCGGGGCTTGAGCTGAATCGGAGTGCCACCGGAATAAAAGATCGTACTACATGTGGTTGGTAGGTAACTGTCATGAAAAAAGAGAGATCGATAGGTTATGGGAGGCAAGGCGGAAGAGTGATTCAGAAGTCAGGATGGCGCATGAGCCTTGTGGAAGACTGGGATTATTATGGAGTAAGAGTATCCCTACTATTTTTTGCATGACTGGGGAGGGTTTGCAACAGCGATATTGGTAGTAGCTCAATGCCACTTGCACTAAATGGCCTACGGAGTTCCACTGTCTAACTCGCAGTACTCAAGGACGCCTTCTCTGCTCCAGCCTTTTCCCATCGCCAAAAGTGCTCTAAATTACCCGCCCTACTTCGCACACGCTCCTCAGGTGGCTACTCAGCTGTGAGACCTCAGTCGATATGCTGTTCGACTGTACATATTTGCTGTAAATTACGACACGCTTCCTTCATTGAAGTCCTACTTAGACTGCCTTCCTCAGAACTCGAATGTCGAGGTAGTCAAGCCGCAAGCATTAGATTTCAGTCTGATGCGGCTAGCAAGCTGCCTGACGATCAAAGTTGGAGCCAGCCAATCGCCAGCGCGGCGCAAACCCCTCACCACCTCGGCCAGCAGTTCTATTCCGACTTCGCCAGAGACCAAAAGTACCAACACGCATCGCGACACGGGACAGGTACTCTGTTGTGGCATTCGAAGGACAGGGCGTGTTTGCCGTTGCATTGTGCGGCTTGAACGACACCGTCAACTTCTCGCTCTATATTGGCCTCTCGGCCCATGGACGTAAAGCCGATCCCAGCTTTTTATTGCTGTTACCTTCTCCGTTCTACCGTCAGACACGCCAGTCTCTATGTTGGATCCACGCCAAATCCTTGTCGAAGGCTGGCTCAACATAACGGTCAAGTCAAGGGTGGCGCCGTACGTACCTCGCGGATTAGTCTCAGACCATGGGAAATGACTTGTATTGTTGCTGGCTTTCCCTCCAATATCGCAGCTCTACAGTTCGAGTGGGCTTGGCAGAATGCCCATCTCACCAGACATATTCCCCATCATGAGAGAATATCTTTTGCGACAACATGTACCAAGACTTCGCCTAAGACGGGGAGATTGAGAAGAAAGCCTGGTAGGCCGAAGACCTCCCTGACTGATAAATTGTCGAATCTGCATTTACTACTACGTGTTCCTTACTTTTCCAAATGGCCTCTCGAGCTCCGTTTCTTTTCCGAGGATGTCTTTCGGTTTTGGCAGACTTGGTGCCAGAGGGTCGATGCCCAGATTTCACCACGGATCAAGGTCTGGCTCGACAAGCCCAAGGAAGGCCATGACCTTGTCCCTCAGATCCACGCTGGACTCAGCCGTAAGCGACGGAGGCTGGATGCAATTGGCAGAGGTGGTGTTGATGGTGTCGATCCGACGTATGCCTCGTTGCGCCCAGTCCTGGAAAAGGCCCAATTATTGTTAGAAGAGGACAACGACCTTGCTTGTGGTTTATGCAACCAAAGCCTGGATCCGAAACATGATTTGATCACGGTCTGTTCCCAAGCTAACTGTCTGAGTATCTACCACATGAGTTGCCTGTCGAACCAGTTTCTCAAGGCTGAAAGAACTGCGGCCATGCTTCCGGGCAGTGGTGATTGTCCGAGCTGCAAAACGCATTTATCATGGGTGGAATTGATGAAGGAAATGACTCTACGCGTTCGAGGTGAAATTGAAGTGCGTAAGATGTTGAGAGCGAAGAATCGGCTGGTGCCTTCTGGTGTACCGCAAGCAGATGCTCTACAGGATGAAAGGTCTGACGGGTCCGATATGGATGAGCCTGATGAAGATGTGCTGACTGCAGCTGACGTGGTTGACGAGGACAGTGATGATACTGTCTCTCTTACCAGCGTAGAGTCAGACGGGTCACATAATTCGACAAGAGGAGCGGTCATGAAAGCCAGATCCAATACAAAACTACCCACGGTGATTGAGGACAGCGACGCCGACGTGATTGATCTTCTCAGTGATTGAACATTCGAGGCGCTGATCATCTCGATCTCAATTCACCTCGATCCCGTTGTGGAAAATTCCTTGTGGGATGGGTCATCCCGGAGAGGCATCGCATTGTTAATTCGAGGCATATCTACAAACAAATTATCGCCAGTCCGGATTGCTCGTGGGCATCTTATTCAATATGTGATGCGCTGTGCGCTTCCGGTCTTAGAGTTCACGGATTCCTGGGAGGTGGCTTCTGTCAACTCCTGCCACGAACGAAGCTTTGCAAAGGTCTCCAACGGCTTTCTTTCGGACAGATGACCGAGAGTAGAGTTCAGTATATCTTTTGCCACTTGGTCCACCGGGAACCTGGCGTCTATCAGGTGGATATCGTGACCATGGTTCATACTAAGAAGGCGGTCGAACAAATGCCTTACTTTGCTCTGCATTGCGTTGGTCTCATATCGCTCTTCTCCATACCCTCCTCGCTTTGCGGTTTCCTCAGCCGAGATAGAGAGGAACAGTAAGAGGTCTGGTCTTGGAAGCCCAACCTCGGGTTGCCAGGCCCATTCTAGGGACAGATCTGGGTTTTCTTTGGCGGCGGAATAGACAGCTCCAGAATAGGAGTAACGGTCGACGATGATGGTGATGCCATTGGAGAGATCTGACCTGATCCTTTGAGCCGCCTCCCAGCGGTTTGCTGAGAATAGAAGATGAATAGAATGATCATCTTGCTGCGCTTGACCCTGTAAATAGCCATTAATTATTTTGCCAGTAAGGCTGTTCCTGTCTGAGCAAGCATGCTTTAGCACCCAACCTAAGCAGACCTTCATAGTTGTGTTACCTGGAAATTTGATATATTTGACATGATGTCCTCGTTGCTGTAGAGCCTCCAGCAGCAATTGACATTGAACCGTCTTGCCCGCTCGATCAAGTCCTTCCACAACTATGAGAACTCCTCGAGCTTTCACGTCTTCATGAAAAGCCATGATGGTCATGTATTATCAAGAGCAAACTGTGAGAGCAAGCCTGTGACGGAAGGCGCTTTGTCACCAGCCAACAAACTAGACTGGGCGAACGACTAAGACCGAAATAATAAACAGTTTGATACCAGTCTCAACAGCTTATGTCGACGCTCGATGGAGCAAGCTTCTGCGGCACATCAGCAATATCCTATGCTTAGCTTTTTTGTTGCATACGCAAAGTCCTCGACCGTGGGCCCCAGAGTGGGTCGTTTGACTCGTGTTGGTCAAAAGGCCATCAAAACGCCACACTATGTAGCTACCACATCTCGGGGGGTTGTTCCTCACATCTCTCACGATACCCTGCAAAAGCATACAGCAGTGTCAAGCATCTACCTGGCCCTTGAAGACTGTATGGTATTCCTTCACGCTGCCACGTCTTGTGCTGACCCTGTGCTTACAGTTTCATTTTAGTTATAGAAAAGCGGATTACAGGTGCGCCTATCTTCAAGACACCAGCAAAGGATGGCGAGTCACCACTTCGCAAGTACGTTGCGGCACAGGATGATGTGCTCAGCATCCTGGGCCCCAGACGCGTCCCAGCACTACCATGTCCTGCCCACAATAATGGGTCAGCGATATCTATTTGCACATCAGTCGGATTCAGCCAGTTAAATGTCAATGATTACCATGACGCCCTTCGAACTCTACGTCCAGATATCGCCATCACGATGGCAGATGTGGTTATGCATGGAACAGCCAGTGTCAAAAGGATAGAAAAGAGTGCCGACAGGACACATGCATGGCTGAGAGATGCCTGCGAACAGCTTTCAGCACACGAGAAGTCTTCGAGTAAACCAGCGATCTTCGCCGCTATACCTCCCATTGCAAATGTACAACAATCACTCTATCTGCAGGATCTTGCCGAGGAGTATCGTCATATGCTTTCAGGTCTTGCGATCTACTCCTCAACCACTGCCGTCGATCTTCCTCAAGCGCTCTTTGATCTTCCACGTATGTCCCTTTCCGAACCAGGTTCACCGCATTCTCTACTCAAAGACATGGCACTCGGCGTCGACCTGCTTTGTATACCGTTCATAGGGTTCGCTTCAGATCACGGCATTGCGCTCGTTTTCGAGTTCCCCGGGCCAGACTTGGCCATCGACGAGCCACGACCCCTGGGTATTGATCTTTGGTCCATTGAAAATGAAGCAAGCCTCTTGCCGCTGTCTCCACACTGTGAATGCTTTACTTGTACTCGACATCACAAGGCTTACATACATCACCTTCTACAAGCCAAGGAGATGCTGGCATGGACCCTTCTTCAAATCCATAACCTCTCCACCATGGATCGCTTCTTCGATGCATGTCGAAAATCTATAGCCAATGGATCATTCGAAGAGGACGTTGAATTGTTCACTCGACGTTATGAAACCGACATGCCAGCCAAGACAGGATCAGGGCCAAGGATCAGAGGCTATCAAATCAAATCCAGCGGTGGTGGTGAAGCAAGAAAGAACGAAAAGGCTTGGGATAGATTCGATGACATGGCACAGCAAATTGCGGAGGCAGAGTCAGGACTTGCCACGGCTGAAGGAGATTCAAAACAGTTAGAGGACCAAGGAATCGCAGAGAGGGTGTAATGGTGGAGATATTGGCGTTGGCGTCGAAAGATCCAGGGTGGCTCACATTTTACAATCAGCCAATGGACAATAGTCGAGAGAAAAGTAAACAACAAGTAATGCTCCGTGATCCTGGTCGTCTAGATATTGGAATTGGATGTGAAGGGCGTTCCTTCAGCCCTCTAGACCCGATCCACTACGCCAAAAGGGGCATCCAATTCCCATCTTCTATAATGACAGAGCCACGCAATGTGCCCCTCTGCGGCCACGCACCTGTCGCGCCATGTTGCCGGCATCAACATTTCAACATGTGCCGTTTGGCAAACAGTCATCCTCGGTCCTTAGGAAAATGTCTGAAACTTGCAGATAACCACGTATTGCGAGTGTCACTCACTTGGGTTTCTCGACTTTTCTTGTGTCGATGACAGAATGGAGAAAATTACCGACAAGCTGGCAGCTCTCCCGCCTAACACCAATTACTTTTCTCTGGAATTCTTTCCACCAAAGACACAAGCGGTGGGTGGAGTTTCTGCATGCTCTGACTCCTGTCTAACAGCTTTAGGGCTCTTCGAATCTCCAGGCTCGTCTTATTCGCATGTCACAAGCCCTCCGCCCATTATTCGTAACTGTTACTTGGGGCGCTGGTGGCAGTACGGCAACAAAAAGTCTAGAGCTTGCGGAAATATGTCAGCGTCAACTGGGCCTCACAACATGCATGCATCTGACTTGCACTAACATGAGTCGAGCTCTTGTGGATGAAGCTCTTGAGGAGGCCAAAGCATTGGGGATTAGAAATATCCTGGCTTTGCGGGGCGACCCTCCAAGGAGTGAAGAGTACCATATGGACGGCCAAGAGAACAGCAACAAGGACTTCACTTGGGCCGTTGACCTAGTCAGATACATACGCAAGGTCCATAGCGATTACTTTTGTATTGGCGTTGCTGGTTACCCCGAAGGGCATGCAGACGACTCACATCCAGAGCACCAATCTGTCGAACGAGATCTGCCATATCTTGTTGAAAAAGTTAAAGCGGGTGGGGATTTCATCATGACTCAGTTGACGTACGATATTGAGGCATACACAAGATACGAAGACACCCTGAGATCACATCCTTCTGGCATCTTCACCTCCATTCCCCTCATTCCTGGGCTGATGCCGATCCAATCGTACCAAATAGTCAAGCGCATAACCAACCTATCGCACGCTCGGATCCCAGCCGAGATGTTCTCCCGCATCGAAGCCGTGAAATCTGACGATGAAGCCGTTAAGAGGGTGGGGGTTGATATATTGTCTGAGCTGGTAGAGGGTATCAAAGCTCTTCCACAACCCAAATCATTACCAAGAGGCTTCCACTTCTACACTTTGAATCTCGAAAAATCTGTTGCGTTCATTCTGGAGCGCTGCAAACTCATTCCTTCCTCTACCGAGCCAACGACACCTTCCACTAGCGACTCAGAATCAGAAATAGCCATTACGACGATGACAAATGGACCGACTATGGTCATCAACGGAACCGGTGAACTGTCAAAGCGAAGCTTCTCACGCCGGCGTGCCTCGTCCTTCAACTCGCAACCTCACAATAGATTGATCGTTGACAACGTATCAGCAAGAGATGTTGGATCCAGGCATCGGTTGCCCAGTGGAGCGCAGTCTTCTCAGGGCTCGGAGACTCATCAAACGCCCTCGGAGTGTGCCGGCATACCGGCGGGGCCTTCCACACGATCGAACACGCTCCTGATTTCGGAAGGACAAGGCTCTTTGGGCAGAGAGGCTACATGGGATGATTACCCGAATGGACGGTGGGGCCCCTCCAGCTCCCCTGCATTCGGCGAGATCGATGGATATGGTCCCAGTTTGAAAGTGGGTCCGGTAGCTGCAAGGCGATTATGGGGCCACCCAAAGTCACCGGAGGATATCACAGGACTATTCAGGAAGCACGTTGAAGGAGAGCTAGTTTGTGTGCCATGGAGTGACGAGACCGATGTTACCAGTGGTGGCGCATTAAGAGCAGAAACAGAGATAATCAGACCAGAGTTGATTGCGCTGATTGAGGGGAAGGGATTCTGGACATTAGCCAGTCAACCCGCGGTCAACGGTATCAAAAGCGATGACGAGGTCTTTGGATGGGGACCTCCTGGTGAGGGTTTCATTTTTCAGAAAGCGTTCGTTGAGTTTTTTGTATCAAGGCAAAGCTGGGAGAAGGAAGTGAGACCATTACTGCAAATGCATGGCGAAGATGAACTGAGCTGGCTTAAGACAGATAAGGAGGGTGTGTTTGAGTCATCAGCTTCTGCGGAGATGTTGGTTGATCCTACCACGTCGAAACCGGCGGCTGGAGCGACCGGGGTCAACGCTGTGACGTGGGGCGTATTTAGAGGGAAAGAAATTGTCACTCCGACCATCATCGAAGAGCAAAGCTTTCGTGCCTGGGGCGAGGAGGCCTATGGGATCTGGGAGGAATGGAGGAGACTATTTCCAAGGGGGAGTGAAGAGGAGAAGTTCCTCGAATCTTGTAAAAGAGATTATGTGCTGGTGAATGTGGTTGGCCAACGATTTGTTGGCAAAGATGGAGCAAGGCTGTGGGAGATCCTCGCTTTACGGTGACAATGGTAGTGATGAGTGAATGAGTGAATGAGTGAATGAATTCTACAGTAGCTGCGACAGTCACTAATCACCAATCAGCATTGATACTATTGATGCTGGGAGCTACTGCTTATGTAAGGAACGCGCTTGACGCTTGACGCGTCTCTCAAGTTTTTGGTGCACAAGCTTGGTCACTTAGTAAGTCAGACTTTCTACTTGGATGCACCTTCCACCCCACTACATAGTCATCACTCTGCCTCGACAACCCGAACATTGCCAATATGGCTGCTCTTTCCACCACTCAGACCAATCTTCTTTCCAGAATCTCTAAGCCTTCGGTGGAACGGTCAGTCAAGCACGACTCTGCTCCAGGCCGCCCAAAGACATATGACTGGATTTCGACGAAACGAAAGCGAGATATTGATGACTTGAGAGAAAGCAGTGGTGTGGTGCCAGCGCTTCCTGTATGCAAGAAGGTAGAACAGCATGTTACGATCCTTCATTATGGCCAGGTAGCTGATGACTGACAGCCAAAACTTTTCTTTGCACAATCTGGCCACCCAGTGTTTGCTTTCGAAACCAACCAGGTCTCCCGCCCCTCACTTCAATCGACACCCATTAACAAGGCTCGATCTCCGCCTGCAACATCAACGCTTTCACTTGTATGCCACAACTTGTCACAACCCATCCGTACTCTTATCACGCTGCACAAATACTTCTTGCAAGCACTCTCTCTTCACTACGCCCATAGCAGAGGTCATGCGCCAGCTGAGCTTGGAAGACTTCTCGAGACTGTTACGAGGCTATGGAAGGAAAGATCAGTCACAAAAGAGGATATACAAAGAATGTTGGCATTGTACGAGGTTAAAGTAGAGATTGCGCTGCCTGATGGAATGGATCTAATCCAATCTTTGAGTCCATTCAAGCTTGTAACAGCTGGCTCGTGCAACAGTATCGAGTTTTTCGTCCAGCGAAAGAAGACTGGAGAGCCCATATCTTCTTCGTTTGTCGAAAAGGACCTGCAGGAGTCGTACCGGTCTCACATCTATAGGTTGGAATCCGCCTGGATCAAACATCAACATGAACATCTTTCATTCTTCGATGAAGACGCCTCTCTCGACGACTTTCCCAGGCTTGCCTTCAGTATCGGCACACAAACCGCAGCCCGCAAAGCCCAGGCTTCAAAACAACGTGGGGAAATCTTGAAATTATCGAGTGCTGCTCAAATCCGGAATGAGAAGGCATCAACCTCGCGGCGAGACCCAATCACCGAACTGATTTCACGTGAAATTACGTCGACCGAGCGTAAGAAGCAAGACCTCCTTGATCGCATCAAAGCAAAAGAGCTCGCACTTAAAGCCCGGGCTAAGCCTACAGCTGAACAGATCCTTCGCAAACACGCCCTAGACAGGATTCCGGAGGTGGTCGACGTCCTAAGGATGATGCAGCAGCAGCAGCAGAAAGGAGAATCCAAATCGAGGGTTTATGATAACAACTCGAACGCCTTCAAGTCAGCCAACCGATCTGGGAAAGTATCTTTCAACCGGACGCAGATCAGGGACAACATCAAGAGCTCCACCAGTGTTCCTATTTCTGACGAAGAGGTGATGATGTGTCTGAAGATGCTCAGCGACGAGCTAGACGGGAGTTGGGTGCAGATGGTTGAGACAGGGTCCACATCAAAGACTGTCTTTGTGGTGATTGAGGGCGAGGGTATGAGTGGTAAGGAGGTGCAGAGACGACTTACAGCCCAGATGGTCTAGAGTTATTGGTTGATCTGTTGCGGTTGGTAGCTACTCGAGCTGTCGGAGCGTGGAACACTCTGCAGCAGGTCTGCAGCATCACCTCGTGTATCCTACTTTGGAAGGGGTTCTAGCCAGAGAAGGGAGCTGAAGATGTTTTGCCTGTTGCGAGAAGCTCTCTCACAATAGCCCATATGCAAGTTTCAACCCGAGAGAGAAGAGTTGATAAGATACAGATTTCACATCTGACTTTGAGAGTCAAAATCTATTCCTGGTATCAATGCTCGTAGAATTACAACCTGATCACTGCTCGTTGGCGAGCAGCACACAAAGCACGCCAGCGCTATGCAAGACCACCATGCTCTATCTATCCTCGTAATCAATACTAATGTACAGCTATCCATCCTCTACACCTAACGTACTTTCGCGATCATGTACCGCTCCACCCCAAACCCGGGTGACCGAAACACCATTCAGTATCCGCTTCCACTTTCGCTTCCTCACTCTTCATTCCAAATCCCAACCCTCTCGCTAATCTCCCTAATCCTACTGACAACATTCTCCTCCACCAGATCGCCCTTGCCACCGGCAATCCGCAAGATCAAATCATTTAGACTACTCCTGCCCAAGATATCCACATGATCCCCCGTATTCGGTCCGCCCCGTGGATTAAACCGGTCCGGCTCATGCGGCATCTCGTACGTCTTGATCGACACGTTGGCCGGGTTGTAGCGCTTGATTTTGCGCCAGCCGTGCGTACACATATACCCCGTTGAGAGTAGATTGACGGTTCCATCGCCCTCGCCAAAGATGACGCCATGGTCGACGGCTGCGGCGTCGGAATGCGGAGATGCGGAGTTGGAGGTGTATGCGGTGTCGATTGTTAAATTGATGTTGGGGTGGAGGGGGTTGGTGCTGTGTTTGTAGAAGTAGCCGCGTTCGGTCGGCTTGCCGATGCCATAGAAGCAGTAGATTTTGAGGTTCGGGGCTAGTGGAAGGCGGGCTTCGAGCGGGTTGAGCCAGGTTCGTGGAATGTTTTCATTAGCTTCGACTTGGGAGGTTGTGTGTGCAATGCCATGGGAGTAGGCGTGCTGGACTTGGTTGGAGTACCAGTCTTCGGAGGTGGTAAAGAGGTAGTTGAGCGCTTCTTCGATGGTGAGGTTGGTGGGTGGGACGAGGGAGGTGTTCTTGGGTTGTTGAAAGGAGAGGAAGCGGCCGTAGCTGGCGTTTTTTGTTGGGGAAGAGACGTCGTCGGGCGCCCAGGTCATGTTGCCCCAGACGGCATTGCCGCCTTTAGGAAGCATTGAGGAGATACCCGGCATCGCGCGAAAGATTGAGGCTCGCTCTTCTTTGCTGAGGAATTTCTCTAGGCCGTAGACAGCGAAGGCATTCAATTGAGCGGTGTCTTTCATCTCCCCGGACAAAACCGCTGGAACGCCCTTAGCAGCACCCAACATGCAACCCGAAATGTTGATCCAGCTGTCGACATGCTTGTCAACCCAATCGGACCCACCGTTGCCATACCGGGGATTCTCGACCCACTTGAAGAAATAGAACAAGACTTGTCCGCCCATAGAATGAGATACCAGACATGTCTTTCGTCCGGTGGTCTTATGTGCAGTTTCAATGTAAGACTTGAGCTTCGTGAAATACCGATCACGAACTTCTAGATTCATGTACGTGAGTCGCCAGTCGTAGGCGGCCGTAAAGGCATTCGTTGGGTCGTATCCTATCGTGGCCAAGTTCTCCAGGATCTTGTTCCAGATCCAATAACCAGTGATGAAGAAGTCTGTGGCATCAAACCCCTGAGCAGCACGCAACTTGATACCAGGCGGATCCAGCCCTGTGGTCTTGTCAAGCATGATGTGTTGCTTCCAGCTTGCTTTGTCGAGGACCAATGCCCGCATCATGGACCATGAACCCCATAATCTCTTTCTGAAATATTGTCTTGACTTGTCGCCAGTACCCCATGACTCGAGCCCGGTCGATATGACGCCAGGAATCATGATAACAGGATGGTGCGCACTGACTCCCTGGGCTTGCAGGTGGAGGCCAACGGAGAAAGAATCGTAATTGACAGCATCACGCTCTGCTTTCTGCATCAATTAGTCTTGATCAATGGTCTCAATGTCTGAGGATGGGCATACTGTGATATCCTGCGCGTCCTTGACAATCCCGGCTGGAATGACATCAAGGAAGCTCTCCAGATTGAAGTCTATCAAACCCTCCAGATTGATGACTTCCTGTCTATTGGCAAAGAACAGGGCTAAGCATATTCCGACAAGTCCTCCAAGGCCAAATATGAACCAACTTCTTCGTTTGCTTCTTCTTTTAGTCGTCAGGCCTGTCAGCTTTGAGACCGGTACCAATTGTACCTCTTCGCCATTATTGGGAACACGGTCTCGGGGGCTTGGGGATGGTGAGGGTGTCTCTCGAAGGACGCCGCCTATTCGATGTCGGAGGGTTGACATGGCGCGCGATGCGCCAGCATGTAGTTGTGGTTCAAGTTCGATGGTGCGGAGACTAAAGAGGACTGTTTACCTTGGGTGCCTGACTATGTATTCAGATGTCAGACTCAATCTTCACATGTCCGTGGTTTTGCCCGCACTCACCTCCGCCATGTCCTCAAGGACCCACCAAAGGCTCCGAGCTTAAGTAGCAGCTGGCAGACATTGCTCCGGCTGTGGCCAATGTATCATCCACTGCCACCATGAGCAATGTATCGTATTCTGCGCCTCCTGGGATACGCTACGTTCAATATGAAAGTTCAAAGGAGGCAGAATATGTCCCAAAAATCCGCCAGTTGATCTCCAAAGACCTTTCGGAGCCTTATAGCATTTATGTCTACCGCTATTTTCTGTATCAATGGGGGAATCTCTGCTTCATGGTTGGTCATTTCTGGACTGCGCAATGTCGCTAGCTAAGACGTCCAGGCAATGGATGATGAAGACAATCTCGCGGGCGTCGTGGTTTCAAAGCTTGAGCCCCACCGAGGTGGCCCTCTCCGGGGTTACATCGCAATGTTGGCAACCAAGGACAGCTATAGAGGGAAGGGTATCGCTACGGCGTTAGTGAGGATGGCACTCGATGCAATGATCGCAAGAAACGCGGACGAAGTTGCTCTGGAAACAGAAGAGACCAACAGCGCTGCCATGAAGCTCTACGAAAGATTGGGCTTCCTTAGGAGTAAGAAGCTTCATCGTTATTACTTGAACGGCAACAGTGCATATCGCCTAGTATTGTACCTGAAAGAGGGTGTTGGCATGATTCCGACGTATGACCCTTACGCTGATCTTCCACCATCCGCGGAGCCCCTTGTAGATATCGAAAAGAATAAGCCGAATCAGTAACTTATTCGAGGAGATGCTCCGTACGGACCAAGGGCAGCTCAATCAACAGAGTTGAAAGCACTCAGCGGAGAGGACAGAAAGGGTCAAGATATCCAACAGCTGGACCTTGAGGCTTCTCCGCCGAGCAGACTGGCTGACAAGACTCCTTATCGGCATCTCTCTTCGGAAGCGTCTCAAGCGGAAGAAACCTTTTGTTTAAGGTGATTTGTCACCGTAGGGGCTGTGATGGCACGGAGGTGTGTCATATGCTTTGGGCCAATCACTTGGGCAGAAACATAGATGGGAAGACTTTGATACTCTGATGTTTAGCGTTTGAGGAGAAAAGGAGGCTCTGACCAAAAGTCATTGTATCAGGGCATCTCACATTATATACAACATTTTGCACGCTGGATTTTAACAATACAGCCGCCCAGGTCCGGAATTACCGTCTCAGCTAACACTATGCGCAATATCTTCGAACAGCTCTAAGAATGCAGCCCTCCCCATCAAGTCGCTTCTCATAGTTGTGTCGCTGTCAAGAGGTGTGCGTTTGAGCGAAATCTCTCTTCTGACCAGAGGCATGTCAATCGCATTTTCGATCATCCATTGAATGGACTTCCCTCCACGCTCGAGCCCAATTCCTTCACCTTTCCATCGAACATCCATGGCATAAGCGTCGGAAAGGAGTTTGAATAATCTTTCTGAACTTGGCGGTGCGAAATACTTCCATGTATGCAGATCGCGATGCATCATGACATAGCCAAGCAGAAGTTGCTGGTCTCGCTGCCCACCATCGGAAGTGTATCGTGCAAGCCATACCATGGGGTTCTCTGATGTGGTACCTGGTTGTCCGCTCACCAGATCGAAAAATTGCTGGAATTCGGTGATGTCGAGGTCTGTCCCCACTAGAACCTTGCCAGCACGCCGTTTCCATTCCAGATTTGCCATTGACAAGCCTGCCTTGCTTGCACGGGGTTGGGGCGTATCCTGGTTTCGCAGCAAACTTTGTGTCACCACATTCTGCATCTTGTAGGTCATGGCGCCTAGAACCGCGGCATAACGCCAAAGTATTCGACAGACATTATAGAAGCGATGCTTCCATGCTGTCATAAAGACGATCGGAATCACGGTGTGATCATTCCGGCCAGTCGTTGCAACGAAATGCGAGCGAAGGAGATCCAAGGAGTCCCGTAAACTGCCCCGTTGTTGCATGACAAGGAAGATGGCGTGAGCAGCGGCATGGTCGAAATTGACATTCCGTCTCTGTGCCTCTTGGAAGATTTCGAAAGCAGGAGTCCAAGCCTGCTTGTCAGCGCAAGCCGCCAGAATCCTTGTTACCGAAGATTGTGACATCCAGTCGGGCCCAAACCGGGCGTCAATGGACCTAACAGACAGATCAGCATGTTTGCCATCGTCAATTTCTCCACTGAGCTCAGCAGCGATCAACTCTGCTGCAACCTCCCCCTTCACAAGACTGGTCTCAAGTAAACCTTTGTGAAGCATCCACTTTGCTACGGCGCGTTTCTGCATCATGGAAGGTCCACTCTTAAGGAGAGCCAACCAGATCTTGGAACCAGGTCCGTGGCCTTGGGAACATAGATCACTGAGAACCGGACCGAACATTTCCATTTCTCCTTGAAGCAGCATCGCACGAAGGATGTAAGAGTAGGTCTGTGGTTGCAACGTCACTCGTAATTGTCGGCATTGGTCATAGAGTAGCTTGATCCGGGGAAGAAGTTCGGTGTGTCTGGAGAGGAATGCGAATGCGAGATTCAAAGCCACCGATGATACAGAAAAGGTATTGTCAGTATCAGTGAACAAATGGCAGAGCATGTCAGCTACCGCCATGTTGTGCGTATCGTCTTGTGTACCATAGAGTTCCCGTCTCACAAGTCGAGGAGCTCGGATGCTCGTCAGTTTCTCCACGTATTCTTTGAAGGAACGCACGCTGTTCAGTGCTGGTTGTGGAAACTGGTCGGCGCGCATCCAATCTCTGTGCTTCAGATAGCCTCTAACCGCTGTAGGCACGATACGGAATGGCACGTTTGGGCCGGATGTCGCATCCGCTTCGCAATGGATTGACTCTGTCTTTGAGATCGTATCGGTCGGTGTTTTCGCGCTCTCAAGAGCGACTTGGTTTGCCTGGTATTGCATCACGTCCTTCTCGATCGCAATGAAGTATTCCATTGTAAGAGCCACAGCCCGAGTAGAGCCATTAAGAAGAACCTGCTTCGAAGATCCGGAATAAGATTGAGTGTCTGTCACTTGTACTTCGCAACCTCCACGTACGTTGTGCACCCAGCTGTTCGTTCCTGACGTACCGCTCAGCGCAATCAGCGTCTGCTTTGACAGCCAGATTTCTTGACCCTCAGCTTCTTTGTGTTGTGGGACCGAGTTGGTTAACATGTTCAGTGCACGCTCCCAATTCGCGCGTACCGAATGGATGGATCTCTTTTTCCTTTTTCCATATTGCTGGATGCTGCTGGTAGATCCGCTGGCTGGGACATATACTCTACGACGTAGACCGTTGGGTCGTTGTTCTTGTACCACTTTTCCCTGACGCGCTCTTCTCTCATCGATGATAGTCTCCAATTTCTCCTTCGATTTGAGCTGCGCCTCCGTCGGGTCTTGGGATGGCTGTTGAGATACATATCGGAAATAAGTTGGCTCAACGATGTCGACTTTCACTTCCTCGCTCTGCTCTGGTAGGATGTATTTTAGTGATAGCTTGAGCGTCTTTGAAGACTCATGAGCTGAAGGTTCTGTGAAATTGTGTTGCTGTTGTGCTCTGAACCACCGTGGATAGAGGAAGAGAAGGGGCTGATTTAGGATGATATCCCCTGGTAGCAACCTTTTATTGACTTTGTTTCTAAGGCAGCAACGACTGCCAGAGAACATAAGCCGTGTGTTCTATAATGGCCTTCGGCATGGGCCACAGCATCGGTTCAGAGAGCGCATGCACTCCGATACAAATTTGGGAGCTCCTCGGTCTCCAAAAGTCCCAATTGGCGCAAGCACGCTTACCCAAGGAGGTAAAGAAGTGGCCGGGGCTATATCTCAAGCCATCATTCTTCCTTGCAACCACGCACCAACTGTAAACAGTTTCTCCTCATCGATTCTGTGTTCTAAGGAGTACTACTACTAGTAGCAGAGTCTGCATTGCCAAGTATTATGACATTGTGACGAGCCCTTCTGTTTTCACTCCGACCAATCTCAATCGATCGGACAAAGTACATCATCTGGCTCGATCAAACCTTCTGTCGGTTGTCCAACAGATGTGACCTTGACTTCACGCTGCACAGCTGTCCGCTCCTTCACGAAGAGGCCAGGCTATTTTTTGAGTGACAATGGGAAAAGCATCCAACCTTGTTCCGCTCCTCGTCCTTGTTGTCCTCATCGCTATCGCAGCCTTTATCGGGTTCATTGCTTATTCAGTCGCCAATGATGTTAGCGACAAGGCAGCGAAGAGAATGGAGAAAAAGAATATCAAATTCTCGAAGGAAGGAATGTCGGTTGGTGTCAAGCAACTCTCGACTGAAGACATATCAGACAGTACACAATCGTAAGTTCATCTGACACCATGGGCATCTCGTATATGTGGCCCAGCTGTCTTGCAGAGTGGCCTTCTGATCTATGACATAGGGCTCTTATGAAAGTCTGGAACTCGGCCTCGCTACCCGTCTACAAGGCAAAGCTGCGATGGGGACAAAGTGCTGAAGAATCACGGCCATTGTCGTCAGATGTGTCTAGTATGCCTAGTGGAAGGCGGAAGCCGTGAGTCTATGATCATAGTGTTTATTCTCGTGACACCAGAGGCTAACTAGTCCTATAGGTATTCAAGATCAGATTCTAATCAACGAGACACGAAAAAGTCGTAGCTACAGTTGCACGCAGCCAGCCAGCAGTACTCGGCATATTTCGAGGTGTTCAATGCACAATATCTCGCTTGTGAGGCGAGGTTTTGACGTGGTCCGGAGATACTGGTGCTTCAGATACCCGGCTGATTGGCCAATGGTACTCCCCAGTTCTCACTATCGACCGATGGACAACTCCAACATCTGACCATTCGGGCCTTGCAGATTAGGGAAATAATTGAACTGCAACCATGCCGCTACGTGTACCTGCTTCGTGGATGCAGAAGAGCAGATACATTCAGTAGACAGGGGTAATCGCTCTTTGCACGCTGGCACACTTGTGCACCGTACTCATCAGAGAACGATGTTGACGCTTCGACAAGAGCATGGCGCAGTATGCATGAGAAAAAGGGGTGTGTGGTGTTACTGTGGCCCTGTCTATGGTAAAGGCGTTGGTTTAGGAGCCGTCCAATGTAGGTAGAGCTCTCTTGCTTCTTTGAATGTTAGCATTGGAACTTTCTCTTTGAGGTCGTGCTTGGTTTCGCGGCTGTTGGTCTGCTCATCTGTCTTGCTAGGAACTATGCTGTATATTCTCTATTCTGGTGTTTGCTTCAGTCTTTCGAACCTAGCTTAGATTTTTATTGGACGGCGTCATTGCATTTTGCTTGATTCAACCTGCCAGACCGGTCAACCTTGAAAATGAAAACAATCATTCAATAAAGCCACGATGTCCTCCGGAGACTTGTGCATCGGACGATTCAATACTTTGGTTCACTCAGCATATCTCCTATGGTCTATGTGCGATAGGCGATTTCTGGGCGAAGGAGAGAGACATTCACGTCAGTCCTGCTACTTGAACCGCGTCTAGGAGGCGGCTGTGGCCACTTTTGGTTGATGTCCTTCATTTGGCGCAGATGAACTAAGTCTCAGAATTCATGGCTTTAACCTGCGTTTACGGACTAATTCAGACACGTATGCTGAGCAAGCCATTGTCAGTGAAGCAGCCGAGTTGTTGAGGTCACAGTCCTAAGACAAAGGGGGATCGAATATGATCAAGGCAAGGGGAGTGAAAGTGCATGGCCCAACAGCAAAATTGACAATCAGGCAGGAAACGACCCAAGTTCATGTCTTGTTATACAATAATAGAGTCGTGCTGTACAAAGGCATTCCAGAAGCCCCGAATAACCCGGTAAAGAGATGAAAGACTTTGAGATAGCTTCAGACATGGCGCGACAGAGTAGTCGAGATGCTGCTGAATATGCTCAATGGTTATGGAACTGATGGTATAGCTGGTTCTCCTGAAATCGTCCTCCTACTTGCCTCCAAAGCCAAACCAGCTGCTGATGCCGTTCTTTGCTTCAACCGCCTTCCTCTCAACGGTCTTGTCGAAATTATCGACCGCCTTGTTCATCTCTCTCTCAGCTCGTTCTTTGTACTCCTCTGCTGCTCTCGCCTTCTGCTCGATGGTAGTGTCGAATTTGTTGACAGCCTGTTTCATCTCCTGGCCAGTCCTGTCTTTGTATTCTTGGGCCTTTTGCTGGGCTTCTGTCAGCTTGCCACGTACTTCGTCAACCTGATGTAGACCAAGTTAGCAAATGCACAAAATGCCTGAAGCGTGTGTGAATCGTGCCGCATGATCGATTTTCTGTCCGGCCTGGGTGGCTATCGCTTCGCCTTTCTTCTCAAATTCCTTCTCCCTGCCTGGGAGATCCGACTTGAGCTTGGCTTGGACCTTGGCAGAATCCGCTAAAGGATATGGCTGTCAGTCGAGCTGTACATGAAAGTCCTTGAACGCTATACTGACCCTCGAATTTCTTCTCGGCGACTTTGGGGTCGCCACCAGCTTTGTACAGGTAATACCCCACGCCGCCAGCTGCGGCTAAACCAGCGGCTGTGACAGCTCGTCTGGACATTGTTGCAGATTTAGTAGGACTATGATGGTAGAAGGGAGGATTTTTCGACGTGAATTGGTCAATTATGTCTGAGGCTTCTGCTTTGAATTGAAGTGATGAAAGTGGTCGAGACCTTGCCGTGCCTGTTTCCTTCCACAATGACGTCGCCGCCAATCAGGCCGTAGCTTGTCACGTGCCTCCCGCAATCTCTCCGCTTCACCAAATGATGACGGACTTAGTGGGAAAGCCACATCAAGCGGCTTCCTGAATTTATCCTCAATTCGCAGCTCGAAGGCATCCATGACTGTAAATGGACGAGGCATTCCGCCTTCTTGTCAATTGTGGAAGTGGCTTTGACTTTAGAGATATCCCGTCCTGAAACCTCCCGCACTATTCTCCGACTCTAGCTACTCCAGCCGTTCCTGTCATGTTTCCACCAAATGAGTGAGCAATTTGGCTAAGCTCTACATTAGCCCTTTGGTCCTCTGCTTCGACAATGGTTTTCTTTCCGTTCAAATGACAAAACAAGATGGCAGAAGATGGCGCTCAAAGTACCCGAGTACGAATGGATGAAGCTTTTGATCGGCCCATTGCTCTTGTTGACAGTACGCGAGCACCCGAAGCTGACGGCGATGGAGAATCCCGAAGAAACTCTCGAAGTCCTTCGTGGCGACAGCTAGCCAAACGTCCCACGGATTCTGTAAAAGAAGGATTGGCAAGATGGAAGTACTCCAAATGGCAGCAGGATCGCTATGCCTCGGGTCCGGACATCGAGTCCCAGAACGAAGAAAGCACAGGCGAACCTGCGATATCTCGCGCAGAAACTTCACAGCTTCTTCCACCCGGGGTGACTCACACACAGACTGAGACGTCAGACTTTGCGTTGAGGAAATCTTCTCCAGATCGTGGACGAGAGCGGGTCAAGAAGACAAAGGAGGAAGCGCACAGAACCAAGTCTGAAAAGGAACCATACGAAGTCGACGTATTGTACGAGAATCAACGAGGCTGGTTCTTTTTCGGCATTCCCCTTTACTCTCACTCCTCGCTCCTGAACCTTGATCCAGCTCCGTGGACAACTAAAGATGGAAAGGACTCTGCAGTCAATATTACCAATACACAAGTTCCAGATCCGAATTGGGAGTGGGCGTGGAAATCGTGGTATGTAGACATGAGTCACGACGTCGACGAAGAAGGTTGGCAGTACTCCTTTTCGTTCTCGAGAAAATTTTCGTGGCATGGAACGCATCCCTGGTTCCACTGCTTCGTGCGGCGGAGAAGATGGTTGCGAAAACGCATAAAGAAGCAGGAAATGAGGAAGAAGGATGATTTCGACATGGCGGGCGCACATGCATTGACAGGCGACTATTTTACAATACATACAAAACGGGGTAGAAGCCCGGGGAGTGGACTTGGAAACACAACTACCCGAGGATCTAGTCATATGAGTCGAGTAGCAGTCGGGGAGGAATATTTGCCGCCAGAAGACATCAAGGATATTCCGAGCTTGATGAAGGCCTTGAGGCTTGCCACAATTGACCGAGAGAAGATTGACGCTGTTACGAGGTTTGTTGAGACTGGTGGTGAAGAGCTCGTTTATCTTCAAGAGCACATTGTGGAAATCATGGGCTTATTCGTCTTCCAAGTATCACGGCGGCAGTTGCTTGAGTACATGAACAAGATTGCAGACGAGGTCTCAAGGGAAAAACCTAGTGACAAAGCTGAAGAAGAGCGCGTGAACAATTTACAGAACGCTGTACGTGTTGCACACGATCAGATTGGTAGTTTGGAATACTGGAGCGACCGTCAATATGTCCTAAGGACTGCCGGCGAGAACGGACAGGGTCACCAATCGATGTTCTCAGAGTCATCAGCCATAACAATGCCAAAAGAAAGCAACCCTGTGGATGAGATCAAAGGCATCGCAGACGACGCCGAGGTTGGCATTGATCCTATGAAAAGGGTTCTTAGTCTACCACCAGACAATATACCTTGGTCGAGGGGTGTGGAACAGTCCGAGGAGGCAAAATCAAGAGAGAAGGAGACTGCCGGGATGGAGGAAGAGGAGCGAAATTCTAATGATGGTGTCGATACACCTATACGCTTACCTCCGGACAGCCTTAAAGTGGACGATAAATAATGAGCTCTTTGTTAGCGTTGGCGCTTTGGGGTATCTGCTTCGATCGGAATGCCAACCCTTTGAGTATGTCAGGCTTGGGAGTTTCCCTTCAAGGGTGTTGTTCTAGCATAGAGCGCTGGTGTGCTTTCCAATTGCATATCGATATTCGCTTCAATGTCATCTAGAAGCCACTAGTAATATAACTAGCATTTTCAGACGTCTGCCCAACTGGAAAGCACCAGTCGGACAGATCAAGGTCGAGCAGCGTAGCAACTTCTATGTGACAAGTTCTAATGCGTACATGGTGCACTTTCAGTTATTTAGTTTCTACATATCGAACGCCTTCCTAAGATCTACATTCCATATCCACGCATACCTTTATTCAAGATTCGTCTTCATTTTTGAAATGTCATCGCCAATGCCCTCTCCGTGGAAATTATAAATGCATCCAGCTTCTCTACTCTTAGTCACCAACCTCTGAGTTCTCACCCACCGTTTGATATCATATTTCAGGAATGCCCTATTAATGGCGGATGATGTCTGAGCCTGGCCAAGCAATTTTGAGAGCACGTACGTATCCTCAAGTGCTATTCCCGCTCTGGCTCCTTGGTGTGGCGTACTGGCGTGTGCCGAATCACCTAGAAGGCAGATCCGACCCTCGCAGTATGTCCGAGCCGGGAGATGGTCAAAAAATGCCCACACGTCTGACTTCTCATCAGACTGAGTATGTTCTTGACGCTACCGCCCCAGTGTTCGAAGTCAGCCTCCATGGCCCCATTCTCCATCGGCAATACCCATCGCTCGTCCTCCCACTTACCGTCCGGCTTTGATTGAGATGCCACAACATTCATCGTCTTGCCCTTTTCGATTGGAAAGGTCAAGACATGGCCGCCATAGCCACAATACATTTGGCTATTTTGGGCTAGTTCGTGTCCAAGCAGACTGACAGCCCTCTCCATGGCTAGTCCGCGGTAAGTGTATTTTCCGGTCGTACTTTACTTTGATGCCGTCACAGCCGACTATTGCGGAAGCTGTTGCAATGGAGCCATCTTGGAATGTGATTTTGACTTCATCTTCCGTCTGTTCGACCTCGTCTACCTTCTCTCCGAACGAGACGTTCTCTTTTGGGATCAGCTTGACCAATTCGTCGAGAAAATGCGCTCGGTGGACGCTGTTCTGCCCTGTCCCCGCCGCATGTACGCTGTGAAACCATTGTCCCGCTCCCCGGTTCTTCGAGTCCATACCATATCGGAAGTCAAACCGGCAACCCCTTTTCTCGTCGGAGGCATTTGTGGTCGATCCTCTATCAAACCCTTCCTTGACCCTAGGGTCAATCAAGCTCATTGCCCGGGTAGAGTTAGGACCGAACGGGACGCCTGCGCCTATTCGGCAAAGGCCTGAGCCCCTTCGTAGAGATGGAAGGCTACATCTTGTCGCAGCAACCCGATTGCGAAGACAAGGGCGCTGATGCCTCCGCCACAGATGACAATAGTGAATGATTTGGAGGTAGGGCCAATGACTGACATGTTCTAGAAGGAGCTGCAAGTCCTGTGAGTTAGTCAGTTGAGGAGACGATACGTTGCAGTATGAGAAAAAGATAACAAGCACTGCTTTAGGTAAGAGAAGCACGGGACGCAGCATCATCAGGTGGGCCATTTGTAGATATCGACCGAGCTTCCACATCAGATAGCCGGAAGGTTTTGGGTCCATTGTGCTGACTCTAATCCCACATGTCCGATAATAGCGACCGTCCCGAATGTAAGCTCTATGAGGCAAATGTTTTTCGTCTCGTCCGAAGGGATGGTATACGGATTACAATTTGCCCTGAAGTGCAACAGATGTGCAGGAAGACGGAGCTCATATTTAGTCACGGAAGACTCTTCCCCATATTTGTGGCCGGAGGGCCATTTGGCTCCACCTTCAATACTGTAACACAGCCTGAAAAGCAGCCAAAACACGCCCTTAATCTACTACGGAGTAATGGTCAGCCTTGCCAGCAAAGTAGCAACTCAGTCTGCTAAATAACATTGAAATGCTGAGATCCAGCGAGACGTCCAACCCTACTGCGCAGCGGGCCTCAATAATAAAAGATGCACGTTCTACCAGAGTGCTTAATGCACATTTGAATTTGTCGCTGGTTGCCTTTCATCAAGTACTTGCAACACTTTCATCCATACTATCAGAATCCGGATCAATTCGCCTTGTGATTCTGTGAATTGCGAATTGCTCAGCTTGATCAGCTGCACGCCTTGCGCACGCTCGTCTTATTGGTTCCCGGAAATGGACGAGGCTGAGCTACAGCCTTCCTGATTTGAATATTTGTACTCCACACCTAACTAGTTGGAACATATGGATACCGCTGGACCTGCAAACTTCCCTATCGTGATTTGACACTGTTGAAAACCCACCCCATTTCCTTCTGATCATGTTGTTTTGAAAAGTCAGCGGTCAAGCATCCGTCTAAGAGCTTGCCCTCCGCCCGTCACCAGATCATTGCATTCCGAGAAACTTCATGGGCTCAGAACAGATTTCCTGGATGGAGTCTGGGAGCGCTGCTATCTTTCGTTGCTGTCCTGATGGTTTTGCTGGTAAATATCATTTTCGCGGTCTGGGCCGCTTACACCAGACAGGTTCGCAGTGGTATCGGCACCCTGGTAGCTGCGGCAACGGAAAAGCAATAACCGCTTTGCTAAGTTTGTGGATAAACCTCTTCAGCACCGTGCTCTTGGTGGGAAGCAGTCACTGTGCGCTTGTGTTCCACCCTGCTCACGATTTGAAAGCTGACATATAACAGGCATGCAGCGGCTCAGCTCTCCATCTGGAAAGAAATCGATGAAGCTCATGCATCACGAAGGTAGCTCGATATCAGCATTGCAAGAGTTCGAACCTTTCGGTCTATGACTTGAGGACGGGAAATCATATGGACTCTGCTAGGCGCAAGTAGTGTTCCGCTGGTTTTGTTGTGGATGAACCTGATTGAGGCCTTACTTGTGGATGCAGATATCGACGCTGAAGATATAACCCAGTGATATTTCGGAACTAGCCGTTTACAAATACGGCGTCCTGTGTCGTTCAAGTAAAGTTTTTGTCCGCCACTGCCCCGGACTGGATTGACATTTTTGGACGGGACCCAGTAGAAAGGCGGTGGCTCGTGAATGAAGTCGACTGTATCCAAGGAAACCCTGCCCGTTTCAGGAGATTGGATAACGCGGCTTGCATCAAAGTGTACTCGACACTGTTCCAACGGAAAGAGGAGACTTCCTGATAATCTCTGAAGACAATACTACCAACAATGCACTCCTCGATTGGGACTATCCAGATCAGTTATCACAATAAGTCTTCTTTGAAGACCCTACAACCATTTCAAAAGTAACGACAGCAGTGGCCCACTTGCGTGGCTTTGCATCTACTCGAATGGTCCTGCAAAAAAGGCGTGAGCCTACAGAGATTCCGAGCAACCCTGATGCATTCTATAAGTATTTTAATATTGTAACTAATAACTCTATTTATTACTGAGTTAACAGGGATGTAAAATTGCTCACTTTGCATGTAAAAGATGGCCCCTTACTAGGGAGGCCCACTTCCAGGGTACTTAGAGAACCGCGAAGCACCGGGAGGAACACATCGATGGCTTAGCCCGCCACCAAAGTCACAGAAATTGGGAGTAGACGCGGTAACACATCGCTACAGTCCTTCGATTCTACGGAGTCTGGAGGATCTCGAACAACCAGTTTTAGGGGGCCGGGTGCGGTAACTCAGGTTGCCCTGTTCGGCCTCCCTCTTTGGGAGAGACCTCCACTTGAATGTGTTAGTGCTGTGTGTATGGTAATAATCTTCTCATTTGCTCTCAGTCCACTTCATCTTCGTTTCCCTTTTTCATGAATTCACGGCCTTCTCCATATCGTTCGATTCTTCGTCTCCCGCCTCCTGATTCTGCTTCCCTCTGCCTGGTTTTCGTCCACGTCTTACCCAATTGGCCAGTGACCCTATACCTCTACTGCCTTTCTCATCGGAATGATCTTGCATCGCGGAAGGAGTAGCACCGCTCATCGTGGTATCTGTATGCGTCAAAGTTCTGGCAGTGTCTGACTTTGTTGTCGTCCTCGCTGTCGCTGGTTTTCCGGTCGACTTGTCATTTCTCGACGAACCGTCTTTCCTTGCCTTTCTTTGACGCTTCCACGTCAGCAACCCGACCAGAAACCACCATATGTGTGCGTTGAACGCAAAGATAAGCGAAATAATCACCACGCCGACCGTGGCGGGAACTGGATCGAGTCAGTTGGAAAACAACACAAAGCCATAAGTGAGAAGTCTCAGTCTCTTACACATAACTTGATAGATCTTCTTAATGGGCCGATCATTGCCGTTGATCTCCTTGGCATTCATGCTGTAGATTGCAGCGATGAAGGATAGAGGCATCTAAAATGACGGAATGGTTGGTCAGACACGCGCTGGTCTCCAATCGCGTGCTCTGCGGAGAAAGAACTTACGAAGATGATTGTCACCACGGTAAACAGCAAAATGGTTCGTCCCTGTCTGGTGGTCTCTGCAGCTGCCTGACGTGCCGAGTACGCTTCGGAGACACTCGCTTGCTTTTGCTTGAGGTCTAGGAGATCGCAGATCTGCATCTGTTAGCCATTCGAAAGCGAAAGTAGAGATTGTGTAAACTCACAGAATCGTATACACGTTCTGCCTTCACCTTGAGATTTTCAATATCCTGCTCTCTTCTGCACAATGTCGACAAAACCAGGGCATACTTGTCCCGTACGTCTTCAGCGGTATCCTGTTGAACCTCTGGAGTTCCGTCGAGCCCCTCACTCGTTTCCTTCTCTTTCGCCTTCGAGAGATCGTCGTCTCCTTCCTCTTTGGTGAACGGTCTACGCGTAGGATTGTTAAGATCGTTTGGATGTGAGGTGCTCTTTGATGGAGTGTTGGAAGCAACTACATCGTTCATTATTTTCACCTGCTGTTGAAACACGTGAGAGAGGCTGTTGAGTTCGTCTAGTATGTCTTTTATCTCCTTTAAGCTGTCATTTTCAGCCGTGACGTTGACTAATGCATTCATCTCTTTCTCAATTTCGCGGTTAATTTCTAAACTTGTACCTGATTCCAAGATGCCTGAAAGGTCCTTTAGTGGATTGGAATGTTTGAGGTCTTGTTTCGTTGTGCTTTTGAACCAGTCTGCCCATTCTGCCGCCTCTTGATCTTCCTGAGATAAAGATTCGGAGTTCGGTGGTTGTGCTGAGGCGTTTGCATTTGGCTTGACACCTTGCTCGGGGTTACTCTCTTGAGGGCAACTCTCATTTCCTTTAGCGGTCTTAGCATGCGACGAAGGTTTTCTAAACAGTCTTTCACGAAGAGTAGCTTCGGAAAGTTCTTGTTTTCTATCCTGCAGAGCAACTAATCGTCTAGAATGCATAGAAAACTCGTTGACTTGTTGTGTTTGAGCATCAGCCTGGTTTCAGTGAGCCAGTTTCCTCGTCCCCTGAGGGAGTCCACTCACAAGCCGTGCAATGCTAACGGCAAATACCTCAAGATAATCCAGGGAATGATCAGATTCACCAACACATGGATGAAACAGACCCGAGCATTTGTCAATGACCAAGCAGCTAAGGTCAACAACGGATGTAACAGCAGCGCCAGTACACAAAGCACTGAAGATTTTGTTGTAGACATCGGTGACCTCCGCGTGAGCGACTACCGGGTTCCCGATCCAGCGATGTGGAAAAGCCGTCAACAACGTTTCTGCAAGACTAGTCATTACGAGATCTCGAGTGGGTATCGCCGTGTAGACTCACTCGTTCTGCCAGGCTCGTCAACGATCCACATCCAAAGCTGGTCTACCATCAAGATACGAGACTTCTCCTTCATATCCATAAAGTTTTTCGTATGTCGGTACAGCACCTGATCCAAGTCTCTCTTTCTGACATCTGCGTCCGGGAGAGGGTAGTAATATGATTGGTCCAACGTGCGGCGGACGTGAAGCGGACGTGCTTCGTGAACATATGCAAAGAGTAGCTTCGCATCGTTCGTTAGATCTTCCATAGAACGTTCATATTTTTTCATCATTTCCCGATCCCATGCCACGTTTGTGTCTAAACGTGCACCCTTCCATGCAACGGCATTCCCCGAGGACGTTGCTTTGACACTTTGGCGTAGGCCGGGTGATTTTTCGGTTTTCTTTTGAAGTAATTTTAACGCTCGGACGTTCATCGAGGGCTTTGGTTTGACATCTTCGGGTGGACCGGATATTTCCTCAGGTTTCCTTTGACGCAACATCCAATCCAGGCACTTGTTGCGGTGCAAATACATGTCAACCTCTTCCCAGTGTACATATGGCATCTGTACCAAGTAAGCAAGCGGCTCGAAAGAAGAAATACAATTTCCTACAAACAAAACCGAATTTGTCTCAGCGTCTTCGACAGAGAACAATCCTTCATGTTGGTCCATCTTTTCTTCGTCTGCTGTATTGAGTACTTATGCGGCATGCGGAATAGGGAATTTAGTGAGACTGACCTATCACGGCCCTGGTGTATGATGCCGAAATTCTTGAGTACAACGGGCGCAGAAATCGGCCCTGAGCCGATTTCTGCAAGACGGGATCTTGCCACTGTCGCTTCTCCCACAGCTCAGAACGCAGCAGCATGCTTGCCTTGAATAAGTCGTCTGGATCTTTGACTATCTCCGCATTCTTTCCGATCATCTCAAATGGCGCGTGAGCCTTACTAGGTAATTCCCTCGACAGTTCAGACGTTGTACCCGCTTCTGCTTGGGTTTTCCGAGATGGTTCTGAGTATATACGAGTGACAATGCTCTATGCGACAGTCAACGCCAAAAATAGAAAAAGGAAAACGGGGGGGAACATGTTTACCTCTACCCACGACATATTGTTTGCGGGCAGATGGATCCAGCGGAGGTCAGGATTCTCGGATGGGTTATTGTCTTCCAAATGTGCCATATATTCCGCCGGAGTGCCCATATCTAACAATTGCTGGATTGTCGGTGTCCCACGCACGAAATAATTAGCAGCAGTGTGGAAATGAACTATTGAAGCCTTGATATTGGACTCAAAGGACAAGGATGCTTCCTGGAGTCTGAGTTGTTCCACATCTGGGGCCTTTGGGTGGAATACTCCTTCCGATCTCCCTTCATAGTTTTCGATGCCGCCAGTTCCATCACCGAACGTTTGAACATCAAGAGCCCCTGATGCACCTTTGGATGGGGCGGCTTTATGAATGAATGGTCAGATAGATGCCTCGAGTAGAATGTTCAATCGTACCCGACATTTATGGGAACTGAATCTATCGGGCTGTTGAATTATTCTCCCAGAAGAGGAATTGAAAGAGTAAGAACGATTGATCTGTAGTTATAGGAGCGTCTCTGGCCTTGACTTAGGCCAACACGGACAAAGCTTCGTAAGAGAGATATTAGAAGCTTTCCAATACATTGCTGTGGAGGGAGGGAGGAATCATTGACCCTTTCCATAAATCTCTCGCTCAGTATAACTTCTGAGTTTAGGGGTGCGTTCCGTGGAATGCTCAGCTGAAGTCGTGCTCTGCAACCAACAGCCTCGATGTCTCCATGATCCTTGTCTGATGGCTGACCAAATGACCAATGCCCCGACTCACAACCTGCCTGTGCGTGGTATGAGGCGGTCTTGGCATTAGGGGGTAGAATGTTAATTACAAGTTGTGGCCGATCTTACGCAGGCATGAAGAGAGAAAAAATGACTGAACCATCAAAGCGCTATTAGGAATTGAACCTAATTCGTTTTTATCTCCTCACAGGCCCAATCTTCACAAGCGGCGTCCGCGCCGCTCAAGCCCCTTGGAGTTTTGAATTAAGTACCGATGCTACTCTTTTCCGGATCTGTTTGCAAATAAAGATGTAGACTGATATTAAGGGGGTTCTGCACCAAAATTTCATCTCTGTTCAACTAAATCTCCGTTCAAATCCTCCTTCCGAATTGGGTACTGGCGCCCTCACAGGGGGTAAATTAGTTGTTTCAAGCGTCTCTGTCACTGCATGGTATCTCATACAGAGTTGTATTATTATTCTGTGCAGGACTCTGTGCGAAATAGGTGTAAATTCTGCGTAGAATTGTGCGTAAGGATTCTATGCGATCAATGTCATTGTCATTGATATAACTTTGTAGTCTGTACGTTAACATGATTTAGAAGTCGCGTAGCCTCTAGTATGACTATTACGTCTAATTCTCAATAGGTAAGGGTCAATAACGCTCTAACTGGAAGAAGAACGGGGAAGGCGTTAACGGAGAATGCATCTCCGTTCGATAACGTATCTCCGTTCGAATGAGGAAGTGGGGGCGAGCCCTAGCCTAATAGGGAACAGAGATTCGAACGGAGATGAGTTGCAGAACCTCCCTAATAATGCTGAAAAATGCTGTAAATTGGGCTCGAACACTTTTCAGATGTTTGTGTTTAAAGGCGGACGATTTTGCAATCTTTAAACTCGAAAACTTGTGATAATAGCTCCTCCAGAAAGGGAGAAAAAACGACTGAACTATCAAAGCACTATGAGGAGTTGAACCTAATTCATTTTTATCCCCTCACAGCCTCAGGCTGTCGTATCAATGCAGAGAAGTTTTTAATCTCGCCGTGACCCAGTTACCCCCCTTTCTCTGATTGCTGCAGTTGATGATTGGCCATAATACTGCCAAGAGAAAATTAAATTTAAGACGTCAACTGACCTACCCGGGCCAATAATCAACTGCAACAATTAACACCAGAGAAAGGGGTAAGCAGAGGATCTCGAAGGAAGTGGCTGAGCTCCAGACAGTACTACGGTATCGGGGAGAAGTAATGTTAGCACGGCGCTAGTACTTTTGCTCCAGAACGGACTCTTAACGAGACAGCTAAGCTTCGACCGGTTAGCGGCACTGCTGTGGGGAATACTAGTATCTGTGGCTATCGACCAGAGAAGCTCCTAGGCATCCAAGTGGCGCTGGATGATAACTAGCTGTTACTAGAACCATGCTAACATTACTTCTGCCCGATACCGTAGTAGGCTTGGGTATAACGCTGATAGGATAAGTGAGCAGTTGTAGCCGAGTTGGAGAGCCCAAAAGTGGGCTCAGTTGGGACCAAAACCGGGTCTTGCCAACTCCTCCGTCACCTGCTCAGCGTCTGCTCAAGACTGCTCAGACGCGCTTAGTCTCGGCTCAGGTTAAAGCAGCGCTACTTATGTCTGGAAACGGAACGGGCACTTGGTGAGGTCAGTTTTGACGATAGTAAGCAGTATATAGCCGTGGCCCAATGGGTGGAGCCCTTAGAATTTCAAAGTTATTTTTTAAAATAATTACTTTTTTACCTTTTTTTTATTTTCTCTTTTAATAAAAGCCGTATTAATCTAAAAAATATACATTAGAACAGATCTCTTTTATGGCTATCAAATAATATTATTTATAGGTCTCTAGCCCTAATAATAAGCCTAATGCAGCTAATTTAAATTTTACTCTTATAATTTACTTTTAGTGTTCTTAACGCTAAGGCTGCAGCTAGATCTTAACGAATTTTGATGTTCTTAACGCCAAGGCTACAGCACTCTTCCATAATTTTGATGTTCCTAATGCTAAGGCTGCAGAAATAACCTTACCGCTAAACACGGGTATTCTTAACGCTAAACTCTACAAGGAAGGATACTCATGACAGGGATTTAATCGGACTCACAAGAGATATTCAAGTAAATTAGCAAATATAGATCTCAAGAATTTGGTCTTGTATTAAGCCCTAAGAATAATACTTATAGTTATACACTTGCTGCAAATCCGTTAGTATATTCTAAGCATAAGAAGAAGCTGCTAAGATATTAGCCTGCCTTAGAGTTAGGTAAGTCTTTATATTTAGCTTATATCTCTTATTTTATAGCTTAAAGAGTGCTTAAATAAGCTGGTTTTCTGCTTAATCAAAAAAGCTATTATAATCTTTATTATTAAATAATCTCTATTAAGAAAGATAAGTTTGTTAGCCTTATTATTACTCTTAAGAATGCTAGTTTCATTTTTAAATATTATATAAAAGAGGGAATTAACTAAGAAAGTAATAAGGTTATTAATATCTAGTTATAGTAAATATAATTCGCTTATCTTAATTAAATTTACTATACTTAACACTTTATAGCAGATTAGACCCTCTTTATTAATAGCATATTTAATACAAATACTCAAAATCTAGTTCTTCTTATTATAGCTAATATAACTAATTATAATAGAACCTTTATTATTACTTTCTTATTTGCTTATTTAGAATTAAAAATGTCCTTTAATTTTATCTTTTAAACCCTTAAATAATACATTTTTTATCCTTTAATCCTTCTGCCTTATTTAGTACTTAGTAATTAAGCAGCTAATATAACTATATTACTTTTTATAGCTTTTCCTAATACGATATTATAATATTATAACTAGCACACTATAAAGAACATTATAAAACGTCTTATAAACTATAGTTATAAAAAGAAGGCTTAATGATAGACTCTTATTATAAACTTATAATTATAGATATAAGGTGTTATAGCACGTGAACACGCCAAGCACTGACAGGCACTACAGAGCTGCCTAGCACTCTGCGAAGGAACTATGACAGACTTAGACAGGACTAGACCCTGAACTACACACATAGTCAGACCTGGACAACGTAATAATCAGAGGTGATCAGGGTGAGCACTCATAAGCAATGATCAGAGGTAATCAGGATAATCAACTCTGAGCACGAATCTTCTAGTCTATATAAGCACGCTCATTTCCTAGATAGTTTCATAGTCTTCGTAGTCAACTAATATTATCAGCTTATACCTAAGTTAAAGACATCTTAGTATTACTTATTACACTTCCTGTTCTATCTAACTAACCCTTTAGACCTAGCTAAAGTAACTTATTTATAAAAGCTGTCTTTAGATTATTAAGAAGCTTGACTTATAGCAGGGACACCCCTGTTATGCTACTATAATACTAGATACTAGAAAGTATAACTAGCATAAATAACGTCTTCTTAAGCTTAATGTAAAGACAAAGCTAAACCAAGCCCTAAAACGCTCTCTATTATAAGAAAAACCCTTATAAGAAGCGGCTATACTGCTTATAGAAGCGTAATAATAACGCTAGTCTTATCACTAAATAATTAGAGCATCTTAGTTAGAGAACTAGCGATTATTATAAAGCGCCTACTTAATAGCACTCTATAAGCAAAGATTAAGAATATATTAAGGCTTAACTAAGGTACAAAGCTCTCTTACTATATAGCTAAGAACTAATAAAATAAGCTTTATAGACTTTCTCTTTAAATAGAATGTTCTAGACATCTCTTTACTATCCTGTAAATGCGGTTAGAGAAGACAGACTACCTAACATATAGTTATAGACTGCCTGTTACTCTTAGACAGATATAAGATGCTCACTGCCACTAGCACAATAGATTACTGCTGTCTCCTTAACAATCCAAAGGCCCTTAAGATAGTAACGCTATAACTAATAAAGGCTAGGGCCCTCCCTTAGTTCTCGTTTGCGGCTAAACAACTTTGCGCTTAACTATACTACAGCTATAGAGCCCTGTGTACACTGTTAAAGCGCCTTGAAGAACTCGTCTACTTACTAGCAGTAAGG